AGGCCCAGTGTCCATTATTTAGCATCAGTTGGTGGGCATTTCTTTCAATACACAGGGACTTTCCACTTAGAGGACTGGTTGGACTGCACAAATCCATAATGTTCCCGTCTTCATCCTTCAAAATGAAGATCTTGTGTTTAACTGCAAATGGAACTAAGTCTTTGGTTATGTCATGTGACTGCCATTTATCATACATAGTCTTGAATCCGTCGGCCAACAACATGAAACTTGGTCTGGTGGCCACGACAACATTTGCAGTTTTTGCTCGAATAAAAAAATCCTTTATTACCAACATGTCAGACATATTTTCATCAAATCCATTTTGCACTTTTTTTACGCTTTGCTTTCTTCCCATGAAAGACGCAGACGTTCCATCACAAATCATAATATGATCAAGTGACCTTTTGTACTCGTAGGTTTCAAAGAATGTCCATTTACAAAATTTAAAACGTTGACAAGTAATATGCAACTTATCGCCTGATAAATACGATCCTCCAATGAAATCTATCTCTGGATAGCGCTCTAAAGCATCCCACAGGGTAGCTAATCCTTCATTTTCTTTAGCTGAGAGTGACACATCGGGTTCCAAAACCATAAAATACTCAGTTTTAATATCTTTAATCATGCGATTCAGCGACGTCGCAATGTTATTGGACTTTTTTTCCAATTTGATCGGCGACGAAGGAAACAAACGCTTGATTTTCTTAAGTTTTGTCTCCAACAGCAAAGGTACACTTTGGTTCGAGCGCTTCAAGACCAAAATTGTGACTTCTGAGGGCAAAAATTCTCGTGGACTTTCATTCGTGACAGAGGAGTCGGAACTACTATTATTAGAAATATTGGTCCTTTCCATGATCATTTTGATGGTTGTTTTCAGTTCCGAGTTCTCGCGAAACAGGAAGTTTATCCTAATTAATAGAAAAAGCTGTATTGCGGCTACGCAAATGAGTATAACAGACTTTCGCTGGCGTATCATTTTGTTTATAAAAAGAGTTTGTCCATGCCAACGGATGACGGATACATTATAGGCCTGATTGTCAATAGTCATCGGCAGTCAACGGTTATCACTGGAGAACAAAGTGTTTTATAATTTGAGAATTGTGACATTGAATAAATTTTCTTCGTCACCGACCGCCAACAACACGCAATCACGCAACCTGTAACCTATCGTACACTAGAACGGGAAAGACAAGCAGGTTATTTCCGCGATACTGATAGCAAGCTATGTACAAATGTGCACATGTTTATTATCTGTTTTGATGGAGCCGATATTTGCTTTCTTTGCTGGCTATCTATCAGGGATGTGGCTGTCTCATTGTGTTTCAAGTTCTTCGTGTTTTTTTCATCAATGCTTCAGCACTTCCCTTATAAAAATGTATTATTATGTATAATAATAATTAATTCGACAATTTAATTTCCTTTTTAAATAAGATGAAATTTGCAAATTTAACGACGTAATAACAATACCATTTTATTATTCACTAGCTTTCAAATGCGTATACAAAACGCAACTATAATTTATAAAGCCTGTTTTCCACTAGGCGGAACTTTGCGCGCGGAGCGGAATTTTTCTTTGTCTTGCTCACATTAGTTCTGCATGAAAGCGAGAGGACAATGAAAAATTCTGCTTTGCGCGCAAAATTCCGCGTAGTGGAAAACAGGCCTAACTGAGGTTTGCGCCATGAGGTTTGCCCATGTTTCCTCAACCTCGTACCCAGGGTCTTTCGTACTTTCGTGGGGGCACAGTGGGGGGGGGGGGGAGAACGAGTATAGCCAGGTCATCAAACCCAACGAATACCTTTCTAAAGGTTCTAATGCATGATTGGCTGTGTATATATACCTTATATGTAAAATTAAATATTTACAAATAATGTGACCGGAGACACATTGCCGGGAAAAAGCTTTTCTTAAAACGCTCCGTCTTGCAAGGAAACAGTGTTAGACTATTACCATACCTTAAATGATGTTCGTCAGCCCGTGACGGTGGTATTAGGTAATTAATAATTAAGGCGTCAATCAGGCTGTGTCTTTCTATCAAAAGTTTTTTTAAACAAAGAGCATCACCGCCATCACGTCTTGCACTAATGCACTTAATGTCAAACATTTGGCTTGATCTATAGAGCTGCATCATAACTTAATGTGGGATAGATTGCATTGTCCGCTTTTTGACCTAATTTTGTTTGACAAATTGATGATTAAAGAAGGCCCGTTTACACTTGCGATTTTTGTTGCGATTTCATGTGCGATTTTCCTCTTTTGACAGATGTGAACGAGTGAATTAGTTATAAAAGACGGACAACAGTACTCGAGTAAGGATCTAATGAGTGCAAAATACTACTCTTAAATCCCAATTTACTCCCAAATCGATCAGTTTTTTTATAACAATATTGTGGTCTATCCTGTCGAAAGCTTTGCTAAAGTCCAAAAACCAAGCTCTCAGATAGAGACCTGGATTGTCCATTTTAGAGAGCCAGTTGTGGACAAGATCTAGAAGACAAACTTCTAGATGCTTACTAAATGCATCGCACTCATTTCAGGACCGGTCGGACTTTTCGCTGTAACATTTAGTCACGAATAATCTGTTTGGTAAAACGTCCATACGACCATAGCCTGCAGCTACACTTCACTCGTAACATAAGCTGAGTTTTAAATATTGCTCTCTGCTTTAGACCAACTCTCAACTTCTAACTTCAGTTTTAGCCACATGCAGGGTTGCACCGAGCAAGGCACTTTTCAGTGGATATTTTAGAGCGTTCAATTGTCGGACAAAGCATACTATCTGGAGATAAGAAGATTCAACTTAAAAATAAGTAAATAGCCGTAGTTTACGTCGGTTTATTATCGCTTAATTCCAGTCCAAACAAAAATCATTGACTGTCTTGGATTAAAAAACCGACCAACACAATTTTCAGCATTTACCGACAGTTTTGCGAAAAGTAGGCCGTGTCACAAAACTCTTCTCGGTACTACCCTGTGTTAAAATTATCCGGTATTTTAAACTACTAAATATTAACGCAAAAACGCACAAGTTGTAACAAGTTTGCAACAAGTTGTTACAAGTCTGTTCACAAGCTTGCAACAAGATTTCTTCTCCAATTTGTTTTAACAAGTTTGACACAAGCTGTTAACAACTTGTAGCAAGTCCAATGGCATTATCAGACTTGTTTCAAGATTGTTCTGACAAGTCCGATACATGCAGCTATGATATAACAACGTCAACGTTGCCACAAACTTGGATACACAAGATTGTAGCAATATTGTTAGTCCATGTTTGTACCAGACTTGTTGGAACAGCCTTGTAACAAGTCTTTTGATTCAACAAGTTTGTTACAACTTGTTAACAAGTCTTCTCGTGCCTGGGACAAGCAGCGCGAACACAACTTGTTGACGACTTGTTTGCAGAGATACGCCCTGACTCTTCCAGGTCTGTTGTTCTTGGTGTTGAAAAGTAACATTGTAACTCAAACTTATCATAATAAAAGCATTTTAAACGACTCTGTCATTTAAGAGAAATGGTGATACAAGCTTGAACATGCATTGACTAGTTTGGCCAAAGGACCCAGCAGAATTGACCATAACGAAAAAGATGGCAGCATGTACATTTTACCACAATGCACTGCGAGCATCAAGCATAAATGACTAAAGGCCCACACAGACCGGACGCGACCCCTATTTGGCAACGCGGCGCGATTTTTCATTTTCCAAAATCAAATAGATTTTAAACTATTATTATATTCTTGTAGATTATTTAACGATAATACATTTTAACTGCCCTGGCGTCCATAGATTCCAAATTTTGCTTCCAGAAATTAATTTATGTGCTTCTGAAAACTGAAAATTCGCGTCGCGTTGCCGCATCGCGTCCGGTCTGTGTCGACCTTAACAAAGCATGAGAAGAAAATCACGTAATGATGTGAAACTTTAAAACAACAAAGAAAATAACCTCCTTTCTTATATCTGTCCTTCAAAAAAACTTCAATTCGCCCTTTTAAACGATTTCTGACCGCAGTGCATTCTGGTAAAATGACCATTCCCCATCTTTTTCGTTATTGTGAATTCCCTTAATTAACGATAGACCTTTTCGGTATACGTCACAACATTTTACCATCACGTTTTAAATTTAGAACCACCCTAAATGAGATGGATTTCAATTTTCAAGTTTTACTCTCACGAGCTACGTGCAAAGATGCAAAACATCCTTCTTTAACACATGCATAAAATTTTTTTGTCTTGACCAATAAATGTGGAAATAAGCCATAACACGAGAACGAGGCCCAGGGGACTCTCAGTCAGGGGAAGCTCAGTTTGCGCGTTATGGCTTATTTCAATACTTATCAGTCAAAATGAAAAAATGTGTTTCATGCACGGGTTATAGAAGGATGTTTTGCATCTTTGCACATAGCTTGTTAGAGTAAAACTTGAAACCCATCTCATTAAAGGTGGTTCTAAATTTAAAACGATGTTGTGATGTAATTACCAACAAGGTCTATTGCATGAAAATTTTAGATAATCCCATTTCTTTTAATTGCATGATTTGTAAAGCCACCCTCCCTATCAGGGTCCTTCGCCCCTGTGTCGAGGAATTTGTGGCACCACCCCTGGCAAATTTTGCTTGGCATGGCTAGAAATAGCAATAAACTATAGTATATAAACATGCATAGTGTGTGATCATCCCCAGCTCTTGTGTAATTAGATGGAATTTTAAGCAGGAAAGTCGGTCCGGAAACCCGATTATTGGGGACAACCAATGTCGATCTGAGAAATTATTTTGTGCTTTTGCCTGGAATAAATAATGCATGATGAAACTTGTGGCTAACACACTATGTACTACAACTTTAAAATGTTAGAACATGTACAATAGATATGTACAGTGAAAAGATATAAATGTTTCGTTAGGGGCCACTTGTTATTAGTTGTATAATATCCAGGTAACAAATACAATAAGAAATATGCTTGAAAAAGGATGATCAACTTTAATAATTTGCAAAAACATTAAGGCACTAATACTTCAGTTTTCACAGAAATATTCTTGGTAAGTTCCACCTTTACCATTAAAAATCGATTTAAAATTAGGCAAGCAAGCATTGTGACCTTTCATCTTACATTCAATGGCATTTTTCGTTCTATAGAGTTTATGTTCTAGATAGCTTATCCCATAACGCTTCATGATAACCTGAAAAACATTCCTGGGATAACGAACCCATATACCATTTGTTTTTATTCTAATATATTCAGGAGGAGGGTCATTGGTAGGAAACATTGTTGCCAATCCACCTGAAACATCACCAATTTCTTTAGGTGTACAAAAGACATGGACAGCATTAGTTTCTACATGTTCCCTCATTACATAGCCTTTCTTAGAAACCCATGGCTGTAACAAATTTAGTAGTTGTGGTACATCCATGCCGTACACATTGAGATCAATGTCACCAGCCTCCCATGGTAAAATTGAGTGCATTTTCACTGCTCCTAAAGAGACTCCTCCAAAAAAATCATAGTTGACATTGTGCTCTTCCAGGAAATTGGTCACTTCTCTCAGTGAAACTTTCAGATAATCCAGTAAAAAAGGGTAGGTATACAATCCTTGGTAGGCCCAGTGCTTATTATCAAGCATTAGTTGGTGGGCATTTTTTTCAATACACAGATCCTTTCCACTTAAAGGACTTGTTGAACTACACAAATCCACAAGGTTGCCCTCTTCATCCTTGAAAATAAAGACCTTATGTTTAACTGCAAATGGAACCAAATCTTTGGTTATGTCATGCGACTGCCATTTATCATACATACTCTTGAATCCGTCGGCCAACAACATGAAACTTGGCCTGGTGGCCACGACAACATTTGCAGTTTTTGCTCGAATAAAAAAATCCTTTATTACCAACATGTCAGACATATTTTCATCAAATCCATTTTGCACTTTTTTTACGCTTTGCTTTCTCCCCACAAAAGATGCAGACGTTCCATCACAAATCATAATATGATCAAGCGACCTTTTGTATTGGTAGGTTTCAACGAATGTCCATTTACAAAATTTAAAACGTTGACAAGTAATGTGCAACTTATCGCCTGATAAATACGATCCTCCAATGAAATCTATCTCTGGATAGCGCTCTAAAGCATCCCACAGGGTAGCTAATCCTTCATTTTCTTTATCTGAGAGTGACACGTCGGGTTCCAAAACCATAAAATACTCAGTTTTAATATCTTTAATCATGCGATTCAGCGACGTTGCAATGTTATTTGACTTATCATCCCATTTAATAGGCGACGAAGGATACAAACGCTTGATTTTCTTAAGTTTTGTCTCAAACCGTACACCTTTTTCGTTCGCACGCTTCAACAGCATAATTGTGACTTCTGAGGGCAAAAATTCTCGCGGACTTTCATTCGTGTTGATGGCGTCGAAAATATTATTATTATTAACGTTGGTCCTTTCCTCTGTCCTTTCCAACACTTTGATGGTTGTTTTCAGATGCGAGTTCTCGTGGACTAGGATATTTATCCTAATTAACAGAAAAAGCACTATTACGGCTAGGCAAATGAGTACGAGAAACATTCGGTTGCGTATCATTTTGTGCACAAAAAATTTGTCCAAGCTCTATAGTAATTATATGTATTTGAGAAATTATAGAACGGTTCGCACTCGCAATGTGAACTGTGAAATGTACTCAACGTACCAGTGGGGTGGTATGACCAGTGAACCCTACCGTCCCTACGGGCCTACGGCTAAATGACTGTGTTTTCATATGTGGCCAGGCACAGAGTGGAATGCCTTTCCTTCGTATTTGGGTTGGTATTTATCACAATATTAATATATACTGGGTTTCTTCTTTAAAATCCCAAACCTTTCTCCTGCAAACCTTCTGCAGACCTAGGTACCTGGGGCAAGTTGACTCGTTTGGAGCAAGAACAAAAGCTTCTGTTGGTGGTCTACGCTCCCCCCCCCGCCCTCTTGCCTGATATCGATAGAAGATCTGTAATTTCAATGTTTTGAGTTCTGACCAATCAAAAACAATCAAAAACTGTTTATACTGTGAATTTGCATATGCGCATCGTTTGAATTTGAACAGTCATCAGTGTTTCAGCAAAGAGTAAATATATATTTACTCTTTGGTTCGAGACTTCGAGTTTATGATATATTATAAATATATTATATTGTTGGGTTAATACTGCTTTGCAGTTTACATCGAATCATCAATTCTCCTTGGAATTTTATTAATAGGTAAACAAGATTTCAGTGATCATGTTCACGTAAAATTCAAGATTTTGTATTCATCAACTGCATTTTGTTGAATAGATGGATAGAAATGTGAATAGACCGAAGCATTGGCAGTCAAATGCAAGAAGAAAGAATTTGGCGGAGAAGAAAGCATTTGCTGAAACAAATAAAATGCCATCATATCAAAACAAATCTTTGGATATGAGGTAAACATACATTTACTAGTGTATTTCCCAGTATTTCCTTATATCTTTAATTTTAAATGTACTTTGATAATATAAAAGAATTCAATTGCAAAAGAAAATGCAATTTTATACACTGTGCATGCCTTGTTCATACAGTAAGTGGTTGTATGAGTTATTCTAACATCAGGGCAACATTTGTGCTTAGAGCACATAGATTTTTAGTATATTAGATATGATTTGCAAACATTATCTTCTTGTATCAATCCAATTGATCTTTAGAATTATAATGTTGATGTCTAGGTGGTGCTTAGGTTTTGCACTTTGGAAGTGGCCCTTGAATTATTTGATTCAAAAATTATTTGTAGTTGTAGTTTATTTGGTTAGGAATATATGTTATATTTATCATAATTATACAAATTGCTATGTTTCCTATTTAGTGTAAGACTTCAGCTTTGGAAAACAGAAAAGATCAGGTACCTATTAACCTACATATATATATTAATTGCCCTCTTCATCCTTAAAAATAAAATCCTTATGTTTTTGTGACTGCAAATTTATGAAACCAAAAGTTTTGGTTATATCATGTGACTCACACATGAACTTTTGCATGCCTGTGTAATTAAAAACGAATTACAGTTTTGTTATTAACACTAGATTTTTGTTACGTAGGAAGGAACAGTCATCTAAAGAGAAGAAAAAGCTTAAACAAACAAATTCAAAGACCATATTATATTATACCGGAAGCAAAAGTAACATTCCGTTAACCAAAACAACCAAATTTTTAAACAAGAAGTTTAAAACACCGCTGAAGGAATATCAGTCGCCTTCAATTAAAGATACTTACAAGGATGTCAGGCTTGACATGAGGTTCGAATCTTTTAAAACAAATTTTTTAGACAAAGTCCGACAGCAGATCTTTAAAGACTTAATTACTATTAGTCTGATGTTAGGCTGATGCTTGACAGGTCTATAGAGACAAAACTATACTTGCTAATCTGTCAGGCTGATAACAATATTGGTGCTCGCTATTGTGCTCAAATAAACACATCTTATGATTTTGAATGTAGGACTCGCCTTGAATTATGGTGGAAAGAAAAAGGGTAAGATTTAAAATCATTCTTGCTAAGTTAGTTATATACTGAATTAATCTCAATATTTTACTTTCAGCAAAACTCCACAAACACCAACCTTATCGAATCAAGGTTTCCCGTGCAAGCACCCAGTTGGGGCTAGCCCAAACCAAAGACGAAAAACATGGTGCCATAATGAAATGCCCAGGTCAAAATCTGTTCAAAATCGAAAATCTCTTCATAGACAAAGTGGTATTTTTAAGCATGGTGAATTGTCTGGCAAACAGACAAGGAAAAGTTGTTCTTTTATTCTTCAAAACAAAGAAAATGAAACCAATGAAAATAATTCTAGTACTGATAGCTTTATGTGGTGCTCAGACAAAGTTTCTCTAGCTGCTGACGAAGAGAAAGATCTAATCAAGACTTTAGAAAGGTGTTATGAAATGTTTAAAGAGGTACATATAAAATTGTATTTATTGTATATATATATTTCTCAACTTTTTTTAACTTTACTCTATTAAATAACAGTAAATTTGTAATTTTGTAAAATTATTCATCTTTCTAAAAACTTGCTTACTATAGGTACAAATACAATTTACCACTTTTAACTTTTATGCTGGCTTTTGAGCCTTTTCTGTCTCAATCAGCACCAACTTTGTGAAACTCAATGTTGTCTTACCAGATGTAACTGGCACAATTTAGATAATTAAAAAAACTTCTCAAGACCTATCTTTTTAATTGTTTTAAATAGTCTGCATTGTAATTATATTAATTTTAAATCAGTCTAGTCAGCACAATGCAATTAGTTAAATTTACTTAAATAATTTGTATCATTATTATTTAATAGCGCATTATATATGGCAATATAGACCATCTCTAGCTGATGGGTTTTGTATCATTAATTTACTAATTTATTCCCATAGAAGAATTTGACGCAGGAGGAAATAGCATTCAGACTTGATGATATTCAGCGGGAGCACCCAAATGCATTAAGACACGCACTCTATTGGATCTGCCGAGCAAAGCTGGCTGAGAACTTTGGAGATCATGAAAGAGTTGTTTGCAATATTGAACGGGCAACCGCTTTTTCAGCAGAGGTAGGGAATAATTATTTTTACATTATTTGCATGATTCGAAAGACTGGGTAATAATTAAATTAACCATAAATTCAAAGTTATTGAATAGTGTGTAGACTGAACCTCCTTGTGATGCCCTTCAGTCGAAACTAGACTTATGAGAAGCAACTAGTGCTTGTGGTTCAACAGCAAAAAAAATTTCATGCTGACGATAAACTCATGGACGGATTATCCGGGGATTGAGTCTCCCCCCCCCCCAACGAAAGCAAATAGTTTTAAAAATAAGGTCGTTCAAAAAACTGTAACATTCTGACATCAAAATTGGCTAAAATTTGAAGAAATAGCAAGGTGAGGATAAAATGTTGAAGGAACAAAGTACAAAAATAAAAAGCCTCAGGTGGCCGGACCATTCATCCCCAACTCCCAAATTCAATTTAACAATATTCAAAATTCATATGAACACATTTCAAAAAGTTTTAAATCTTAGTATTTCCGGGAGAGGGTGCACCCCAGGCAGCCCCTGAGTAGCTAATTTCTATCAGACTCTATTTATATAAAGTAGCCTGTTTGAAAACTCTTTATTTTTCCCTTGGTACTAAAAAATTCATTTAATTATATACATAGCCAAAACAAATAGTAGAAAAGTATTTTGCTGAGTACAAGTCAAAAGCACAGAGGGACAACGAAGGTATAGTTGGAATCTTTTTCAAACATTAACTCGTCCGTACCAGGCACACTTCACAACAGTATATATAAACACATATAGGTATTACCATCGATCTATTAGATCGGCTCAGTCAATTTGCATGCATCGCGTTACCGTTTGGCGAGAATTTCGTTTATTAGTTATTTATACCCGTTCTTATTAAATAACAGGAGCAGAAAGTCCCGCAAAAGAGAGACCATTTCGCACACCATACAGGACACCCTGTAGAGAATTATCTAAACTTGATGGAGAAGTCTTTAACTCTTCAGTTGTGAGGTTTTGTTTGATTGATTCCACTCCAAGGAGAAACAGGTAAACTATGGTATTGTGCTATAGCCAGGAATCCTAAAGGATGTCACAACTGTCTTTAAACAATTGTCTTCGAGCTAGATGTACTTTTTTATATATTTTTATTCTATTACTATTGATACTTTTATGTTATTATAACATTATTATACTTTTATTTTTATGCAAAAGAAAATCTGCGCCTGAAAAGCGTGTATTCACTCCTGTCCGCCGGACTACCCGTTGGGAACGTTGCGGTATTACACGTCCAAAGATGATTGAAGAGAAGAGAATAACCGTAGCGTCGTTGGGGGAACTGTCCAGTCCAATACGATCCACAATTGTGTTTAAACCAAACATGCTACTTCCTTGTCAACTGGATGAGGAGATGCTAATTGATCTTGAATAAAATAAAAAGAATTTTTTATACGCGGTAGGGAAGAATATTTGATGCGATGATTGTATCATGTTTCTAAGGTTAAGGTGTCGTTGGTGTATTTTCATTTTAGTATCACATCCTATGCACAGTCTGGGCGACGCGCATTTTTTTCCCGTAGACAGTCGGGCACATCTTTAATGGTCGGGCACATCCTCAACATCCAAACACCAAACGCTCACACTCTTATTAGGAGTTTGCAATTATCGAAAAATATTTAAAAAGTAAAAAAAATGAAACAAAGTGGTAATATGCCATGATATCCCAGACATCCCGCACTGGAGACCTCTACACTAAGTCATTTCAAAATTTACACTTAGAAGTTAGGTCTGGCTAGCTCAGGAAATATTTTTCTTCATTTGAAATGCCCAGGGGCAGTGAGCTGGCAAGGGGTTGCTGCATGCATGTATTTCCACTAATCCACTGACTTTACTATTAAAAAGCGCCTGGGTTCGAGGTTGGTTATAGCCTATGGGCACAGATATGGGTTATGTGCCTGGTAAAAATTTGATCAAAAAGGTTTGAAAAAGGACGGGAAAAGGATGTAATCGAACAGCAACTCTGCTGCCATCAAAAGTTAATTTTAGCCCTTAGAAACGTTGCTAACCAATCAACGCAACGTTTCAAACAATGGAACAACGCGTTTGAAAATTGAAATGCAAGCCGCAAGCTCAACTGCAAATGACGGTATAATGTACACGTAGTCTATTAACTTGATACCGTAGTAAAGTGACGCAAGAAGGATATATTTTAGTATCTTTGAACTCTGTCCTGAAAAGGCAGGTTGTGAGTTGCAGGAAGTGAGTGTCGTCATTGTTTGAGAGACTTCATTTAAATCGCATATATAGTGTTACTTTACTCTAGTACGAGGAGTTGTCACAAGGAGGGACATTGCTGAGCTAAATGGTGTTATAGAATACGTACCTCTCAGTAATTGAAATGTGTGTAAGTGTCACAATGATTATACTATTATTATCATTCTAAATGGGATCTATTTTGCAATATATAATATTCTGTGGCAACTTGTTCACTTTTAATATGGTATTATATGGTAGGCTAAGATTACTAGTATGCACTACTACTAGTAATATTTTTTACTCCAGTGATGTGTTCAGTTTAGAGTTTCGAAAGTCATGATCTAATTAAAAAGTCACACAGTTAGTTAAATTCTTAAACTATTCCAGTTTCAAATAATTATCACAGCTATTGCCTTATCAATTTGGAATAGATTAATTACAGTCTTGTCATTGTTTTACATGGTGTCAAAAGATGTTGCAAATGTTGCCTTAATTATTTGTAATCCAATTAAAAATTTGTAATTTTTCTATGATTGCTACTTTTATGGGGCATGCATTTGTCATTTTTGCGCACCTGAATGCGATTTCTCACTCCTCGCCTATTTTACACAACCTTTTGCACCTAAGTTCTCAGCCAAAATTGAGCCTAACACAGCAGTCCAGGCTTATACCTTTCAATTCCTATAGGAGTATCTAATTGAAAACACATGGCATGGAGATGCTATCAAGTCACACGACCCAGTCAAACTGACATTATCTGCAAGTGCTGATAACAAATATATTGTTGTGAAAGTAGATGCACCATTTTTCAATGATCCTGGAATACCAAATGCACCAGCTGGAGAACCATGTCCACAGCTTTGGGATTATGAAGGTTAATGCACATATAGTTTATCTGTATATGCTGGAAGGTTAAAAATGCTAAATTTTAAATATATTTTTGAACTAACTACATTAACAACAAAATGTTTGATAGTAAGAAATGATTTGTACATGTGGTAACAATTACAAATGACAATGATCTGAATGAAGCAACCATAATCACATTAACCATGCCATAATCTGCCTCTATTCATAATGATATAAATTAGTTTAGACAAATGTTTGATTGAATTATTTTTTTCATTGAATATATATTTTTTTCATACAAAACATTTAGAAATTACAACTAATGATTACCTAAAAGCTATAGTAATTCCAATACAAAATTCCCAATGAAGAAATTGCGATCATATATCAGTTTAATAGTAATCATATTCAATGGTTTTTTTATGAAGTGTAATTATAAAGTGTAATTATATGTCACATGCTCACACCCCTTTTCCAGGATAGAGACTTTTCCAGTATATTATATTTCCTAGTCATTTGCATTCAATCATACATTTTACAACAATGTACAGGTTGAAGAACGGGAAAAAGTTTTTTGTCCATATGTTCACGCACGTAAAAGTTTAAAACAATATAAATGATACTTATGGAATCAACGGTTGAATAGAAGCGTAGGGTTGGACTCTGTTGATGATTTGGTGTGTTTTTCTGGTATATAATTAATTATACAGCAACTTAGAAGGTTTTTAAGAATTAAGTTTTTACGTGCGTGTACGAGCGTGCGGCAAAAAACGTGATAGTGGAAAGCAACCCTTATATGCGCGATTTACTAAACTGATTACGCTCCTTCGTATAGAGTAATCATAGAAATAATTGACATTATAATTGTATTATTTCTATGAGAATAATTCACGCACACCAGCGCGTTGAAGTTCGATAACCTTTTTGAGACACCTTGTAGATAAGCGGAGTGTGCCAATTTAACCCAGGTGTGAAGATACAAATTATATTCTTTAACTTTTCCTTCATAATTATTTTTTCAAATATTAGTTGTTGAAATTTTCTTTCTTGGTGAGGATACAAAGTACTTAGAAGTTGAGCTGTGCCCGTAAGTTATTGGTTTTGTCATTACTATATGTTAAGGAACACCTTAGTTAATTATGCGGGTGTAGTGTACTGGGAATGGAATTATTTAAGCAAGTTTTTTCACCAGAATAAGTGACATTGCATGTTTTTATAGCAGTATATAGAACGGCTTTCTGGTGTGATTACTCTTTTGGAATTGCAGAGAGTCAGAGACCTAGGTTCATCATGCATTTATCAGACATGAATTCCGTAGTCAGTCAGACTCAGTCTACCTCCTACAGTCCCATTATCACATATGGGCGAGGATGTCTATGCAAATGTCACTTTTATCTCAAATAATTTTTCTACTACTTATATATAAGTTAATTGTAGAATTTAACAAAAAAGAAGGGCCAGAAATTACTTATAAACACCGCTTTTTCTAAATCGTATGCCTAATTTCTTTCTTCCAACCCAACACTGCATCTACAGGGTGTCCCCAAAAAAGTCCCCCCCCTATTGAAATGAAGCTTTTGTTGGAATTTGAATGCATGATAAACGCAGTAGTGTGTAAATAGCATAGTTATTAGGTGGAGGCATTCAAATAAAGCGTCTTGCTTTCAATAGGGTTTATCTTTAATATTAAAGCAATCAGATTCTAAAAAAGGCTTAATTTCAATGGAGGGAACATTTTTTTGGGACACCCTGTATATTTAACTTGTGACTTGTGTTTTATAGGCATGGTCAACATTTAGTTCTAATGTTAAAAGGGATAAAAAATATTATCAAGGTAAAACGGCGGCTTTTTGTACGTATGAATAATAAATAATAACCTAGTGTTTATTCCAATGCAAAATAAGTTGACAAATGAAACTTATGAACTGTATTAAAGTGTTGATAATAAATTTACATGGTCGTGTTACAAGACTTTATTGAAGCAATTTATCAAACAATGTGTGTGCATGTATGCATTTTTCGTCAAGTCCCACTCATGTTTTTTCTGTTCCTAGGACGAACTGGAACTCCAATATACTGTAGAGAAGAGTGAAAAAAGGTGGACTGGTGAGGCCAAGATACCTGTGGAGTACCTACCTCCTAATGTGACTTTGCTGAATGCCTATGCTATCCATGGTTCTGGAGAATCAAGGCAATATGAAGCTCTCTACCCTGCTAATAAAGAATTTGATCAACCAAACTTGTACGTAATCTGCTAATTTTTTTACGTTTTTCACTGCAATAATGCCATAGACCTAGCGCAATTTCTGCCAGCATCCTTACGGTTTTCTTTTCCTCTATGTTGCCATGTAGTCACAGATTACAGTTTTTCAAGCCATTCGAAGTAAACTCATTATTTCCGAACCTTGTTGCAAACTATGTCCAGTCACCTCATTGGGCTTAACAGAACAACTATCAAATATTTTAATGATGGAGTGATGAGAGCACAGTTCTAAGCGCATAACTTACTTAGATTGTACTAGTCATCTACTGACAATTCTGTATCAACGTAGCTGTAATATTTCTACTTTACAAAGTCGACCATTTGGAAAGTATAAATCCTCTTTTGTACTCTTCAGAATAACATTCACATCATTAGATGTGCAATGACTTATTTGCTGATTGTAATTGCCAGTTTTAAAATAACTGAAATCTTTCAACAAATCATCACAATTGAATTAAATATTAGAAATGTGCTATTTTTATATTTTTTAATTATGCGCTGCTTGATTCTAGCAAAAAAATTTTTTGGTCTGTATTTATTACTCATACTTATTTTTAGAATGTTATTACATAACTTTATGGTAACTAAAGTCAATCTCATATTCCCAGGTGCCCGGATTAGTCAAATGGAGTGGCATAACAAATGTTAAAAATTCAATCGATTTTGGTTGGACGGTCACATTAAGTGGCAATATCCCAGGCGTCCGCATGTTTTCTAATTCAAAATTCATCCTGACATTATATTTAACATCATGACACATGTTTGCAACTTCAAACACTGTGCTTACCCCATAGTCCCGGGATAAAATATAAAGACAGTGGTTGTGGCGATTATCTGTTTTTGTCATTTTCCCAAACACATTCCCATACTTTTTCCAGTTTGGGGTGATTTTGGGGTCCTTTTGGGGTCCTTTTGATTGAACCTGGCAGACACATAGGTCTCTGTCAATGTATGTTGAGCATGATCTATGTTTAACATTGTCAATCAAATGCTTTCTTTCATAGTTAACAAGTGCCATCTCCATTGCAGGATTATTGTCACCATGCCATTTGACATTGACTCGAAATAGCTCATTCCTTTGAACATAAATATCAATTTGAGTGATTATATACCCATTTTCAATTCGTTTCTGGCTAATGTTTGTTAACAGCAATCCCTTTAATCGTTCACATGTAACAAATGGGACCTCTTGGGAATTTTGGTTGGTATATTGGTTAGCAATAATGTTGTTGAGTTTGCCCAATGCAAACTCAGCAATAATGTAATGGCCTGTGTTTGGTTGTTGCTTTGAGTTCCAGCCATCACAAATACATAATGATGATGAGAGCAAATCAAGGTTAGCACAGTTCCTGCTAGAATCAATTTCATTGAACAGTCCATGATTGTACGAGTCATTTTTGTGATGTTCCACCTGCAACGATAATACCATATCATGAATATCAGAAATAGAAATTAGTTTCAATTGGTTGTTAACTAAGTTTTTTTTCTTCGACTCCCCAAGTCGCCAAGCAACATATGTTGGTAAAATCATAAATAAAAAAGGGTTGTACTTTTCATATTGACCTTCCATTGTTTGTACAGGAAACGTGTCAAAGGTATTGCCATGTCCAGATATTAAAATAGTGATTGTATTCTTGTCTGCAGCCATTTTTGTAACAAATGTTGCCAAAGAATTATCCAATAACTGAATTTTACGACCACTTTCCTCTTTTCCTAAGCTGATAGATGTGAATGAAAACACAGGAGTTGATGAAAGCTTATTATTGACATGATTCAGTGATTCCACAACATAGTCAAAAAGGTAATCATGATGGTATCTTCCGTTCATACAAATCTCACTTGTTAATGTATTTTCTTTATTGTTTACATCATTCCTAAGACAACTTGAATGTGTTAGACCAAATGAGTCTATGCTTTCTGATTTCAATTTAATTTTCAACTTATTCAAGTCATTTTGGATTTTTGAATTATGGACTCCAAAGTACCAACTAACACCCACATCAGATTTCCAACACTCGTCTTCTTGCCAGAGGATCTGATAACCAGCCTTCTTAAAAAAGCTTAGCATTGTTTTTTCTGTTGTATTTTGAAAAGTGTTACTTTTTCCCTTTAGAAATCCTGAGAGAGTTTCTTTAGGTGTTGTTCTCAATGCTTGATACAGCTCAAAGTCTAAAACATTTGAAGATGACTTTGGATTAAGGTTCACATTGCGAAATGCTGCTATTGTTTTTGGTAGGGACCTGTAAAGGTGTCTTCTTGAAACTGCATCCAAGAATATAATATTCACATTGACATTGATGTCTTTTTTACTAACATGCGAGATGTTGGTAGGACTAGCAAGTGGAACTGAGACCAATTGGGTGGGTTGGTTTGCAATACCAGTATTGAAGTTAATGTTACCACTGCACTTAAGGTAGAAGAATGGGAACATTTGATCTAGATTTTTAAGCACAAATTCTTGGATAAATTTCTCAAGTTTGCTGGAATTGACATCCTCCCATTGAATTTGACCAGTCTCTTTGATCAGTGAACCAACTTTTACAATTTTCCCACAGGGATTGTGTTCACAGCTGACTTGAAAGGATTTAAAGGAGCCACTTACAGCACAAATTTTTACACTTATACTTTCTGCGCATTTCGTATCAGCTGGATTGTTCCCAGGGTACAAATATTTCTCTGCAAGAAGCTCAAGGCCATCGCTTTGTGTAAATCGGCAAACTGATGGTTTTCCTTCTGGCTTTGGCTTACCAATTTCAAACGTTAACACACGCTTTTGTTTTATAGGGACTAACTTCTGAATAAAGTGTTTCATCGATGAATTGACTGTTAATTTTTTCAACGACACATTCTTGTCCCAACGTACACATAAATTGTAAAGGACGAAAAGAATGATGTTTATCAAAACGAAATAGCATATTGCCTTACGGCGAAGCCTGATTCGTGGCATTGTACAGTACCAACAATTAAACACCGTTTCCCACCCTTGGCGTTCTAGCGACTGCAGCTATACATTTTATTTCAAGGACACAATCTTGATATTGTTCACTCCATTTTCTTGATGAAAATCACCCAACAGCAGTACAAAATGATTTTTACAATATATTATTCAAACCAACAACGAGAAAATTCTTTTTGGAATATAGTACCCGTACCAGCAGCCTGTAAAACGAGAAAATATGTAATTTTCTCTTCTCTTGTGTACGTCCGGGTCAAAACGTCATGTTGGCAGAATTATAGTGAAGGATGACTTCCTTTCTCATTTTTTCCTTTTTCCTTTCTCATGTTTGACCGATCTGGCTATTTATTTCGACACCGATAGCAATGCTGATACTGATACTAATGTGAACGAAGTGATGATGAATTATGAAAGTTAAATGAATTTAAAAACGGTATACTCGACCATGGTCGAATATACGTATTAAATACCGAAAAATGGTATACTCGACCATTGTGGACGAATATATCGAAATATGGTATACTCGACCATGGTCGAATATACCAAAAAATAATATACTCGACCATGGTCGAATATACCTAAAAATGGTATACCATGGGTCGAATATACCCTATGAGTATACCGAAAAGCTGAAGTGAAGCTGACATGAAGTACTTCGTATCGTGAAAAACCAATATGGCTGCCAAGTTTTGCGTATTAAAATCAGTGATTGTTTTGTCATGTATCTTGATTTACATCAGCCTAAAAACGACGCAGAAGTGAGAATCGTTTTAGTTTTGGGATGAAAATAAAAACACATTTATTTCGTATAAAATGAGTCAACTGACGGAGAACCTAGAACATACAGAAGCGGAGAAGAAATCTTTCCCTGCGAGAGTGAACGGGAATATTGAATCCAACCCCAGAAAACACAACAAGTGCTTGGAGTGGGCAGGAAATTCATGTAGAAAAGGTTCGAAATATCTTTATGAAAAAGCTCAGTTGGGGCTATTCCACCGCCTGAAAATATGCTGATATATATGATATTAATGCAGGGAGAATATTTATTTAGGAAAATATTTCTTTAATAGCTCCATATGTTAAGTTCATGTTAGATGCCATGAAGAAGATGGGCTGGTACGTATGATAATGTTATGATGTTTACAATATTTAATTTTTATTGGGCATTCCCTTGTGATATTTTTTTATTCTCTGCAGACAGACAATATTTATTTAACGTTCCAATGAAATGCCTTTACACCGGAGATCTACCCTCATTTTTAATTCTTTCTTGCAAGCCAACAATTAAGAAAACTATGAAAGATATCTGTTCATATAAGTGTAATCAATGTGGAACTTATTGTGCTGGTGTGATGCTAGTGGAAATTCTAACTTACAGTCGATTTCAGATCACTTTTCACAGAGCGGTTCCCAAGGTCGTTGCGAAGCTATCAATTACAATTTAAAATTTAGAAATAGGGCGTGAACTTCGCAATGAAATTAGCAACGTAGTCCTGAAAATCGAATCTCATAAATTCAGTTTTCTAAGTTCGTAATTCACAAGAGTCGATATGAGTAGAAATTTCACGTCAAGGACGTGCACTTCCACTGAACGTACGCGAGGAAATTGTGGAATCGTGGCTAAATAAAACGCGACCATCTGAGATTGCAGAGCAATTAAAACTACCGTTACGAACTGTACTGTATTTTTATCGATCCCCGCACAAATGGCCAGAAATTGCATCAACTTTTCTGTTGTTGTTAGCGTAAGTGACTCTTGAGCTTGTGACTTTTGGTACACGAGAAAGAAACTAACTGTTGTTCAGTTAGTTTCTTTCTCGTGTACCAAAAGTCATCTTTTAAAGCGCGACTTATTGAAGTAAGACTCGGCACATTCTCGGGTAAACAAATATTATTTTGTTGCAGTTGATTCTGAATTTCAGCAGCATGTGTACTTGGTTTAACCGTTTTAGAATCCTATGACTATAGATGCTACAACGTCATCTGTTCGAGCAGTTCTGAATCTCTGTCCCGGCTCAGTTGGTTGAACATTCCCATCGTTGTCGATAAACCTTTCTATAATATTTAAAACCGTTCGTAACAGTAGTTTTAATTGCTCGGCAATCTCAGATGGTCGCGTTTTATTTAGCAACGATTCTACAATTTCCTCGCGTACGCTCAGTGGAAGTGTACGTCCTTGACGTGAAAAAGGATTTCTACTCATATCGACTCTTCTGAATTACGAACTTTGAAAATTGAATTTACGAGATTCGATTTTCAGGACTACGTTGCTAATTTCGTTGCGAAGTTCACGCCCTATTTCTAAATTTGAAATTGTAATTGATAGCTTCGCAACGAAATTGGGAACCGCTCAGTGAAAAGTGATCTGAAAATTGAAATCGACCGTAAAACCACAGGAAGGTTTTTGTTTTTCCCACCTGATCAATGAAAATGCTCCTAAATTATTTTTCCTAGTTTCAATTAATATTTTATACAGGGTGTATCAAAAAAAAGTAGACAATTTTGAAATGTTTAGAAAACTATAAATTTATCAAAATATCTCATAGATTTGTGCTAGTATGGGTACTTTGGCATCTTCAGGTCATTCTAACACTAAAAACAAACAGAAAAATTAACCTCGAAAAATAGAAGAGCGGTTTGTGGAAGCATCATTTTGAATGGCTTGTGCAAACATGAATGAGAGGTTTAAAATCCAATTTGAATTCAAGGGCTGAACGTTTGGGTATTTGTTTAAAAAGAATCGAAATTTCAGAAATTTTGATGAAAATTAAGTCAGCCGCGCAACTGCGTAAACGTGGGCTTTTTTCCGTTTAACTCGCAGCTTGAGTAACTTTTTTCACAACACCATTGTTAGTTTAATCACCCGAGCAATCACTCATGCATGAAATCATTCGTGCATGAAAAAAGTTACTCAAGCTGCGAGTTAAACGGAAAAAAGCCCACGTTTACGCAGTTGCGCGGCTGACTTAATTTTCTTCAAAATTTCTGAAATTTCGATTCTTTGTAAACAATTACCCAAACGTTCAGCCCTTGAATTCAAATTGTATTTTAAACTTCTCATTCATGTTTGCACAAGCCATTCAAAATGATGCTTCCACAAACCGCTCTTCCATTTTTCGAGGTTAATTTTTCTGTTTGTTTTTAGTGTTAGAATGACCTGAAGATGGTAAAGTACCCATACTAGCATAAATCTATGAGATATTTTGATAAATTTATAGTTTTCTTAACATTTCAAAATTGTCTACTTTTTTTTGATACACCCTGTATAGTAAGCACCAGTGTTTAGAACACTTGTGTTCTATGCTCTATGCCTTTTTTCCTTCTATAAGGTCGGAATAATGAAATGTATACTGTTTTTATTAGCAATGTTGATATTGGCAAGCATATAGTTTGTGAACCTTGTGGTGAGAATGTTCTTGGAGGATTTGACTTTCGCCGGAAACAGGTATTTTGAACTATTTTCGAGGTAATTGATTATTGTGTTCTGCTCATAATCACAATCAGGTGGTGTTTACTGTACAAACGTCACAGCCGATATTTTGGAGGTTGTCAATTATTACGTTCTTTTCCTAATCACAATCAGGGACATGCAGTTTACAGGTCACCAGCTTTAAAGTTCCAGCCTAGCGTAAAACAGTCTTAGAGAAGTGTTGATCTTAGCTCTTTAGATGTAAGATGCTTTTCTGTTGTTTTTCAGGTTGTATTGTGTGAGAATGTAATCTATTCTCAATCTTGTATGAACGATGTATTGACACATGAGTTAATACACGCCTATGACTTTGCACGAGTCAAATATGAGGCAGATAATCTCAGGCATTTGGCATGCACAGAGGTAAATCACATCATACTGTTCACTTATAGTTTTGCTTAAAATTATCAGACTGGCTTTCAGAAAACTGACAAAAATTCCTGCATAACAGACTGCATGCCTGACAATTTTTTCAGTGTGAGACGAATCATTACAAACGAGGGGCTCTTTTTGTGAGCAATGCGAAAGTCAAGTCTGTTTTGCGCATCAATTCAAAAATGCCAGAATATTGCATGTTTCGAAAATTCCAATTCATATTTTTTTAGAACTGTACCAAACCTAAATTTAGTGTTAGATATTATTCAGACAGCCATCGTATTTTAAAGAGTATAGAAATTAAAAAATCAAAAACTAAACAAACCGTTTGTTTACACACGGACTTATTTGACTCATTTCTTCTCATCACAGTATAGAACCTGTAGCCTTGAAAGTACATACAAATCATGATATATCTGTCTTTATATATAATATGCTAAATTATGTGCTCTATTTCTAATTTAGATACGAGCTGCAAATCTTAGTGGTGACTGTTTCTTTTGGAAAGAATTTTTTTCAAGATTTAATTTTGGGTGGAAAAGTCACCAAAAGGTGAAAATAAATTATTTAATAAATAGTATTTTTTTTATTTCGTTCAAACTCAATGCGCTTAACCGCTGCCTTAACGTGTTTATTCTGCAGCGTGACAGGGAAGAGTAAAATATCATTTTATTAGGGCAATAGAAACCGGTGTGAAGTTTGCATGCAAGGTTTTGGATTTAGGGCTGCTTTGATTTCCACTGTCGCGTTTTTTGCACGTACGTATACGCACGTAAAAGTTGACAATATTTTAAATGATACTTATGAAATCAACAATTGAATAGATGCATAGGGTTAGATTCTGTTGATGATTTGGTGTTTTTCTGGCATAAAATTAATTATACAGCAACTTAGAGGAGGAAAATCGTGTTTACAAATAGCAAATTGCTCATTTCCTTCATTAGGAATGTGCGAAAAATCGAGCTGTCAAATCAATCCTGTGCGTGAGTGATGTCAGTAGAGAGAAAGCAGAAGATATTGTATCGAGTGTTTTTGAAGAATGCTATAAAGACACTGAACCGTTTGACCGAATACCGCCATAAAGCTCGTTTTTCCACTTCGCGTTGCCGGCCGCGTCGCGTGCGGTTGGTGTAGACCTCGACCTCAGCCTCATATACCCAGGCGCTTTATTGGAAACATAAAAGCTGGCTTCAGCCACATTCAACGTAATATAGAGATCTGTGGCTAAGGTGTGCGGTCGACCTGATTCTCATCAGTCACCACCAGCGGTAGCCGGCTGTTAGCGCGTAATCACTGGAAAACAATGTGCTTTGTTATTATTTTGAATAAATTTTCTTCTTCAGCGGTCACTAGCGTCGAATGTCGGTGGTTAGTGGGAAGCAGGCTTAATATTTCGGCATGTAATAGTGGTAACTCTGTAAAATTGTAAAGTGACTAAAATGTGGAAACAATTCATTCTAGGAGAAATAAACAAATTGACTTCCAAGCACACGTTTCTGCATCTCAAGCCTTGCCACCCGTGTCACAAATTCTCACTTCAACATTCTCTTATCGTTCTAACGGGGAATCTAGGTTTAAATTTCTATTCTAACCTTCGTTCTATTTTATGATGAAATCATTTGCCTATTCTTTCAAGACGCGATAAACTTAGAACACGCAAAACTTACCTCAGCAGCAAGTTACTGAAACAATCCCCCTCGGGCGTGGGCTTGGACAGTTTGACTTTGATCATGCAAATCACCTAAATAATTAAGTTAGCACTCTCCCAGCACAAACACTACAACATATTATAAACATTTTCGTCGGAATGCTAAAGATTGATTGCTCATCAATGGCTTTACCTAACTGGAAATATATTTTATTACTGAATATTATGCTTTGGTATGAGCATACAAGAGCAAATTCACATCAGTCTAGCTCTCAGTCGACGGATAACGTTTTGCCCACTGTCCACCAAGATAAAGGTTATTTACTATCAGGTCAAAGATGTGGAACATCATATAGTAATCTGACAGAAAAACGATTTGCAAGATGTAAGTAAGAGTTGTGCTCTTCGAACTGTTAATTTTGTAATGGCGTATGCCTACACTGCTGCCAAAAATCACTGTACATGCAACTAAACTATAATTATTAAATCACTTTCATGGCAATTGGTATTGCCGGTTGTTCAAAGCCTGATTAGCGCTAAACCAGAGTGAAATATTTCGGGAATAACGTTGATTATAAGCAGCATAATAGTAAATGATTATAAGCAGTGGTTTGCTAACTTCGCTTTGAAGATGTCTGAGCCTGAGGTTAACCTGTTTTGAACTACCAGCTTGTTTTGAATGGTATCGATGTATAATTTGCTCCTGGTGATTTATCAACTTTTGTGAGTATATGTCTCAGCCGCGTAGTAAGATATGATTTTATGTGCACGAGTGTTTTATTACAATTATATTCTTGCAAACGATACAGATAAGACTAGAAGATCGGGCTTTTCAAATAGTCAAGGCATCTATCGACTATTATAGTCGTGGCATCATCATGCCATAAAGTTCATATCGTGTAGATTTACTTAAAACCTGTTTCCCATCAAGCGACAGGTTTTCCGAACCGGGACAAACAGGAATGTTACCCTTCAGTGATCACAGAGTGATCATGCAGCTCTGGTGGGACACGTACACTCCAGACTACACTCGCAACCCGTCCAAAATAATTCGCCTCGGTTTCTTTTGAGACAAAATTGCAGACTCTTTCTTTAACAGTACTTGATGCTAGCGGTAAACAAGGCAGCGGTATTTACGGTGGGAACACCTTGTGGTATGGATCATACAGCGAATGCTCGAAATTATCACACTCTCAATATTGTTGGACGCTTTTTCCTGGAGCCATATCGTTGGTTAAGAATAACACAGATGTAAGTATATGCATTCATCGTGAATTCAAAGAGTCTAATTGCATGAAGACGAACCACCTATAGTTTTGGAATCACTAAAAATATATTCATGCCCGGTATCATAAAATGACTACAATTACTATATATTTCTTGAGGTAATTTCAGAACATTAATCTGTTTCAGATTCTTCGTTTTGAATGGGGCGTGTGTATTCCTGATAGTTGTACTGCACAAGATGTGTCTGAAAACCTGGGTTTTTTCCTGAACAAATATAAAAGTAAGAATATAATTACAGTCTATTCCTATATTTTTGTTTTCTTTATCATTATCTGTTATTACGTAAGTTAATGTAGTCTGACATGAGCTTCCAAGGGTCTGTGGAGGGCCCTTGCGATGAGAAGGGAATAAAGTTTTAGGCTGGATTTCCACTTGCAGAGAAATGGTTCACTAGCAAAATATTTGCATGTTTGCTTTGGAAATGAGCAGTCAAGCTAAACTAATGTATATATTTTGCCAAATTCGAAAGAAAATATGCAAATTTTCGCTTGCGAACTCTTTTTCTGCAGGTGGAAATCCACCCTTATTGTGGCCATGTGTTTTTGACGTTTTTCGAGAAATAAGAAGATAAAAAGAATAACCTCGTATCAAACTCACTGTTAATCACTGTTAGCGCCAGTGTGACAGTTTTAAATGTGACACGATTGACACGGTTTTGTCGGCAGCAATCATTAGTTGAAAATATCTATTAGTATACTTTGACAATAAAGTACAAAAAACTACAACCATGCTTCGACCTTCGCCTAATTGCATAGCGTAAATTACGCAACAAATGATTATCAAGTGTGATTAAGTTGTCTGCATAATCATTAAGTACTGAAAAATCAGATATACTACGTTTTAATATTTGTTTCCGCATAGCACCGCTGTTTTTTTTAAACCTTTATAATGTGGAAGGTCATCTTGCTGCTATTCTCGTTCGCGTTAATCACGCGAAAAACCTGGGAACTAGGAGGATTTTGATGGCTTTTATCTTATATTTCTAGTTTTGGATATTGTTCAACCTTTGGCAAAACCATTTATCGTGCAATGTGCAAAAGATCCGGAGTACACTTCATCAGTTGTGATAACAATGTATGTCTTCAGTCTTTTAAGTCCGTTTACACTACAGTCAATTTATTGGCACGGCACGGTTAAAATGGATACCCATGCCAATTTCATCCGTGCCTGGCCTTTGTTTTGGTAGCCTGAACACTGTTAAAATTGGGTACGAGTACCGATCTTCACCGTGCCGTACCAATAAATTGAGTGTAGTGTAAACGGGGCTGTAATCTTCAATTTTTAAGTTAAACACTTCGCTGATTTCTTAAATCGCAATGAAGCTTCCAAATTTAATCTTAAAAAAGATGATAATCCTCGAGAGGATGATAAGTTAAAATATCTTGCAAAGAACTTGAGGATTTACAGTGAACCACGCTCAGACCTTCATTCCACTTTTTTAGTTTAAATCCGTTTCTGTGAAAAATAAATTTTTGTAATTAGGCAAACTAGACTAAAAAGGGTGTCAACACATGGACCGATAAAGAATGAAAGCGTCCCTCAGAAAACCTCTATTGTCACATATTGTTTTATATGATGACACAATTATTTTTTTTATTCTATGTATAACACGATTTGCTGCACCGTCAAAAACAGCATAACAACTTACACATTAAATTTTAACGTCATCAAAACGAATCCACTAATAATGATTCCGAGGAAAAAGGGTTGTACTGAAAAAAATCCTGCTCTAAAGTTTATTAATGACATGTTGACTTTCTTCTGTGTAGCGTATTTTGTTGTATTTTAATTGGTTTGTGTCTCCTTGCGACCATTGTTGATATTCTCCGTCATTTAAATGGTCCCCGTGAATCTACGGAAATAATTGGCGATGGCGATATTTCTTTGGACAAAAATGATCATGAGGACGAAAAGGTTTTCGAAAACGAACGAAAACCATTACTACCGAATGGATCTGGTCAAGAAACAGTAATTAAGGATAAAACAGGAGGTTAGTATTAACAGGAGTAATTCGAAATAGAAAACTTCTGGAAAAAACCAAGATAAAGGTCCTGAAAATTAGTCTTTCATAATTTTATAAAGGCGTATACGAACCCTGTTTTAGGGCGAGGGTTTTAAGCTTTTACGTGCGTATACGTACGTGCAAAAAACGCGACAGTGGAAAACCGTCTTTACACGTAATTTTCCTCATAATGATTTCTCTAAAGCATTTGGGTCGAAACGCCAGCAAATTTTATTTAGTATTTCAGGGAGTTGAGGATAAACTGTAATAATAATTTTATATGAAGACGTTCAAGTATAAACTATTTTTTGTTGTTGTTGCTGTTTTAGGTATTATCCTGTCCGTTCTCGATTGTTTTTCATGTCAACGAAATATTAAATTCATCATGAATACAGATGTTGGGAAAAGTGATTTAACGTACCTTCATGGTATCCGAGTGATCTCTATGTTCTGGATCATCTACATTCATGCAAATGAACAAGCATATCGTTCATTTAAGCCAATTGGTAAGCCATATATATATAATATTCTAATATCAGTCTAACATGTAGTGCATAGATATTTTTAACGACCACGAACAAAACGTACTTTTTCCGGCACGTTACCGTGAAGTTATATGAAAACTATTGCTTGTAGCCTTGTACAGCAAATATAATACACATGCAGATTCACTTTTTCAGATTCAGGCTACTTATAAATAGGCTGCGAGTTGTTACTTCATAGTTGACCCTGAAACATTTAAACGGATGTTTCTTGATAAAAACCAAAATAATCAGTCTGGCTTTCGGTTCGTTACCTCAGTGGAAATATAGATTATAGAGTCAAGGGGGCAACGCGAGATATTGCAGGGCTTTGGGAAAAGAGTTTTATCGCGGGGTCTCTATAAGCGTGATATTATTTTAGATATTTGTTAATGTTCTAACATGTATTGCATAGATCTTTTTAACGACCACCGAAACAGAAGATTTACTTTCTGATTAACATTTTTGGTCTGGAAAATGCTCCCGTGGAAAACGGGCTTTTTAGCATGTCATTATTTATCACAGAAAATATGAAGGAAGCGGAAAGCATCCAGCGACGATTCACGAATATGATTTCCCCCAATGGAGCCTACGGAGTAGACACATTTTTCCTCTTGAGGTAAGTTCTATTATAATATGTCACTCTATATGATGACTCTACAGCACATACATCCTGATATAACCAAGGAGCAGCGTGGCAGCGTCTTCAAACAACTTAGCATCAAATGTGGTATAACAACTGCCTAAATTAGACAAAACACTTCTCGACGTTTCGACCTGAGGGCCTTCGTCAGGAGAGTTAGTATGGCGAGTTAGCACATACATCCTGAATTTTATCAACATCACAACGAAAACTGCAGGAGCTGTTAGCTCTTTATGATTGACCCTAGACCTTGGTGTTGAAATCTAGGTTTTGCAAGGCTATTTACTGTATATGCATTTGTGGATGGTCATTCAACTGGAATTTCAGAAAGCCTAGGCGTATGGGCCGGAAAATTTTAAGGGGGTGGGCGGATGATTACAGCATAAATTACCTGACTTACAAGTACAAATTCCCCACCGCTAGGGGCCAAATGCGAGTGTACGCCTATGTCAGAAATTGTAAATAATTTGTGTTATCCCAGGGAATATTTCTAGAGAAGCAAATTCTTCCTAAAAATCATTAATTTCTGATGGTAAATGCATGTGCTTAATGTTTAACAGAATTTAACAATTGCAAGTTCATGCACCCTTCTCTTTTAGCGGCTTGCTCGTTATGTATGTTAACATTAAGAAGCAGGAGAGTAATCCTGGACGAACGAATTGGTTCAAATACTATTTTCACCGGTTTTGGAGGTATCATCTGTTTAATCAACTGTTTTTCTTAATAGTATTTGCCATTGTATTTGTCTAGTATACTAAGTATAGCGTCTGAGACTCAGAGCACTGTGCATTCGAGCTAGTGGATATAATATATAACAGCGAATACACTGAAATTCCCTTTTTTCTTAATTTGTTATAAACGTTTTTCAGTTTCTGTTGATTTAACCTTGCTTGATGATATCACGTCTGGTGCATAGTTACCTTTTTACATAATAGCGATGTATTAGAGATTAATCAAGACTGTCTTCAGGACCGAAACTAGCGCGATAATTGCAGGGGGGGGGGGGTAGTGAATTAGGAGGTATTGAATCTATATGCTGCATGTTCTGCCCGACGAATTTCTTTTGAAAATGTGCATACGTACAAAAGAAATTCGTTGGGCAAAAAGAATATATAAATGCGCACCCCTCTCCAATTATCGCATCTAGTTTCGGCCCTGACGTGCTTTAGGGAGTTAATCAAATGTTACAACACTATAACGGTTCAATATGACAGACAGTTATCGGTGGCTTTTTTTATATATATATATATATGCGTTTTCAAATGAACAGAACAGAATTAAGAATATATGAATTTTCATCGCCGCTCAATTATGTTGTTCCTTCAAATATAAAATTTATCACGAATTATAGCACCATGATATACCTATAGCTTCCTGGCCCATGCACTACTGCTTGACAATCTGCTAAGCCAACGTAATCATGTTATTTTCATTCCAGCTTTATTTTACTGTTTACAGGCTCACACCAACTTATATGTTTTTTTTACTTTTTGTCGCAAAACTGGTGCCATTTTGTGGTGCTGGTCCTATTTGGTTTTCACTGGTCAATGAAAGTTCAGCATGTTCAAGAAATTGGTGGATAAGCTTACTGTACATCAATAATTTTCATAAAGTTGAGTTTGATGAGGTGGGCCATACATACATCCTGCATGAAATCTGCTATAATGAAGTAAAACCCGGGGTAGCTTAGCTACAAATTTTCACGAAAAAGCCAAGTTGAAATGAATAAACATGCCAGCATATGTATAGACATGTATGTATAGTATAGAGTTATTGGTTCCCCAGCATGCAAGCTAGAGAAAGAACTCACATGCAGGCACTGGGGCCTCTGGGAGATTTGGAGTTCTCACTTGTTTTAATTAAAGGACACGACTGGTAAAGAGTCCCTTTTAACCCGCATGACAATAAATGTGCATGCTTAAATTTAGAAAACTAAATATCAATAACTAATACAAATTGGTATATATTGTATATAGCTTTGCATGGGACATACGTGGTATCTGGCAGCCGATATGCAATTCTTTGTTATATCTCCAATCTTTCTTGTAATTGCGAAAAGGTAAGATTAGTGTAATTTAGGATTAGAAAATTTAGAATTTTGCCCATGCATAAGAAATACTAATATGAAAGAATGCAATGCAACGCAATGTATATTCTTTTCAGTGAAATTGTATGTGCATTTTTGTCACAGTATTTTAATAAGTAGAATTTTAGCATTTTAGAAGTTTTTCACTTTTTCAGATTCAGGCTATTCAGTTAAATACACTGCGTGTTGTTACTTCAACTTAATGATTGATCCGGAAATATTCAAACAGATATTTCTCGATAAAAACCAAACTGAATAGTCAGGCAGACTCAGGCTGGCTTTAGGTTCGTTACCTCAATGGAAAATGGAAGGGGGAAACGAGAGATAGTTGGGAAGAGTTTTTTCCCGGGATCTCTATGCACGATATCATAATTTTAAATATCTGTGAAAGTGAGTTGAAGTCCAGGGCAAAATGCCTCCCCCCCCCATCTCCTCCTTGCGGTCCTTAATAGAGCTTGTCACTTGTCAATTAAGCTCGCAAATTAAATGCCAATCCAGGATAATCTCAGGGCTTTGTAAATTGCAAATATCGCTGTTTTTATAATGCCCTATATATAGCTGATTTTTTTTAATATATATATACTTTTTCAGATACAAACTTCGTCCGCTTATCTGCGTGGTTGGTGTTGTTCTTCTGGCGAGTATTATCACAACAGCCTCCTTAATTGCAGATGAAGACCTTCGTGTATTATTTTCAGCCAACATACGAATGAAAGGGTAAGTTTTGGTAACACAGACTTTGCCAATACAATTGCATGCAAATAATTGCCACAAATATTGTCTGCGCATTTACTGTTTCACTTAATTCACCTTTTCGATATAGTAAAGCTGGTTTTCCACTAGCGATATTTTTCGCGCGAAGCGACTTTATTCCTTTGTATTTGAGCAATTTGTTCCAGATTTTCTTTTGAATTCGAAACAGTCAAGTCGAACTAATTTATTTATGCTGTTAAAATTCAAAAGAAAATATGCGAATATTTCGCTAGCGAACGATTTCGCTGTAAGTGGAAATCCGCCTTAAGCCGGTTTCCCCCTAGCGATATTTTTCGCGCGAAGCGACTTTATTTTTTGTATTTGGGCAATTTGTTCCAGATGGTTGCAGTTGAGAGCTCTGAAACAAAAGTAAGATGTCGCTTCACGCGAAAATTATCGCTAGTGGAAAACCGGCTTTAGTCACTGCCCTATGTCAAAACCCTGTATAGAGTACCTGTTATTAAACCGAAGACGTCACAAGAATGTAAAGCGTGCGAAAGAGGATTAGGGACTAGTCTGCCTGTCTCTAGTTATATGTACAGTACAGTATAGAACTTGAATACGCGGCTAGCTGAAGTATTTTACTAAAATTTCCGTATTGGTTAGTGGTTATTTCGATTTCCCAAGGATGTACATGCGTGCACTTCGAGAATGCTTTCAATCACGGTTTCCGTGTCCGTGTCCTGTTTTTCTTATACTTCAGTCATGCAGTGCATTATAATGAGAATTCCCTAGAATATAGGCCCTTTCAAAGCGTTTCACATAGCGCTTTTGGTGCTAGTGGTCAGGCAAATATCTTTTTTCACGTTCACAAGTTCAAAGAATTTATCTACACCGACCATATCTTTTTGTTTAGGAGTCAATCCCTGGTGAAGGAAGGTTTGAAATACTACAAAGATGCATACATAAAACCGTATTGCAGAATCCCGCCGTATGTGATTGGAATGGTCATGGGGTATTTCATCTACAAGTATTTTTCAACGAAATTTCAGCTAAAGCGGGTGAGACATTTTTCGATGAATGGACGAAATGGTTCAGTTCGGGCATGGCTATAAGCATGAAGTAGCTACCCCTTGTTTTATACATAGATAACATCGGATTCAAAAATCGTATCATTTTGAAATTGTAGTATTGCTCTCATACATATGCATGTATGTCGTAAATTATTCTGCCAATCAAATATACAAAAAGATTGGCTCACTTCACCTTACAAATTTCTTCTGTAGAGATAAAAAATATAAACCAAGATCTGTATTCTGCAAGTTTTCGCATCAAAAGAAATATTTCGAGTTCAATGTGGAAATTTTGCTATAAATTTATGATCATTAATTGTTAGGCTGATGCAAGCAGATTAATGCGAAACGCGGGATTGTCATTACATAGCATTGCATAGCAATATAATATACCGCAATAGATCACATTCATTTTATTTATTCATTTATGTTAAACTGTCAGAAATTTATCGCAATTTTGTGGATACTGGCTGTATGTGTTGCACTCGCTGTTATATACGCCCCATACAGCGCAGTCAAAGAAAATCCTCGAATTTGGTCCAAGGGAGAAAATGTTGTTTATGGATCATTGAGGTGGACCATCTGGAGTTTTTGCATTAGTTGGCTAATTTTTTCTTGTCATTACAATTATGCAGGTATTATGGCTATATATATAATTCCACTTGTAAAACGGTAAATCCTTTTCATATATCACACATACATGCAATATGCCAGGGGATAAATCATGCAGTGAAGAAAAATGTATCCATGCAAGTTTAGTTAAACTGATATGATTTAGTTTATAGTTTAATTATAAAAACTGATAGCTTAAAAATTTTTTAAAAGAATTAAAATTTCAAAAAAATTGCTTTTTCCTGCTGGAGAGGTTGAATTCTTAGTGTAGTTACGTCACTGGCTTCGGTGGAAGGGTTATCCTACTGGTTATCCCATTAATTGATCTATTGCAATCTTCCTAACTTTAAAAAAATGAATAATTTACACTATATAGTGATATTTCTGTTTTATTGCTGTCGCTTAAAATACGTTCTGGATTAATTTTCTCACTGAACTGAATATTTACAACTCTAATTTCAATTTATAATATTATATTTTCAGGTCCAGTTAAAATACTCCTCGCCGCAAAGTTCTGGATACCATTAAGTCGGATAAATTATGCTGCATTTATTGTACATTTTACAGTTTTGAAGGTTTTTTCGCATAACATTGAAGTTCCGATTCATTACACAGTATTTTCATTGGTAAGCAACAAAGAATAAGGTCGCTGTTTCGATTTCCACCTTGGTCAAGCTAAGGGAGTTGTTTACACGGGAGGAATTCTCCAAGCCTTGAAAATTTTCTTCATAAAAAACTGTGTGAACACCGTATCATAAGCACCGTACAAATTAATAAAATAAAGAATGTAAACGTTTTATTTCTGTGTTTTCATCGCATGCCAACCATGCGCCCTACGGTCGTTCCGGAGACGGCCCAATACATGTTGAATGTAAGCTGTCTCCACACCTCTGGCTTTCGCTCCTCAGTCCTTAAAATTTCGAATTGAGGGAACTTTAGATTCGCTAGGAGTAGTTTTAAAATCCTAAAATATATGCATGTTATATATTCATGTTAACGACAATCGATACTATTAGGTCGTTCGCCGGGTGGTTCGCCGGGTCGTTCAGTGTGTGACCAATACTAATACACTATATGACTTATTTTTGTCCATGCAGGTCTCCAGTTACCTTACTGCATTGGTATTGTCTTATGCAATCGCCTTCATTGTCGCTGTTGTAGTGGAACTTCCTTGCGCAAACCTTGAAGCCCTGGTCTGGAAGAAAAGAAAGTAATCCTGATAATTGGCTAACAATGTATTAATTTAGCGATGAATACAATAAACGCATATACATATACCACTAATATTCCAGCTGACAACCGGAATGGCACATAACGTGTTCTGTGTTAACCACGTATTTTATTCCGAAAACACTTTTGACTATTATAATTACGTGTACCTGTGGGTACAACCGAACAACTTTTCTTCGCAGCTTAGTAGGTTAGACCACGCGCAACTGTCAAGTATGAGGCACAGTTTTCAATTGGCTGTCAGTGCTTGTGGCGGCAAACAACGACCATGTGAAGTTTTTCGAAGTTTCTCATCCTAATCCGTCCTAACCATAACATTCTTTGGCAATAATTGATTGAGAGTGACGTTCAATGAATGCTGTTCCACATCGTCGAAATACACTTTTTGTCGTCGTGAAAAACAGCATATAATAATAAGATTTCCTTCTCTTCTTTCACTCATTTACGGTGGTTTGGAAGGGCCATCAGTCTTCTCTCCATTTTCTTGCCGCGCTACTTATTACCCTGCCACTTATTAGCAGCTCGTCCTGTTAACGTTATCCCGCCAGTTACGACGCCACCGTTACGACGCCACTTACGTATTGGTTAGTAACCCCCATACATAACTAAATATGGCTAACAAAAGTAACAAAACCTTGACAAAACGTGACTGAAGCGGATTATTCTTCCAAAATAACAACTTATCCGCGTTTTCTACTTTATTCGCAAGAATTTACCCGCGTTTTCTACCATTACCCGCAAGAATCTATCCGCATCTGCGTTCTCTACCATACCTTTCTGCGATGAATTCTCATCAAGATATATAGCATGTCTCTGTAAAGGAACTGTATACTTTCAAGGCATAACATGAACTCTTTTTGTCAATTTTAAACTTAGTTAACGCCGCGTAATTATTTCAGAATATTTCCCTTTGTTGTAGTTTTTGATACATTTCAGTGAATTTTGGTTTTGATTTATGTGTTTAAACTGTGTAGATGGATATGGCTGCGATAAAAAAACCCAGATGAAAATATTTTTCGATAAGCTCGACTAAGTTCCTCTCCTCTATTAAGTGCAGGATTATAAGAATTGGGGTCAACAGCGATAGTTAAGTGTAACACGATGCAGAATATAATACAACCATACATTTTTTTTGCTTGAAACATTAAACTGTTTTTGACTTTGTATGTTACAGTACCAGAAGCAGCATAATTAAGAACTGGCGTCGTAAGTGGCGTCGTAACTCGTAAGTGGCGTCTTAAGTGGCGCCATAAGTGGCGTCCTAAGTGGCGCCGTAACTGGCGGGATAACAGGACGAGCTGCTAATAAGTGGCAGGATAACAAGTAGTGCGGCAAGAAAAAGGAAAGAAGACTGATGGCCCTTCCAAACCACCGTACTCACTACTAAGTGACACACTCTTAGAAGGAAATTTATTTCCTGAATATTGCCTTTCAGACCCCGTTTACACTAGAGCGAAAGTTTCCGGATTCATCACGAAAGCGGAATGTTTTAGTACCGGATTCATGTTGCTGTTTACACACGCAGCAACGAATCCGATAGAAAATGTACTCGGTTTTAAGCTGTATCCGGAAACTTTGAATCCGTAAAAGTTTGTGGAAACTTCGTATCCAGAAACATTTGAATCCGGAAAATTTTCTTGTGTAAACGCTTTGCACGACGAATCCGAAGAAATTCAAACGTGACGACCAAACAATTCTCCAAGAACAAGTAATGTGAGTGTAAACGGAGAAATCCGCATACAGAGACAACTAAAGTGTAATGTAAACACTTGACGAATCCTATACATGTGTGTAACAATGAATCCGGATAAATTTACAAATCCGGAAACTTTCGTTCTAGTGTAAACGGGGTCTCAGTCAGAACCGTAGGCCGTAGCTAGACTGCTGCTGATTGGTGCATGGAGAGCCAGTATATTCATTTATTCAATGTTTGCATATACCGAACAATCGCTTTCGAAGAATCAGTCAGGCATAAGACGAATTCATGAAGCTTCTATAAATAGGGCCAAGCTATTAACACCATTATTCCAAAACCTTTCAGTTGGCAACGATAATTCCGTGCCAGTGGAATCTGTTTAATAAGACTTAATTATCTGGATATTTGCAACCATAGCGATCATCAATGGCTTTACCTATCTGGAAATATATTTTATTACTGAATGTTATGTTTTGGTATCACCATACAAGAGCAAATCCACATCAGTCTAGCTTTCAGTCGACGGATAACGTTTCGCCCACTGCCCACCAAGATACAGGATATTTACTATCAGGTCAAAGATGTCGAACATCGTACAGAAATCTGACAAAAAAAACGATTTGCAAGATGTAAGTAAAATATGTCATTGCCTGCCTCATATTACACATTTAAAAAGTTCCGGTGCTCGTGTTTGAAAATTTTCATTCGTAAATCCCAAGTTCTAAGAATCTCAGTGTTTTGCAGCGAGTATCACGATGAATTAACTCAATGTTTAGTTTTTAACCAATGTTTAAAAAGACACCTTTAATATTTCTACCAAATATACACTGGCGGTCAAAAAGAACTGCTCAAAGCAAGTCAAAATGCTCTCAAATGAACGTAACCGTCCATCTAACATAGAGTAAATATAGACTAGATTAGATGCTAAGCTATATGGAAAATTATTATTTTGTTCACCCTCTTTTGGCCTTATAATTGATAACGGCCTTACACTGGTGTGGCATACTTTCTGTTAAGGTGGTCAAGTAATCTTAGTGGTTAAAAGAAATTCATCCTATGGACAATCTTTACAGCAACCCATAAACCATGGAGGCTTTATGAATTAATTCCTTTCTTGCACTATCCCCTTGACATTGTTCCATAGATTTCCAATAGGGTTAAGGTCTTTTTAGTGTGCAGGCCAATCCATTTTTGTCACTTCCTCTTCAGTCCTGAAACCATTATTAATTATTTGACTATCTTGGAAGTGTGGCAGGTTGCATAATATTATTGAAATATTGCTTGGAATGAGAGAATTATCCAAAATGCCTATGAAGCTGTCTCCTATATTCGCTTCTTTTTTATGAATTTGTATCTAAACAGTTCTTTTTGACCGCTAGTGTAAAATAAAAAATTGATTATCACGATTCCTGTTACATACGATAATAGCAACATTTGAGCAGTTCTTTTTGACCGCCAGTGTACTTTGAAACTAAGGGTTTGCCGTTTGAAAATATTAACTGTGATCAAAGAAGGCTTAGGGGCTGTTTACATGAGCCCGCTTACCCGATATTCAACGAAGCGTGAGATAAATTTGAGGTATTGAGATGAGCAGATAACACGATCCTGGCAATCGGATGCGCCCAAGAAAAACCTCTCTTTTTCGTAAGGTACACAGTGTACTTATTTGAATACTGAATACCAAGACTTCTCTGTTTCCTCTACAGTACTTGATGCCAGCGGTAAACAAGGCAGCGGTATTTACGGTGGGAACACCTTGTGGTATGGATCATACAGCGAATGCTCGAAATTATCACACTCTCAGTATTGTTGGACGCGTTTTCCTGGAGCCATATCGTTGGTTAAGAATAACACAGATGTAAGTATGCTTTCATCTTTCATACACATAGAAAGACCAACTGAAGATGATTACATGATCCATTAATGACTATTCGTACACTACATATGATGCACTAATTCGACGTGCGACTTGTATACTAAAGGCGGTGTTACATGATGCAGCTTTCCTTGCAACTTGCAATGAAATTCTACTCCTGAGGCATCTAAAGTTGACAAACACGAATATTTCTTGCAATCTGCCAACGTTTTCTTTCACGAATATTTCAACGCATTTTGGCATTTCGATCACTCTTTACAAATTAACATCCCTCAAAACTATGATATGCAAGTTGCAAGTAAAGTTGCAAATGCGCCAGACAAATTAATTGGACGAAAAACGCAGCAAATTTAATAGCGATTTTTTATCTTTTTTTTTTAAATTTCCCTCTCTTTTCATATAACATGGCAGAATTTGTCATGGCAGAAAAGGACCACTCACGATCACCTATTACATGGTTACCTAATTTTTCTCAAATTTCTTAAGACTCTCAGCTTTGAATGGGGCGTTTGTTTACCGGATATTTGTACTGGACAAGATGTTTCTGAAGACCTTGACTTCTTTCTGCGCAAATACAAAGGTAACTATTAGCTATATAATTATATAAAGCCAACCGAATCACATGTAAGTATACTGTCTGATTCATTTGCGTCCACCTTATAATATCCTGGGGAAAAGAGTTCTCGCGACGAAGAGCGTTTCTGCTGATGTCTCTGTAATGTGTATGATTTTTTCGCTATGGATGAGTTATTTTCGGAGAAAAGAGAGCTTGAGTATAGAAGAAGTCCTGGAAAATCGTATAACAACATCTATTTGGACCATTTGGTGTGAAATAGTCACACATCAAAAGTTCATTATTTTCAACCCATTCCTCGTGATCAATACATGTCATTATACGGACACTTGTTTTTAAAATATACATTCGAATTCACTTCATGGAGATGTGTGACAAAGTTTAATATAGGCCATAAATTTTTAATAAATCTTCACATTTTTTAAACAAAATTGATGTTAAACTTTAATCGTTCAAAATCAGCTACAAATTACTTGTAATATATATAGCAATTAAACGTCTGAACTTTTTTGCGCTACCCGGTATATTTTTGCATCCTTTGTCAAAATGACTGTCAATGCATGGTTGTCTTATTTATTGTTTTATCACTCATATTGACAATTGTCATTTATGACACCCCGTACTCCTCTGCATGCATGCGACGTTGGGTGACGACTTCTGAAACTCTTTCTGCAACCGGACGGATCTCTGAAGACGAATACAATTATATGCATATATATAATAACTGGTCGCATAGATAACTGTCGTCTTTCGTTCATTCTTAGTTTTGGATATTGTTAAACCTTTGGCGAAACCAATTGTGGAATGTGCAAAAGATCCGGAGTACACTTCATCAGTTGTGATAACAATGTATGTCTTTTCATTCCTATATATTCGCATCAATTTCATACCATATCACGAAGAACTATACAGTATATGGGATTAGAAAAAGAAAGAACATCTGATTTCTTCCTATTTTGAGATTTGCACTAAACAGTTAAATTAATTTAACAAAACCAATCCTATTCTACTGATATGAACGATTTTTCGCTGGAGTTTTGATGCCGGTAAAAGTTAACTAAGTCGTGCTGTGAAATTACAGGTCTAAATTATCTATAGTTACGAGGATACAACAATATGTAAAACGTTTAACTTTCTTCTGTATATAGCGTATTCTGTTGTATTTTAATTGGTCTGTGTCTCCTTGCGACTGTTGTTGATATTTTCCATCATTTAAACGACCCCCGCGAATCTACGGAAGTCATTGGCGATGGTGAAATCTCTTTGGACAAAAAAATGGACGAAAACTCACCTTCACTACCAAATGGATCTGATCAAGAAATAATAACTAAGAAAAGAACAGGAGGTTAGTACATATATCTTATATAGCTGCAAGCTGTATATAGCTGTATAGCTGTATACCCCACTTGGGGCGGGAATGGGGGAGGGAGTGTGGCTGGGGATCGAGTCTAAGTTCTGCTGACGAAATGGCGTTGTTTATTATAGTTAGGTCTTGTCATTTATCGACTTTTCCAGTGTACGCTATATTTATGTACGATATATATACCCCAATTTTCCCGACGGTCTACTATATATTGTGTTTTTATGGTAACCTAACTAGCGGGAGAAAAGCTTTATCCTTGAAGATAAAGGAGGGCACTATAGAGGCTTCATTTTATATTAAATCTTCTTACGTCTTTAGCCTTTAACGTCAAGGCGTTTCTTGAATCTTTTATTTTAGACAGTTGAGAAACCTACCAGGATGGTAGCTATAAACTGTGTTTTTCGTTAATGTCTTAGGTATCATCCTGTCCGTTCTCCATTGTTTTTCATGTCTACGAAATATTAAATTTATCATGAGTACAGATGTTGGAAAGAGTGATTTAACTTATCTTCATGGTATCCGAGTGATCTCTATGTTCTGGATTATCGGTCTTCATGCATTTAACGAGCTATTCAGTTTACCAATTGGTTAGTAGTCCAAACTCCAAAGCATCAATCATCATAAAATTAAATGAAAAGTGCCTTTGCAGCCAGGAACTCTGTATGTTATTGCTCTTCCTCACAGAAAATGAAGAGGATGCAAACAACATTATACGACGTTTCACATTTATGATTTTCGCCAATGGAGCCTTCGGAGTAGACACCTTTTTTTTCTTAAGGTAAAAAAGTTTTATATAATGTATATATCGCATTTATAATATAGCTACCCACTGCATATGAGCTATTCCGCAATCTGATTGGTCGAGCTACGCACCGTATATCAGCTCATATACGGTGGGTATCAAAACCAAAAAAAAAGCAAAATGGCTGACCGACTGAATTATTGAATTATCATTTTTAAGTAAATATGTATTAAATTCTTGATAAATACTTTTGTCGCTCAGCAAATGGTATTTGGCTATATTACAAAACAATTATAACACTCACTCTCGTCGTATATGAGCTTAAATATCGAGCATTTATCATGCATTGGAGAATTTATGCCAATAATTTAAAATTGTTTGAACCTCCCCCCCCGAGCCCCTTACGTCACTGGAGTCGTATACTTCAGCAACGCATTTTCGGCCGGAGGTATAGGACCCTGCCTGTCCATTTTGTGTTTGTGTCTATTTTATACGGATTGGAGACTTTGGAATCTGGTTTGAACGCATAGGCTGTGTCTTTTAAGTGTTTTACTTATTATCGGTACGACGATATGTTTCACTGGGATTGCTCGTTTATTCAGAAGAGTTGCCAGCATAAATCGTGTCGGTAACAATGATCGCTGCCGCAGGTTTATATAAAGGTTCCGTCATGATCACTCACTGCATGTAATTCTTGTAGTCACTCGTTACGGGTGTTCATGCACTCAAAACATCGAACACACATGCAGTCCTACTGATATGTAAAATGAAAGACGACGAGAGGTGTAAAACGCCCGGGTTTCTTGATGAGTGTATGTGGCGAGGTCGACCGAGCCAACGGGAATAAGTTCGGTGCTATCTTAATTTGGAGGCAATCGCACACCTATTCATGCATCAGTATCCAGTAACCTTTCAACGCGTCTCAACAAAAAGTATTAATTACAAGCCTATTTACTCTCCATGACATGATTCACAAATGATTTCTAAAAAGAGCAGTTTTTGGAACGTCTTTTTAATAAGAAATTCAAACATGAATGACATTTAGGGTAACGTAACATATTTACGTGTGTTTATCTCCTCATTTAGCGGCTTGCTCGTTATGTATGTTAACATTAAGAAGCAGGAGAGAAATCCTGGACGAACGAATTGGTTCAAATACTATTTTCACCGGTTTTGGAGGTAGGCTAGCAATTGGTTCGTTTTCACATCGGTAGACAGTATCTGTCATCACACAGAAATCACTAGTGTTTGTGTTCATGTTCTCCTCTTTAAGCCTCTTTCTATATTTCTTATTTTACTGTTTACAGGCTCACACCAACTTATATGTTTTTTCTACTACTTGTCGCAAAACTGTTGCCATTTTTTGGTGCTGGTCCTATTTGGTTTTCACTGCTTCCTAAAAGTTCAGCATGTTCAAGAAATTGGTGGGTAAACTTACTGTACATCAATAATTTGGATAAACTTGATGCTGAAGAGGTGGGTCATACATTCTGCATGCGGTCTGCAAAGTTTCATAAACGGTACAAACCAAAATAACTTAACGTGTGTAAAAAAATGTGGTGGTAATGGTACAGTTGATTCCTTAACGTATGCATGCGAGATCCGCATCATTGCTTTCGCCATCATTTTCAATTTTGATTTCCCTGCCATGCATATTCGTTCCCAATTCCCATGCTGTTTCTAAACGCGTGACTGCCACTCTGCTTCGCTGTCATATTCATCCACATTGTTTGTCTGGATAGTTTATACTGTGTGTATAATATAAATTATATATACTCAGACGAATATTGATCCGTGTCAGAAGGTCATTCGTCCATACGGATAATCCGTCAGGTATAGATCGAGCCAATAACGATTCGACAATTTGTACTTGGCATTTTTATTATTAATAGTTTCGTGCACTGATGTGGCATTGACCCTATTAATACTAGAGACGGATCATCCGTCGCATCATTAAACGAACGCATCTTTCCGCCGTCTGTTAGACCTGCTTTCCATTTACGCCGCGGTTTTAATACGCACGAACTGACGAACACGCACGTAAAAGTCTCAAATCGTTATATTAATAAGTCATATTTGAAAAAGCTATATAGGTGAATAAATCGTCTAGATAATTTGTCTTGTATTTATCCTCAGACGGGCCATTCATCAGATAAATCCGAGTTGTCGGTCCCATTAGATTTCGCCGATGTTTACGACTATTTCATTGAGAACAGGGGCGCACATTAGGGGATAGAGGGGGTTACATCCCCGCATCGTTTCTTCAAATTAATCCAAAAACCTGGTTCAGAGAAATGTATGGGATAAAAAAAATCGGCTAAAATCCGAGTCTAGATTTCCAAACTTTTTTTGAAAACATTTCATTTTCTGAAATTTTACATTTATTTGTAACAACCAGACTATACTGTGCTTTCATCGATTCACCAAGCCGAGCAATTTCAGTCCCTAAAATCATGCGCCAAAATTCTGTTTCCGTGGATCTTAAATTCAAAAATTTTTCCTCAAAATTTTATGCTTGAAAATATCGCCTTTCCCAATGCAAATGTCGGTCCCGGAACTCGTACGACATCCCAAAATTTATTGGATGCGCGTCCGTGAGAATCAGCTTGTGTTCGTAAATAAAATCAGGCCGTAACGACAGTGCTCATATCTGCGTCGCACATATTTAGGTTCGATTGTTTTTGTGTGTACCTTGAGAAAAATGCTTGTTATAACGCTTCATGAATCGTATATTACATTATAACAACAGTGCTCATATCTGCGTCGCAGATCGCACATATTTAGGCTCGAAGCGATTGTTGTTGTGCGTACCTTGTGAAAAATGCTTGTTATAACGCTTCATAAATCGTATATTATACTATTTAGATGTGTTTGGTACATACGTGGTATCTGGCAGCCGATATGCAATTCTTTGTTATATCTCCAATCTTTCTTTTCATTGCAAAAAGGTAAGATTATTAAAAACCCAATTCATGCAGTAAAAATATTGTTATTACCAGTGTAGTGATTCCAGATTGGGTCGATTAGATATAGTTCAAGAAATTTGGATTTGAGCGTCCGGACTGGTGTCTTTTAATTTCCTGTCTGGAACCTCAAGCTGCTTGTACCTCTTGAGTACGACTGCGAGAAATTTTCGCGATGGTCAAACTTAATACTGTTTGACGGCTAAATTATTATTATTATTATTACTCTTTTCTGACAAGAATGTTTATGAATATATGCCCCCCCCTAATTACCGTGCTTCCTTCGCCAATGGGGACGAGTTTAGCCAGTTTTGCCCACTCTGCTATACCGGCCATAAGCCTTGATCATGATGAACACTCCCTCCAGGAACTATAGTATAGCTCAGTGATTTTGCCTGATGACGTAAGCAAACAACTTGCGATATATCGCAAGTAAGTAATAGATACAGAGCCAGAACTAGGTGGCGTATAGTAATTTAAAAATATGGCGTTTTTTTGCACACGCATTCTTTATTAATACTGCTTTCAAAAATGTATATCATTTTTCAGATACCAAATTCGCCTGCTCATTTGTATGGTTGGTGTTGTTATTTTGGCTAGTATTATCACAACAGCTTCGTTAATCGCAGACAAAAACCTTCAACCATTTGGCATGCCAGCCACAAGGTATAAGCAATTATATTTAGCAATAATAATGGTACGTTATGCATGACATCACATGTAGGGCATCATAATCTGTACAGACCTTTATATATATGTATACGCTTTACTGTGACGTATTTTCAAAAATTTGATTTGCCGATTGGGTATTTTTTCCATGCACCCAGATTTATGAGCATGCTTTCCAACTGTGACATAATGCAACCTTTTATAAGGATCTATATACACCTACTTTTTTCAACAATGCATAAAACTATATATTTTAGTAATCTAAGAGTTGTATTGGGAAGTTCCAAATACTTCGAAGACGTATACGTGAAACCGTATTGCAGAATCCCGCCGTATGTGATTGGAATGGTCATGGGGTATTTCATCTACAAGTATTTTTCAACGAGATTTCAACTAAAGCGGGTGAGAAACTGTTGGACCGTTTGCAAAAAAACTTCGTCAGTCCGTTTTGGATTAAATGTCACTTCATTCCAAATTAAATATGGTTTCTCACATTCTCTACACTAATGCATGCATTCTAATGCCTGCTGTCTATTTCATGTCTATGCAATTCATCCATTCATTTTTGTTACTGTTAGAAATTTATCGCAATTTTGTGGATGCTGGCTGTATGTGTAGCACTCGCTGATATATACGCCCCATACAGCACAGTCAAAGAAAACCCCCGAATTTGGTCCAAGGGAGAAAATATTGTTTATGGATCATTGAGGTGGACCATCTGGAGCTTTTGCATTAGTTGGCTAATTTTTGCTTGTCATTACAACTATGCAGGTATTTATGAATATTACTTACAAAAATCGTGCTAATTTTGGTCCGAAATAAAATTTCTAACAGCGCGGGTACAGCGCATGCAGAGGCCGTGCCAAGATGCAGGCAAATCCAACATGCGTCAATTTAATTCAGTTGAGTCATCAGATAAAAGGTTGAAATCAAGATTTTATAGCACATTAGAGTCAATAAACAAGCTGACTTTTGCTCGGATAGATTCATAATTGCGATTATTGTTCTTTTCAGGTCCAGTTAAAATACTTCTCGCCGCAAAGTTCTGGATACCATTAAGTCGGATAAATTATGCTGCATTTATTATACATTTTACAGTTTTGAACGTTTTTACGTATAACATTGAAGTTCCGATTCATTACACAATATTTACATTGGTAAGCAACAAATTACCTTTATTATGTGAGACGGCGCAATAATTCTCCAGTTTGGACCGTAAGATTTTTTATCAAACAATATTGCCGTAAGTTATGTCGAATAAAACGATTCTTTGTATTGGAAATGCTATTTGCTGCTAGATTCCTGACATTAAGTCGTCAATGTTTTGGTAATTTGTCACCAACGCTATGGCCTATTTTTTTCCAGGTCTCCTGTTATCTTACTGCATTGGTATTGTCTTATGCGTTCGCCTTCATTCTCACTGTTGTAGTGGAATTTCCTTGCGCAAACCTTGAAGCACTGGTTTGGAAGAAAGTCGAGAAGAAATGAAAAGATTGTGTAAGGTCATGGGAAACGGCTAACGTACCTTTACAGTATTGTAACAGATCAATGTAGCCGTCAGTCATTCCCTTTATACCATATTACATAAACGTCGGCAAGAAATTTTTGACACGTTTCCAAACTTTTTATTGCTTTGTAAAGGGAAAATATCTCATTTACTGTGGGCGGAATGCTGGGCTGGAGATTGAACGCCCCGGAGTTGTAGTTTAAAAAGGCCCTGTTTAAAAGAGGTTTTCCACTACGTCCTCTTCGTTCCAGCGTGTGAAGCGCGTTTTGTTTTTTAGGCCTGACACGGCCGCATGAGCAGATTTTCAAAGGCCGCTTCACCCGCGCGGGCAAAACGAATGTAATGGGAAAGCCTTTACAGTATATTGTTCTTTACCACCCAATTATATATTAGACGAGTACATATAACCATGTCGGAATCAATACAGTTTCATGCGAACTTGAATTATTATCATAATGCGATTAAAATATGTATTGTATAAAATGTGTAATATATAATACACTGAAATGAAATGATTTTATCAAACAAGGGTAACTTTGGAAATAATTGAATATTCGTCTCATTCTAAAAACAATACGGCTATATCCCAGGATTGACGCTCTTGGAATCATGCAGTTGTGTAGAAAATCGTACAGCATAAAATTATAGGCCATAGCTTTAATGATTTCTGCCCGTAATAAGTGAAAAATACTCACTATGATCACATACATATATAGGATCACATACAATCATAATTACTGTTGTAAAAAACAACATATAATAATAAGATTTCCTTCTCTTCTTTCACTCACTACTAAGTAAGTCATGCATTCTTAGAAGGAAATTTATTTCCGGAATATTGCCTTTCAGTCAGAACCGTAGGCCGTAACTAGACTGCTGATTGGTGCATGGAGAGCCAGTATATTCATTTATTCAATGTTTGCATATACCGAACAATCGTTTTCGAAGAATCAGTCAGGCATAAGACGAATTCATGAAGCTTCTATAGATAAGGCCAAGCTATTAACACCATTCTTCCAAAACGTTTCAGTTGGCAACGATAATTCCGTGCCAGTGGAATCTGTTTAATACGACTTAATTATCTGGATATTTGCAACCATAGCGATCATCAATGGCTTTACCTATCTGGAAATATATTTTATTACTGAATGTTATGTTTTGGTATCACCATACAAGAGCAAATCCACATCAGTCTAGCTTTCAGTCGACGGATAACGTTTCGCCCACTGCCCACCAAGATACAGGATATTTACTATCAGGTCAAAGATGTCGAACATCGTACAGAAATCTGACAAAAAAACGATTTGCAAGATGTAAGTAAAATATGTCATTGCCTGCCTCATATTACACATTTAAAAAGTTCCGGTGCTCGCGTTTGAAAATTTTCATTCTTAAATCCCAAGTTCTAAGTGTTTTACAGCGAGTATCACGAAGAATTACCTCAATGTTAAGTTGTTAACCAGTGTTTTAAACCATGCACTTTTAATATTTCTACCAAATACTTTGAAACTAAGGGTTTGCCGTTTGAGAATATTAACTGTGATCAAAGAAGGCTTAGACTGGCGGATGCGCCCAAGGTACACTGTGTACTTATTTGAATACTGAATACCAAGGCTTCACTGTTTCCTCTACAGTACTTGATGCCAGCGGTAAACAAGGCAGCGGTATTTACGGTGGGAACACCTTGTGGTATGGATCATACAGCGAATGCTCGAAATTATCACACTCTCAATATTGTTGGACGCGTTTTCGTGGAGCCATATCGTTGGTTAAGAATAACACAGATGTAAGTATGCTTTCATCTTTCATACACATAGAAAGACCAACTGAAGATGATGACTTCTACACTACATATGATACATACACGTCATACATCAATTCGACGTGCGACTTGTATACTAATATTTCCTGCGATCTGCCAACGTTTTCTTTCACGAATATATCAACGCATTTCGAACACTATTTACCAATTAACATCCCTCAAAATGATAATTTGCAAGTAAAGTTGCAAGTAAAGCAAGTAAAGTTGCAACTGCGCCTTAAGCATGAAAAACGCAGCAAATTTAATAGCGATTTTTTTTTAAATTTCCCTCTTTTCATCTAACATGGCAGAACTGATTTGTCATGGCAGAGAAGGACCATTCTGTCCATTCATGCACGATCACCTATTACATGGTTACCTAATTTTTCCCAAATTTCTTAAGACTCTCAGCTTTGAATGGGGCGTTTGTTTACCGGATATTTGTACTGGACAAGATGTTTCTGAAGACCTTGATTTCTTTCTGCGTAAATACAAAGGTATCACATAGAAGTATATTGTCTTATTCATATGCGTCCACCTTATAATAATATCTTGGGAGAAAGAGTTCTTGCGACGAAGAGCGTTTCTATACTGGTGTCTCTGTAATGTATATGATTTTTTGGCTATATGGATGAGTTATTTTTCGGAGAAAAGAGAGCTTGAATAGCAGAAGTCCTCAAATAATTCGTCACAACATCTATTTGGAGTGAAATAGTCACACATTAAAAGTTCATTATTTTCATTCCATTGCTCGTGATCAATACATGTCATTATGCGGACACTCCTTTAATATACATTCGAACTTCATGGAGATGTGTGACAAAGTTCTAACATTTATCAAAACCGTTTAATATAGGCCATAAATTTTTACCAAATCTTCACATTTTTGAAACAAAATTGATGTTAAACTTTAATCGTTCAAAATCAGCTACTATTTACTCGAGCGGCTAAGCTGATAAGCATGTTGCATCCTTTGTCAAAATGATTGTCAATGCATGGTTGTCTTATTTATTGTTTTATCACTCATATCAACGAATGTCATTTATGACACCCCGTACTCCTCTGCATACATGCGACGTTGTGTGACGACTTCTGAAACACTCTTTCTGCAACCGGACAGATCTCTGAAGACGGATACAATTATATGCATATATATAATAACTGGTCGTGTAGATAACTGTCGTCTTTCGTTCATTCTTAGTTTTGGATATTGTTAAACCTTTCGCGAAACCAATTGTGGAATGTGCAAAAGATCCGGAGTACACTTCATCAGTTGTGATAACAATGTATGTCTTTTCATTCCTATATATTCGCATCAATTTCATACCATATCACGAAAAACTATACATTATATGGGATTAGAAAGAGAAAGAACATCTGATTTCTTCCTATTTTGAGATTTACACTAAATTGTTAAATTAATTTAACAAAACTAATCCTATTCTATACTGATATGAACGATTTTTCGCTGGAGTTTTGATGTAAAAGTTGACTAAGTCGTGCTGTGAAATTACAAGTCTGAATTATCAGTTATAGTTAGGAGGATACAACAATATGTAAAACGTTTAACTTTCTTCTATATATAGCGTATTCTGTTGTATTTTAATTGGTCTGTGTCTCCTTGCGACCGTTGTTGATATTTTCCATCATTTAAACGACCCCCGCGAATCTACGGAAGTCATTGGCAATGGTGAAATCTCTTTGGACAAAAAAATGGACGAAAACTCACCTTTACTACCAAATGGATCTGGTCAAGAAATAATAACTAAGAAAAGGACAGGCGGTTAGTATAATATATATCTTACATAGCTGCAAGCTGTATATAGCTGTATAGCTGTATACCCCACTTGGGGCGGGAATGAGGGAAGGGTGTGGCTAGGGATCGAGTCTAAGTTTTGCCGACGAAATGGTGTGGTTTATTATAGTTAGGCCTTGTCATTTATCGACTCTTCCAGCTAGTGTACAATATCTTTATCTACGATATATATACCCCAATCTTTCCGAAGGTCTACAGTATATATGGTGTTATTATGTAACCTAACCAGCGGGAGAAAAGCTTTATCCTTGAAGATAAAGGAGAGCACTATACAGGCTTCATTTTATATCCGGCAAATCTTCTTACTTTTTTCAGTACGTTTTAACGTCAAGGCGTTTCTTGAATCTTTTATTTTAGGCAGTTGAGAAATCTACCAGGATGGTAGCTATAAACTGTATTTTTCGTTAATGTCTTAGGTATCATCCTGTCCGTTCTCGATTGTTTTTCATGTCTGCGAAATATTAAATTCATCATGAGTACAGATGTTGGAAAGAGTGATTTAACTTATCTTCATGGTATCCGAGTGATCTCTATGTTCTGGATTATCGGTCTTCATGCATTTAACGAAATATTCAGTTTACCAATTGGTTAGTACTCCAGACTCCAAAGCATTAAATGATCAGTGCCTTTGCAGCCAAGAACTCTGTATGTTATTGCTCTTTCTCACAGAAAATGAAAAGGATGCGAACAACATTATCCGACGATTCACATTTATGATTTTCACCAATGGAGCCTTCGGAGTAGACACATTTTTTCTCTTGAGGTAAGAAAGTTTTATATAATGTATACATCGCATTTATAATATAGCTACTCACTGTATATGAGCTATTCCGCAATCTAAGTGTTTTACTTATTATCGGTATACGACGACATGTTTCACTGGGTTTGCTAGTTTATTCAGATGAGTTGCCAGTATATAATCGTGTCGGTAACCATGATCGCTGCCGCTGGTTTATAAAGGCAACCTCATGATCACTCACAGTAATTCTTGTAGTCACTCGTTACGGGTGTTCATGCATACTCAAAACATCGAACACACATGCAGTTCTTCTGAAATGTAAAATGAAAGACGACGAGAGGCGTAAAACACCCGGGTTTCTTGATGAGTGTATGTAGCGAGATCGAATGAGCCAGCTCGGTGCCATCTTAATTTGGAGGCAATCCCACACATCGAATTTTTGAGCAAAATTCCAGTCTTAGTTTATAATTCGTATATATATTTCCGAGCGTAAAACTAGATCAATCCCAGTTCCCATTTTACCCCATTCAGGACTCTCTCACATGTCTATGCATTCCTATTCATGCATCAATATCCAGTAACCTTTCAACGAGTCTCAACAAAAAGTATTAATTACAAGCCTATTTACTCTCAATGACATGATTCACAAACGATTTCTAAAAAGAGCAGTTTTTGGAACGTCGCATTAATAAGAAATGCTACCATGACTGAAATGTAGGGTAACGTAAAAAATTCACGTAAGTTCATCTCCTCCTTTAGCGGCTTGCTCGTTATGTATGTTAACATTAAGAAGCAGGAGAGAAATCCTGGACGAACGAATTGGTTCAAATACTATTTTCACCGGTTTTGGAGGTAGGCTAGCAATTGGTTCGTTTTCACATGTAACAGTATCTGTCATCACACAGAAATCATCAGTGTTTGTATTCATGTTCTCCTCTTTAAAGTTATTCCTATTTCTTATCTTACTGTTTACAGGCTCACACCAACTTATATGTTTTTTCTACTACTTGTCGCAAAACTGTTGCCATTTTGTGGTGCTGGTCCTATTTGGTTTTCACTGCTTCCTAAAAGTTCAGCATGCTCAAGAAATTGGTGGGTAAACTTACTGTACATCAATAATTTGGATAAACTTGATGCTGAAGAGGTGGGTTATACATTCTGCATGCGGTCTGCAAAGTTTCATAAACGGTAGAAATTAAAATAACTTAACGTGTGTAAAAAGATGTGGTGGTAATGGTATAGTTGATTCCTTAACGTATGCATGCGAGATCCCATAAATAATCTTTTCTGATTTAAATGCATGCTTCACTAATTACATTTTTGCCATCATTTTGAATTTGGATTTCCCTGCCGTGCATATTCATTCCCAATTCCCGTGCAGTTTCTAAACGTGACTGCCACTCTGCTTCGCTGTCATATTCATCCACATTGTTTGTCTGGATAGTTTATACTGTGTGTATAATATAAATTATATATACTCAGACGAATCATGATCTGTCAGAGGGATTTATTGATAGTTTCGTGCACTGATGTTGCATTGGCCCTATTATCACTAGGGATGGATCATCCGTCGCATCATTCGACGAACGCATCTTTCCGTCAACGAGATTTCCACTAGACGAATTAACGCATTAGAGCTGCAGCTGCTTCCCACTTACGCCGCGTTTTTCATACGCACTAACACGCACGTAAAAGTCTAAATCGTTATATTGATAAGTCATATTTGAAAAAGCTCTTTTGTTTATATTCAGACGGGCCATTCATCAGATAAATCAGTTTTGTCGGTCCTATTAGATTTCGCCCATGTTTACGACTATATAATTGAGAACAAGTGCGCATATTAGGGGATAGAGGGGGTTACATTCCCATCGTTTCTTCAAATTAATCCAAAAACCTGGTTCGGAGAAATGTATGGGATAAAAAAATCCGAGTCTAGATTCCCCAACTTTTTTTGAAAACATTTCATGCTCTAAAATTTTACATTTATTTGTAACAACCAGACTATACTGTTCACCAAGCCGAGCAATTTCAGTCCCTAAAATCATGCGCCTAAATTCGGTTTCCGTGGGTCGTAAATTCAATCCTCCTCAAAAAATTCTTCCTCAAAATTTTATGCTTGAAAATATCGCCTTTTCCAATGCAAATGTCGGTCCCGGAACTCCACGACATCCCAAAATTTATTCGATGTGCCTCTGCGTCCCTGAGAATCAGCCTGCTCATATCTGCGTCGCACATATTTAGGTTCGAAGCGATTGTTTTTGTGCGTACCTTGTGAAAAATGCTTATTATAACGCTTCATGAATCGTATATTATACCATTTAGATGTGTTTGGGACATACATGGTATCTGGCAGCCGATATGCAATTCTTTGTCATATCGCCAATCTTTCTTTTTATTGCAAAAAGGTAAGGTGTTATTACCAATGTAGTGATTCCAGATTGGGTCGATTGGAAATATATAGTTCAGGAAATTTGGATTTGAGCGTCCGGATGGCTGACTTTTAATTTCCTGCCTGGAACCTCAAGCTGCTTGTACCTCTTGACTACGACTGCGAGAAATCAGTTTCGCGATGGTGAAACTTAATACTGTCAGTTGACGGCTAAATTATCAGTATTATTATTATTATACTCTTCTAACGAGAATGTTTATGAATATGTGCCCCCCCTAACTATCGTACTCCCTTCGCCAATGGGGACGAGTTTTGCCAGTTTTGCCCACTGAGCTATACCGGCCATAGTCTCTGATGATGACGAGCACTCCCTTCAGGAACTATAGTATACCTCAGTGGTTTTGCCTGATGGCGTAAGCAAACAACTTGCGATAACGCACAGAGTAAGTAATAAGAAATAAGTAAACTAGGTGGCGTATAGTAATTTAAAAATATGGCGTTTTTTGTACACGCTTTTTTTATTAATATTGCTTTCAAAAAAGTATATCATTTTTCAGACACCAAATTCGCCCGCTCATTTGTATGGTTGGTGTTGTTATTTTGGCTAGTATTATCACAACAGCTTCGTTAATCGCAGACAAAAACCTTCAACCATTTGCCATGCCAGCCACAAGGTATAACCAATTATATTTAGCAATAATAATGGTACATAATGCATGACGTCACATGTAGGGATAATAATCTGTATAGACCTTTATATATACGCTTCACTGTGACGTATTTTCAAGAATTTGATTTGCCGATTGGGTCTTTTCTCCATGCACCCAGATTTACGAGCATGCTTTCCAACTGTCATAATGCAGCCTTTTATAAAGATCTATGTACACCTACTTTTTTCAACAATGCATAAAACTATACATTTTAGCAATTTAAGACCTGTATTCGGAGGTTCGAAATACTTCGAAGACGTATACGTGAAACCGTATTGCAGAATACCGCCGTATGTGATTGGAATGGTCATGGGGTATTTCATCTACAAGTATTTTTCAACGACATTTCAACTAAAGCGGGTGAGAAACTGTTGGACCGTTTGCAAAAAACTTCGTCAGTCCGTTTACGATGAAATGTCATTCATTCCAAATCTATATGGTTTCTCACATTCTCTACACTAATGCATGCATTCTATAAATGCTTGCTGTCTATTTCAGGTCTATGCAATTCATCTATTTATTCTTGTTACTGTTAGAAATTTATCGCAATTTTGTGGATACTGGCTGTATGTGTAGCACTCGCTGTTATATACGCCCCATACAGCGCAGTCAAAGAAAACCCCCGAATTTGGTCCAAGGGAGAAAATGTTGTTTATGGATCATTGAGGTGGACCATCTGGAGCTTTTGCATTAGTTGGCTAATTTTCGCTTGTCATTACAACTATGCAGGTATTCATAAATATTACTTACAAAAATCGTGCTAGTTTTGGTACGAAATAAAATTCCTAACAGCAGGTCCAGCGCATGCAGAGGCCGTGCCAAGATGCAGGTAATCCAACATGAGTCAATTTAATTCAGTTGAGTCATCAGATAAAAGGTTGAAATCAAGATTTTATAGCACATTAGAGTCAATAAACAAGCTGACTTTTGCTCGGATAGATTCCTAATTGCGATTATTGTTCTTTTCAGGTCCAGTTAAAACACTCCTCGCCGCAAAGTTCTGGATACCATTAAGTCGGATAAATTACGCTGCATTTATTATACATTTTACAGTTTTGGATGTTTTTACGTATAACATTGAAGTTCCGATTCATTACACAGTATTTTCATTGGTAAGCAACAAATTACCTTTATTACGCGACACAGCGCAATAATTCTCCAGTTTGGACCGTAAGAGTTTTTATCAAACAATATTGCCGTAAGTTATGTTGAATAAAACGATTCTTTGTATTGGAAATGCTATTTGCTGCTAGATTCCTGACATTAAGTCGTCAATGTTTTGGTAATTTGTCACCAACACTATGGCTTATTTTTTTCCAGGTCTCCTTTTATCTCACTGCATTGGTACTGTCTTATGCGATCGCCTTCATTCTCACTGTTGTAGTGGAATTTCCTTGCGCAAACCTTGAAGCACTGGTTTGGAAGAAAGTCGAAAAGAAATGAAAAGATTGTGTAAGGTCATGGGAAACGGCTAACGTACCTTTACATTATTGTAACAGATCAATGTAGCCATCAGTCATTCCCTTTATACCATATTATATAAACGTTGGGAAGAAATTTTTGACACGTTTCCTAACTTTTTATTGCTTTGTAAAGGGAAAGTATCTCATTTACTGTGGGCGGAATGATGGGCTGGGGATCGAACGCCCCCGAGTTGTAGTTTAAAAAGGCTCTGTTTAAAGGAGCTTTTCCACTACGTCCTCTTCGTTGCAGCGTGTGAAGCGCGTTTTGTTTTTTAGGCCTGAAACGGCCGCATGAGCAGATTTTCAAAGGCCGCTTCACCCGCGCGGGCAAAACGAGTGTAATGGAGAAGCCTTTACAGTATATTCACTATATTATTCTTTACTACTCATTATATATTTGACGAGTACATATAACCATGTCGGACTGAATACAGTTTCATGCGAACTTTAATTAACATCATGTTGCGGTTAAAAAATGTATTGTATAAAATATGTAATATATATAATACAAAGTGAAATGATTTCATCAAACAAGGTAAACTTTGGGAAGAATTAAATATTCGTCTCATTCTAAAAACAACCGGGACATGTCCGCCTATACGGCTATACCCCAGGATTGACGCTCTTGGAATCATGCACTGAGTTGTGTAGAAAATCGTACAATCGAAAACCGTAATACCCAGTGGACATCGGGCATCCACTGTACAACACGTCTTCCGGAATTCCGAGATTGTTTTAAAGACTTAAAGTGCGAGCGTTGGACAAGGGAGCAATGGACTCGTATGGTCTATGCATATGGTCATGCAGTGCCAGGCTCGGGGAACGAGATTGCATGAACTGAACTGAACAGTGAGTCTGTGACTTTCTTTACTTCTTGTTTCAGTCTTTCAGACTTCGCTTCCGTCTGGACGCGACGCGGGGTGGGAGTACTCTTGCATATTGTTACATGAAGTATTTCGTTGATCGTTTGGTTTCTATTATTCTATCTGTTTTCAGTGCATTATTTATTTTTTATATTTAAAAACAGTAAAGAAGCTTTACCATGTCAGGTTTCTTTTTAAGTAACAAACCAAAACGAAAAAAGAAGGTAAAAGTTGTTATTTGTACTATGTATTTTTGTATTATATAATCTGTCATAAACTACCACATAGCACAATCATAACTGAGTTCTTTTAATATTTCCACGTGGGTATAAATTGCAATGAAAATAGATAGAAAGTTTTGTGGAACTGCAGGGCTGAATGTTTTTTTACCTTAATACAAAGATACTGTTTACAACTACATATTCAGTGCATAATATTAAAGTTGACTCATTCAAGAGAGTTGTAAGAGTTTAACCCCTTGTTCTCAGGAAATGCAAAGCTAAGGGTGCCTGGAGGCCTTGCACACCCCATTTTCAGAGCTCTGGCAGACTGAGGGTTTCAAAATTTTCCTATTTGATTGAGTTCCGTTGCATGATCAGTCCTTTCTGTTTCCCTCTTTCCCCTCAGTCCTCAACCTTCTCCTTTGGTTCCTTCATGGCCTTCAATCCTTTCTAAGTTATGGCTGAAATTATTTTCACAACATTGTCAGCAGAACAAATAACAACACTGGAATGATCCATTAATTCAATCAATCCTTAGAAATGCCAAAATGTTGTGCTTTTACACTTGTTTAGAATGTTGATTCGAAAATATTTTCAAAGAAAAAAGTGTCTGATTCTAGAACATTGAGGAATGGAAGTCAATTTGACATCAACACAGATTCTGAATCAGAAAGGTTAGTGCTTGTTTCTGGATCGACATGCAGTCATTGTATGTGGTAATTAGTTATTTCATTAATCTTACATTTTATATCCCTAATACTATTGGGGATAATACTATTGGGAATGTCAAAACTTTGATGAAATAAAATTACTTCATTTTGTAACTTTTTTGCAAATGAAAAATCCCATGTACATAAGAACAATATTGTTGATGTTCTCTTGGGAGAATGAGATTGCCATTTACCATTCCTACATTCTCTTTTAACAATTTTAACTAAGATTTGGCAAATACTGTTCCACTGTGAATATTCACCCCCCGAATTATATTGCTAGCCACAAGCTTCATGGACAACATGCATTTATATTATGCAATTTATCCCCAGTCAGACAAAACAATTAAAGTTTTTCATACATTCGTCTTCCTAAAAGAAAATGCGTTCAGCTGCTCATGGTGTCTGTGAGCGTGTTCAAAAATGCATGTGTACTTTTTTTGACTAGTGACAAAGAAGATATAAACAGCAACATAAACAGTTCAGATGAAGAGACAGCTCAGGAAAAACGACTTCGACTTGCCAAGGAATATTTAGTTCAATTGGAGAATGAAGGTTAGGATCAGTTTATGGTGTTTGTATTTCAGATTTTGTGAAATGAGTTAATGAATCAGCATCTTGATGATTCATTCGAGTTTGTAGTATTGTAAATTCTTAACAAGACCCGTTGAAGACCTAAATATGCTTTGTTTAAAAATGTGGTGTTTTTAAGAACATAATGTCAAATGTGTTGCGTACTTCTAAATAAATAAATTACCATTATGTCTTAGAAAGGGAGAACAGGCAAGATATCTCTGACGGTGAAGATGCAGTTGGAGAACGCCTGCAAAAGGATGTGGTGAGCAATCTAAACTGATGTTGTAATGTGCTACTGTGCAGGAGTTACCGACTGGACACACTATCCACACAATCACTGAAATAAATGCATTATAATTTTCTAAGGTTGTGAACGCTATCTTTGCATGTAGTGAAATGATCCATGCCCCACTTCATGTTCCTCTGATCCATTTGTTTGAGCATGTTAAGCAAGAAAAGAATCAAGATTCAAACTGAAAAAAACCCTCCTAATTAATCTTCCTTTTGTCCAGTTGTTTTGTCTGAAATTTGTCCTTATATTACCATTAATGAAAAATCCTGGGTACAAGGTTGTTTCAGGTTGTGATCTAATGCTTTTAATTCTGTTCAGTTGGAGAAGCAAGGAAATTTTCAAAGAAAGATTGCAGAAAAAGTAAATATTGTTTTATTACATTTATATTTGGATGTATGGTAACCTTGACAAATTAATTGATGAAATTGTAACTAATATAAGATACTTTTAAAACGGAAATAATTTGTATAAAGTCAGTGAAAATTGAAAGACTACTACCCTGAAATATTCTACAGAAAGACCTCATGAAAGCTAAATTACGCTACGCAATTTGTCCTATGATCTGTCTATATGATGTGAGCAACACGTGTGAAAATTTCATATTTTAAAAGTGGGCACTCGTTTTCATTCGTTGGAATGACATTTGCATACAACAAATCCTATCATGCCTAAATGCACGTTTTCTCACAATCCAGTCTTTAAAACTGTAGTTCTGGGCCCCACAAACTGTACCTTGTACAATATACTATTTCCCTTCCGTAAATGAATGTGAAGTCAGAAGGTTTTGTACCAAGTGCTGATGCGCTGAACCTTTCCATCTACAGTGTATTTGCCCTGATGAAGACGCTATCAAAATATTTTCTGGCCACAAGCTATCTCTGACATGCCTATGTATATCACCTGATGACAAAATGATATTTTCCGGATCCAAGGATTGTTCAATTATTAAATGTGAGTGCCTCTTCTTTCTGATTTTCAAAGCTAAAATGTTGTCAAAATTACATTCAAAATGTGATATTTAAAAAAGTTTGGTTTGATTTGGGCACCTAATAATTTTGTTAGAACAATAAAACTTGAGGGTGAATCAGGATGAATTGCCACCCGTCTTGTGACCACGGTCTACTCTGGCCCCTCTATAAATCCAATTACAGTACCCTTGCATGAGATCATATTGACAATACGAAGTTGCAGCTAAAGACAAGAAAACTGTTCTATCTATAGCGATGATGTATGTTTTTTTACGATCAACATTCACTGTAAGTTTCTTGCTATGATTGTGTAGGGGATATCCAAACTGGTACAAAAGAGGGAAAGATACCCAGTGGTCATTCACAAGCTGAGAGTTCAGACAATCATGGGCACGTGGGGCATATCTTTGCAATCGCTATTTCATCCGATGGACAGTATTTGGTATGCTCTTCAAACAGTTCTATGTTACAATATGTTAGACCATCAGTGCATGCTTTATCACACACAGTTTCTTCTTAAAGATCAAAACATTCGCCCAGTCGTTTCGTTCTATTCACTGATGGCTGATTTGATATTTTGGCAGTTGATGAAGAACTAGATGTTTGCCTAAACATTAATAAGAGAGTATACACCGTACAAACTTTGTTTCAGGCCAGTGGTGGTCAGGACAAGCTCATCCGTATATGGAATCCATGCAATTTGAAACATATTCACACATTTAAAGGACACAGAGATGCAGTGACTGTAAGTATCCCATCACCACACCTGGCATCTTGAATAACGTCATCCAGATAGTAGATGATAGCAAATATCGTGCATTTGTGAAATATTAAACGAGAGCCTGGTTATTAGCTAGAGCTTTTTTACTTGAAGTGTTTTTAAATCAACAAACGTAAAATCAAAAATGTAACAGCATTCGTCACCACAGCCTGAACTAAGCACTATACAGCAATACAGCTGCATGTCATGGAGAGATAAATATATAAAAGTCAGAGTTTAAGAAAGCGGCTCCTCTGGAAGTGCTTTTAGTTTTAATAAAAAATTTCCATGCTTCTTAGTTTTTCTCTTTTCCTCCTGCACTATATAACATTCAATTCAAATTTTTTAAAGGGACTTGCTTTTCGTCAAGGATATAATCAACTTTTCAGTGCGTCTAAAGATCGTACGATTAAAATTTGGAGCTTGGATGAAATGGCGTTTGTCGACACACTGTAAGTGAAAACCACTCACTATGTGAATCATATACAATCATAATTGCTGTTCCGTCGACGATTGCTTTGATCGGTCGTTATTTTAGCACCGACTGAGCAGGGCCGTAACTAGAACGATAATTGGGGGGGGGGGGTGTTTATTCATATATTCAGTTCTGCCCGACGGATTTCCATTGTGGCTATTGGACTTACAAAGGAATCCGTCGGGCAGAACTGAATATATGAATAAACAACCCCCCCCCCCAATTATCGTTCTAGTTACGGCCCTCGACTGAGTTTACTATAAAAGCGCTTAACAGAAATTGTATTTAGGTTTGGCCACGAAGATGGTATTACTGCGATCGACAGCATGAAATACGAGCAGGCAGTGAGCTCGGGAGGTCGTGATACAAGTGTTCGTTTATGGAAGGTCGTTACAGAATCCCAGCTAGTCTTTAACGGTTCATGGTAAACTATTTTTGATTGATTTTACGCGCTGTTTTCGTAGGCAACAATATTAGCAGAATATTTTAATATTTTCATTCTCTGATTGATCGTAGCGATAATCGAGCTGTATAGGATACCGCGGGTAAAGATGAACATGCATGAACACAACAAGGATATAGTAGATAAACGCACTAAGCGAATATCTAACTTTCATTTTCTGTTGATTTATTTTGTTTCAGTGGTTCAATCGATTGTTTGCGCATGATTAACGAGAAGAGTTTTGTCTCGGGTTCAGATGATGGGTAGGTTAAGATTCCTAAATTTAGATGTGTAGTTTGCAAGAATATGTGTCTTCATGTGAGAGACATTCTCTAGGAGATATTCTATATCTGTGTAACAAGATCTATTTCTTTTTGCTACAAAAATAATCTGCATGAAAATGAGGAATTGTGGATGTGAGTGATTAATGCAACCTCACTGACGATACAAACTAGGCAGTTATAGTGCGCTATATCTGTGGACTGTGCTATTGAGACTGGCGATTCTCCGCCCAAATACCGACTGTAATACGATCCTTTGAAGCTAAATAACGCTAAAATTCGTAAAAAGAAATACCAAAGACTTTATACTTTTAGTATCTTTTGAGCTCTACAACTGACGTCATAGCTCGTATTTGTAGCCTCGCAATTTTACGAATATAGAACATACTTGAGGATACATCCCTGTGCCTTAAAATTCTGGTGGTATATAAAAACTCTTGCCACCCAAGATCATAACTAATATTATTTTAGTGATGTTGGAGATATTTTTCAAGCACTTAGCTATCAAACGTTCATCAACTGTATAGAAATAAGACGATTTTTTCCATGCTTTGGTGCTTGTCTGTTCAGGCCAAGGTTGCAATTAATGCTTTCATTATTTTATTAGCTTATCTAAAATCGTTTTTGTACATGCCTATTTGCATTTGAAGATCCTTGTCCTTATGGGCAATTACGAAGAAGAAACCGTTATGCACAGTGTCTAAAGCTCATCAACCAACTGCGGATAATATCGATGCCCCGCGGGAATCATGGATCACATCACTGGCCACAGTTAGAAATACCGACTTAATAGCCTCGGGTAAGTATTAAGTCGACGTGTATATTGCAGTCGTGTTTAGCTGAATGCGCATAGTGTTCTTTCAAAAAGCTGACCGTTTGAAACGTTAATGATTAACGTTTAATTTAACAAGCTTAAAACAAGTAACTTTTTGAAAGCATGGCTGCGCATTCTCCTAGATTTAAGGGTTGTCTATTGTTTTGCAAAATAAAGTAGTTTAATCTACTATGGGTATAAACCGCGTAATACCCCAATCTAAGAGTTTTTATTATTACAGGTTCGTCAGATTCCGCAATCAGGTTTTGGCGATGCGAAAACGGTATTAAGTCGCTTTCTCCTTTATTCACTCTACCAGCGGTAAGTATAGCTTTAATGTTATCTTTTGCTATTAGAAATACATCTTTATTAGTACTGCATGTTGGCATTATCAACTAGTATAGCGGTCTTCAGTTACCCAAACACTGAGCGAAACAAGGTCTACTAGAAGTTGTAATATTGTTTGTTGTGATATTTAACTCTGCCACAATTGAAGGAGATTTCCTTCAAAATGACAACCACAAGGGAGGGAAGGGGTCTGATAGGATATATTATGCATTCTTTTCAAAAGTTCTCTATCGCCCTCTTTTGTCATTTCCATCCCCCTATGAGGACAGTCATATTGAAATAAGTTGTGGACGCCCTGGCCAGTGGTCACCCCTTGATTACCTCCCTGCAATCATTTTCTCATAATTTTCTTCATCTTTTAATCATTTGGCGGTTATAGAAAGCACTTATAAATTAGGAATAGATTTATTTAAAAATATTCTATATTGATTGTCTAAAAAAGTCGAATCTTGCTGCAATTTATTGGTCTCTCGCCATAGGTTGGTTTTGTTAACTCTTTGGCTTTTTCAAGCGATGGAAGCTTTTTGGTTGCTGGCATGGGACAAGAACATCGATTAGGGCGTTGGTGGCGGTTAAAAAGTGCTAAGAATTGCATCTTTGTTGTTCCGATTACCAGGACTATGGATAAATCTTAGAGAAAAGTATTTCACCATTTTTGTGCTAGATTCATTAAGGTACGTTTAAACACAGCGATTTATCGTGCCGGTTTTACTTGCGATTTGTCGATTACGGCCTCGTCATCTCTGTATGTGAAAGGCCATGCATCGGATTTTGTCTTGAGTATTCGCCACAGCATTTCCTGATTTACAAAATCGTAAGAAAAATCTGTGGCAAATCACCCTTCTCTCCTTAAGAGCTGTGAAACATAAGTAAAATATCGCTTCGAGCGAAAATTATCGCTAGTAGAAAACTGGTCTCAATCGGCCCGATGCAACGCTGTATAAACGTACAGTACAATTATCGAAACCTGTTAGGGTGGTCGATAATGACTATACGTGTGTTGACAAAAATGTTAATTTAAATAATATAATGAATTTCAGTCAGAACTATTCATATATATGTAGCTATAGGTGAAAACAGGACTTCATGATCACTTGATCACAATGCAGGCTGTTTCTTCTGCAATAAAACCAATGTGACGTTGGTTTCAGAATGACTAAGAAATAAAGACGAATTGTGACCGCAAATTGTTATACTGTTTTATATAATCCATATTGAGTTTACAAGATGTTTTTCGGAGCATGTTTTTTTCTTATAATCACCTTAATCACAGCACTGACACCCTATCGGACGAGACCTCACACTATACTCTGCCACCTTGGTCTGCATGCAAAATATTTCGACTGTTTTAGCTATTTATTCTTACAGAGATTCGTAACGTTGCAATGCGAAAACTATATTGACAGATCATAAACATTATGATGGTCAATTCGTTATCTTGAACTCACTTGAAGTATACGTCAAGATAACGAAGTAATATTTATTACTAAAAAACCCTTATCCAATATCATCGTCATTAATAAAATATCCAAATATCAGATACAAGTATCATTTACAATTTCTTCTCAATAGGTTAAAGTTTTTTTTTAAAAAATCATCAAGATCGCAAACAATCGACTCAAGGTAGGAGGGCATCTGAGAAAAACGTATTTTAATAAGCCCGTGTAATTCAAATGTATTATTTTCGTGAAAAATTCAACTCCACTTCCTCCAATTTCGAAATTTGCCGTAAATTGTCATTTCTTTGGTCCATCCTTTTGTTTTGATTGTATACTGAAATTTTTAAAAATATCATTTTGCCTGCTAAAATTTATTGTTTTCATGAAAAAATGCAATCCTACTTAGTTTTGAATCACTGTGGAGATATTTTCAGGCGGGTTATTAACGTGTTCAAATGTATCGTTTCCTTAAAAAATGTAATTTTACTTAGTTTTCAACCATATCGAGGGATTTTAAGCCAAATTTTTAAATTTCGAAAAATTGACGCAAATTGCAATTTTTTCCTTGCTACTGGTCCGCGGTTACCTATTTTACAGAAATTGTTAAATTGTTTTCAAAATCATTTTACGTGCTCAAATATATCGTTTTCGTGATGAAATGTAAATCTCCTTAGTTTGCAACCATTTAGACACATTTTCAGCCAAATTTTAACATTCCAAGAAATTGACGTAAATTGCGATTTTTCCTTTGCCCTTTTCCCCGATTTTATCAAAATTTTAAATTTTTTAAAATATTATTTGACCTGTTTAAATGTATTATTTTCATGACAAAGTGCAACTTTACTGAGTTTTGAACCATTTCGAAGTATTTTCAGCAGAGTTTTAAAAAAATCGAAAATTTACGGAATTTGGGGTTTTTCCTTTCGTCCCCGGTTACCGATTCTAGTGAAATTTCAAAATACGTGTTCAAATGTATTGTTTTTATGAAGAAAAAAATGCAATTTTACTTAGTTTTCAACCACTTCGAGGAATTTTTAAGCCAAATTTTAAAATTTCGAAAATTAACGTAAATTGCATTTTTTTTACCTTTGCAAATTGGTCCGGTGTTAGCTACCTATTTTACTGAAATTTTGAAATTGTGTAAAAATCATTTTACGTGTTGAAATATATTGTTTTCGTGATGAAATGCAAATCTACTTAGTTTGCAACCATTTAGACATATTTTCAGCCGAATTTTAATATTCCAGGGAATTAACGTGAATTGCGTAAATTTTTCCTTTGTCCCCCATTTCCGATTTTGATTGATTTCCAATAAAAAAATATTATTTTATTTAAATATATTGTAAAATATTATTTTACCTGAAATTGCAATTTTTCTTTTGGAATTGGTCTGCGGTTACCTATTTTAAAATTAATTTTATGTGTTGAAATATTTCGTATTCGTGATGAAATTTAAATATCCTTTGTTTGCAACCATTTGGACACATTTTCAGTCGAATTTTAATATCCAGGAAATCGACGTAAATTGCGATTTTTCCTTTGTCGCCCGTTTCCGATTTTATCAAAATTTGAATTTTTTAAAATATTATTTGACCTGTTTAAGGTGGCTCGGGACAGTTTTCAAGAATTCCATTGTTCATCACTTTGACACGTTCAAACAACGCATTTTTGGGATTTATTCCAGAGATATTCGGGGTTTTATATATCTTGATTTATCTACTTTTGAATCGTATTAGTTTTAGTAACAGATCGTCCGTTGCTATGGCGACATACGTGTACAAAATTCACTCCAAAATGACCAATTGCCTCGGATAGTTGGAAAACAAGCACGGTGACCCCCAATTTTTTTTCGTTCATTATTTTACTTGGAAGAAAAACTAACAATTGGCAAAATATAAAAAAATTCTATAATGCCAAATTTTTGAAAAATGTAAAAATGACGTTTTTTTCGATAATTTTTTTTGTCATTATAGAATTTTTTTATATTTTGCTAATTGTTAGTTTTTCTTCCAAGTAAAATAATGCACGAAAAAAAATTGGGGGTCACCGTGCTTGTTTTCCAACTATCCGAGGCAATAGGTCATTTTGGAGTGAATTTTGTACACGTATGTCGCCATAGTAACGGACGATCTGTTACTAAAACTAATACGATTCAAAAGCAGATACTTCAAAATATATAAAAACCCCAATATCTCTAGAATAAATCATAAAAATGCGTTGTTTGAACGTGTCAAAGTGATGAACAATGGAATTTTTGAAAACTGTATCGAACCAACTTAAATGTATTGTTTTCATGAAAAAACGTTTTAATCAATTAATGAATCAATAACTTTATTAACATATCCTTCAAATTCTAGTTTACAAGAAACAAAATTATCCCCGGAGACTTCTAGGAATTCTAGGATTCCCTATTTTTTTCATTAATTTTCAGGTCCCCTAACTCCCCTTATCAGGCGACGTTGCGAAGCGTTGCCAAGTTCGGGATTTTATCCCGAGATCTTGGGATTTTTTGAAGCGGTTAGGATTCTTTTGGGGTGTTTGTTTGAAATGCAAATATCAGGATTTTTTTTCGGGATTTTTAAGAAATGGAAATTTGGTTATTTCCTTAAACTTGACCAAAAAACATGTATCACAAATCTATAGTTTTAGCCCAATAGTACTCTAAAAGACTTTTTGAAGTTCTCCTCAGCTGTATAATTTGATTTCTTGTCTCATTTTGCTTCTTAAACATTGACGCACAAGCTTTCATATAATCCAAGAGGCCAGATTCAGATTAATCATTACGAAAGACTGGGAACTATGGACAGGGATACCCGGGATTTTTACAGAATTACAGTTGGCACAGCGCTGTGGGTTTTTGTCTTCTCGCACGTTTTAAGGCGATGTTTCGAGTCCTGGGAAGAAAGTTTTTCATTATGACATTCAAAAACGATAAAGTAGAATAGAAAATAGAAGTCTTTTATCTGTTTTAAAGCTTTCAAATCACACCGAAATTTTTCAGGATAATTTTGTTGCATTGCTAGGATTTGAAACGTTTGTCCTCGGTAGGCCGTGCTAAACCACTGGGCCATCGGATTGTATGTTGATAGCGACCTTACAATATAGATGTTATTCCGATGGCCCAGTGATTAAGGTTGCGGTCTACCAGTTTGTAAGCGTAGGTTCGAATCCTGCATGGGAAAGGTTCGATTTTTCCCACCGAAATTACTGTTTAATTTAAAACTAATCGAAAAGGATTAGGTCAGATGAAGAACAATAGCCTTCGACATACGATGCGGTGGTCTTGTGGTTAAGACGTTCCTCTCTCAATCCGAAGACAAGCGTTTCAACTCCTGGCAATGCAAAAAAAATTAGCCTGGAAAATTTCGGTGTGATTTGAAAGCTTTAAAAAAGCTAAAAGACTTCTCGGACCTTTCGGAAAGACTGTAAATTGAAAAAAGTTTGAAATAAAAAAAACTGAAAAAAAGCACAAGTAAAAAAATAGGTAGGTTCGAATCCTGGATGGGAAAGGTTCGATTTTTCCCACCGAAATTACTATTTAATTTAAAATTCATCGAAAAGGATTAGGTCAAATAGAGAACAATAGCTTTCGACAAATGATGTGGTGGGCTAGTGGTTAAGGCGTTCATCTATCAATCTGAAGACAGACGTTTCAACTCCTCGCAATGCAAAAAAATTAGCCAGAAAAATTTCGGTGTGATTTAGAATGTTTAAATTAGTTAAAAAACTTCTCGGCCTTTCAGGAAGACTGTAAATTAAAAAAAGTTTGAAATAAAAACCTGAAAAAAAAATTCTCGCGTTCAAAAGTACTTGAAAATTGAAAAAAAAGCACAATTAAAAAAAGTTTTAAAAACACGTGTCTTCTAAAAATGAAGAAAGTCAGACGGGAAAAAAATTAACAATTTCCCGCTTTTAAGAAACTCATGTTTACTTACCTTAATTTTTTTTTACGAAAATTTGACAGGGTGATTTTCTCGAGAGTGAAAAAATTTAATTTTTTTCACTTTTTTGAAATTCTCTTAGATTTTTTTTTTGACGCGGAAGTATTTTGTCTTGGGCTACCTGTGTCAAGCCAGACACAGGTAGCCCAAGCCAGACACAGGTAGCCCAAGCCAGACACAGGTAGCCCAAGACAAAATACTTCTTCGTCAAAAAAAAATCTAAGAGAATTTCAAAAAAGTGAAAGAAATTGAATTTTTTCACTCTCGAGAAAATCACCCTGTCAAATTTTCGTGAAAAAAAATTAAGGTAAGTAAACATGAGTTTTTTAAAAGCGGGAAATTGTTAATTTTTTTCCGACTGACTTTTTTCATTTTCAGGCTTTTTAGAAGACACGTGTTTTTAAAACTTTTTTTCATTATGCTTTTTCTTTCAAATTTTCAAGTACCTTTGAACGCGAGAGTTTTTTTGCAGGTTTTTTATTTCAAACTTTTTTCAATTTACAGTCTTTCCGAAAGTCCGAGAAGTCTTTTTGGCTGTTTTAAAGCTTCCAAATCACACCGAAATTTTTCAGGCTAATTTTTTTGCATTGCCAGAAGTTGAACCCTTGTCCCCGGATTAAGAGACGAACGTCTTAACTACTAGACCACCGCATCATTTGTCGAAAGCTATTGTTCTTCATCTGACCTAATCCTTTTGGATGAATTTTTAATTAAATAGTAATTTCGATGGGAAAAATCGAACCTTTGCCATGCAGGATTCGAACCTACGCTTACAACCTGGTAGACCGTAGCCTTAACCACTGGGACACCGCATGATATGTTGATAGCGACCTTACAATATATATTATTCCGGTTGCCCAGTTGTTAAGGCTACCTTAACCACTAATTTAAAATTCTTCGAAAAGGATTAGGTCAAATAAAGAACAACAGCTTTCGACAAACGATGTGGTGGTCTAGTGGATAAGACGTCGGTCTCTTAACCCGAGGAAAAATGTTTCAAGTCTAAATTTCGGGATCATTTGGAGTTTAGAAAAGTTAAAACTCCCAGGCCTTTAGGAAAAACTGTAAATTGAAAGAAAATTAGAAGTAAAAAATAACTGAAAAAAAATTTTAAATCCTCGGCTTCAAAAAAGTACTTGAAAATTGAAAAAGAATTACAAGTCAACTGAAAAGTTTAAAAACATGTTAATTTTCTCGCGACTGAAAAACTATATTTTTTCACTTTTTGGCGGAGATAAATGAGATTTATTTGTTTTGAGCTACTTGTGTCGCGGCAGGGACCCAAAGTAAAAATCCTAATTTTCGTCAATTTTTTTAGAATTTCAAAATTCGATTGAAAATACATCGAAATGCTTCAGAATGAATTAGAATTGCATTTTTTCATGAAAACAATACATTTGAACACATAAAATCATACTTTGATAAATTAAAAAATTTCAGCCAAATCGGCCACGGGGGACCAAAAAGAAAAATCCTAATTTTCGTCAATTTTTTTGGAATTTCAAAATTCGGTTGAAAATACGTCGAAATGCTTCAGAATTAATTCTTTCATGAAAACAATACATTTGAACACATACAATCATACTTTGATAAATTTAGAAATTTCACCCAAATCGGCGACGGGGGACCAAAAGGAAAAATCAGAATTTTCGTCAATTTTTTTGAGTTTCAAAATTCAGTTGAAAATACATCGAAATGGTTCAGAATTAATTAGAATTGCATTCTTTCATGAAAACAATACATTTGAACACATAAAATCATACTTTGATAAATTAAAAAATTTCAGCCAAATCGGCCACGGGGGACCAAAAAGAAAAATCCTAATTTTCGTCAATTTTTTTGGAATTTCAAAATTCGGTTGAAAATACGTCGAAATGCTTCAGAATTAATTAGAATTGCATTCTTACATGAAAACAATACATTTGAACACATAAAATCAAACTTTGATAAATTTTAAGATTTCAGCCAAATCGGCCACGGGGGACCAAAAGGAAAAATCCTAATTTTCGTCAATTTTTTAGAATTTCAAAAATCGGTTGAAAATACGTCGAAATGCTTCAGAATTAATTAGAATTGCATTCTTTCATGAAAACAAAACATTTGAACACATAAAATCATACTTTGTGCAAAAATTGCTTGGTGGGTATCCTCAATCTCAGATTGAATGTATTTTCCATTTCCTAATTATTATTTTGAATTCAACAACTGGAAATTTCTTGTTAAGCCAAAATGTTAGTCTTTTCAATCACATAAGCAAAATCACCATTTGTATTGAATATTCTTTCATCCCATTTCTGCCCAATAACCGTGTCAAGTAGCCTGTTTGATTGTCAGTGGAATACAATCCTTCCCCTCTCTTTAACCCCTTGGAATTCATGAAGGCCCGGGTTAAACAACCGAAAGCTCGCCATGTAATAAATATACATGTCGTGCCCCTACAAATTGATGATTTAAGCTGTAAATTCACCATGCAAAATTTTAAGAATTTTTATACCATGTCGAGGATAAATTTTCACAGCAGAAGGAATAATTGTAGGGTATTTGAACATTATCATGGATCAAAACCGTATTTTCTTGAACGGGAGAGTTAAGGAAGAGCCGCGCTTTCCTTTGGGAATTGCCCCGGCAATCTAATGTCGCACTATACACCAGGGAAAGCCGGATAGCGCTATCCACCGGATAGTGATTTTTTCAATCGCTTTAAAATAACCCGTTGTTTGCTATAACTTTGATAAAATCCTAGTATTCCCAAATCGAGGATGCTCTTTAATAATTGTTGGTTAGTAAAGATGAAATTTTATCGCAGTTTCCGAGCATTTTTAGAACGGTTGAAAAATCACTATCCGGTGGATAGCGCTATCCAGCCTTCGTTGGCTAAAATTGGTTTATTAGAGAAAAACACAGATTGATGCGCGCGCTCGCACCTCGATCGTTTCAACTATCCGCACTCGCATTTTTCCTTCGTCATTTTTGTGCACCTGGAAGTGACTTCGCGACTTTCACATTATTATAATTTCACATTATATTTTATTACAAACTATACAATGATTACAAGGGTACTTTCATGATAATATGTGTGTCGTGTTTTTATAAGAACTCTACTGAGCTATATAGCTTGTGATGTCAACGTTTGAACATGTCATGTTATTAGTCTGCATGTGAACGGCGTTTCTCAAGTTAAAAACGGTTTTGCCAACTTCAAGGTTTCCCGATCGCAAACGTAAATATAACTGTTGGCATAATTGGCTAATCAAATTATAATAAGACACAGTTTTTTATACCCAACTAGCAACTGTAGTTTCATCCAAAACGTCTTCAGGCAAAACACGATGAACAAATTGACTTATGCTATAAACTTTATATGTTCTCATGGAGTGGACGTTGTTTCAGGGGGGTGTTTTCTTTGTTTTCAAGTCCATTATGTTTAAAAGCAAGAGACGGATCAAATCGTCTAGTTCCTGTCGCTTTAGAAAGCTTTTCCTCCAATTTCCTTCTGGCATACTTTTCCTTATTTGTTTCCTCTCGCAACTTAGCCACTTCCTACACAAAAAGGTGGCTGATCGTAAATAGATAGAGACGTAGAAATTTTCATACACAAAAAATGTATTTCTATCATTGCTATGAGTGGAAAAAGGCCTTAATATCCGTTACAACGACAGACATACTACAGATCAGGAATTGGCAATGATTGGCCATGTTGAAAATGCGATGTTTAGACAATGATATTAAATAACCTTCTTTAAACTTGCGTTTTCATCTTTCAACTTTTGTACATGACGAATTTTCTGTTTTTGATTTTGATGACCCAACAATCTTGCATATTGATGTCCTAACTTCTCTATCTGTATGAATATATTCAAGTAATTCAATTAGGAATTAATGACCATTGATCAAATTATCAAAATTCACGGGAGTCATTTATTACATGTACTCTTGATATCAGAAAATCACCATTAGAGCAAGTATGTCGTGAGGGTAAATAACTTAATAATCCAAACTCTCTTAGTGTTTTTCTTTTGATAGACTTTGTTGACCACATGCATGTAGTGCATTATCAACTTACCTCGCTTTGTGATTCAGTGTTTCTGTTCAGCAACGCTTGCTTCTCAATTTCATAAGCGTCTATCTGCTCCTAAAACCACGAGGAGTAAAACAAAAATCATTTTGTGGGGAATACTACGTTTCATCTGAAGATATTGTGTGCAAAAATATCGCAAAATCGACCAGACACATTTAGGTGTTGTTCGACTATCTGCATATTAATCATTATGAAGATGACCGTTACGTCATTTCTTATATCTATCCAAATAAATTAAATAAATTATCTATCCAATGAAAGTGTGCAATAACATGTTAAAAACCTGAAATGGTGCGATCTTCTCTTCCAGCTCTTGAAATTTTTGCTTCCAACTGTTTAGGGGCATATTCGAAAATAAAAAGGCAGCTTAAACAAAATGTCACCATGGTATATAGATGCGTTGCTAAGTATTAAGCCAAATTCAGTATGAAGTGAGGCAATTAAATTAACCAATATTAAAAACTTGTTAACATAAAAACCCCCAGCAAAACTGACAACTTTTTCGAAGAAATGTTTTTTTCTTTTCAATATGCGGAAACTAAAAAAAACACACACCTGTCTTGGCCTTCATATTTCGCATGTAACTTGTCAATATCATTCTTGTAACTTATAAATATAATTCACCTGTTAGTTTGTAGTCATAAATGGTCTAAAACTATTCTTAATTACATTTTACATAAAAAAAATAGTTGCATTTTAGCATACGGTTGTCAAATTGAAAATGAGTTATATATTAATCCAGGTGATCTCGTGTTTTTATTTTAGCCAATCAGCGCTCGAAAAGGGTTTTCCGAATAAAAATCATTTCTCAGTATTTAACCGATTATATCTTTCGTTACTCTTTATGAAACTTGTCATAATTTTGTAATTATGTTTACCTACCAGAACTGTAGCTTGGAACATAAATTTCGAACCGAGAAAAAGTATATTTCAAGAGAGTCGATGAGTTAATCGAGAAACGGATTTCTATTTGAAAACTAGTTCTAGACTTTTCCCGTTTTCTGAGACCAGCATTACATTACTTTGCAGAAGTTCTTGTATATGTATCCCCACAATAAGATCCTCGCTTGTATTTATTTCACAAATATACGTGCAAAAATTAAGGCTGAAAATACAACAACCCCTGGACGCAAGAAGTAAAAAAGTTGATCAAAATAACTTGCCTTTCTAACTCGATATCCTTTTGAGAAAGATTCTTTTGGGCGTCTATGAGTCGTCTATAGTACATGAGACAGTATATTATTATGACTACCTTCAAGATTAAAATGGTAACTTGAAGCATTGCCGTCACGATCACTCGCTAGGATTCGTAACCCGTGATATGTCAGCCATAAACATCACCTTCCAAATTCCTGTTTAAGTTTGTTTGCTTTTTCCTCTGCAGCGGCAAGAGACCTTGAAGAAGGAGAATATTATGTATTAAGAGAGAATTCATACTTGACAACATTGGAACATCGATAAAAATAGTCCATAATTCTTATACACACACAACGAGTGGTAATTTGCAGATACTGTAAACATCTACTAAGTTTTAATACATAATGAAAAAATTACTGATTGAATATATGATATGCAATTTCGTTGATATACGTGTAGCTTGGGTATATAAGCTATATCTTTACCTGTTTTCGTGTTGGGCACTCAACAACTCCTCTTTTATTCTTTCGATTTCGTTTCTATAAATCCGCAAATTTGAGATATCTATTATTATCATTCCCTAGCTTTAGAAGTCATACACAGGAATGCAGAATGTCGCACACGCGTTGATTCCATCCATCAATTAGAGAGATTTAGCATGAGGACGTGAACGTCAAAGACGACGTGAAAATGGCGACTAAATGGCGTGGCATGTTAATATTTCGGTGAATCACGCCATTCATTCGCCATTTTCACGTCGTCTTTGACGTTCACGTCCTCATGCTAAATCGCCTTAATAAGGAGTGAGTCAGGACATATAAACTGATGAAATTCTATACGAGTTTTGTCCACCTGTTTTGCTGGATCAATATAGTTTGAGATGCTTCATTCTCTTCCTTCAATTCTTTCATTTTCTTCTTTAGAATTTCAACTGTCGATCTATGCTCTTTTTCGGCCTTTCGGAGTTCATCAACGTTTCTCTATGATAACGTTACTTTTTTCATTCACATAGTACAAAACTTAGTGTAGTGTTTAAACCCACAGTTTTTCTGTCCTTCCAGACGTTATTTCACTTCTTCCACTGCAACCATGATATTGCATGATAATATTTACATCCGCCATCTTTTACTCGGTCGTGAATTGAGTTAAAATGGCACAATTTAATGCAGGACGACATTATAAAAAGAATCATACTGAACACAATAGTGAAGGAATAACGTCATATACTATTACTTGACAAGAAAAAGAACGAACCTGCTTTTCAGTAAGCTGCAGGTCAAGTGTACTCTTGTTCTTTGTCATAACTTGCAAATTATGCTCTAGTTGCAGACGATGGCGATGTTCATCTTCGTAGACTCCTTTTGTCTCCTCTAAGGCTTTATTAACCGTCTCATACTGTTTTTCTCTGCAATACAATTTAGAGTTTTAGGTTGCGACATAAGTTGCATGGTCGAAACTTGTTAACATTAAAAATAGCGGCAAGTAATTTACTACGTGTATTTATTAGTACGAAACAAGAATATTGGCTTCAGTTTGCATCAAAGATTTCTTACATCGTGCATGCGCAAAGAGAACGAAATGGCCGTTTTTCACTGACAGTATTTGCTTACCTATTCTTTAATAGTGTTTCACTCGTTTCCAATTCTTTTGCAAGTTGTACAATTTCAACATTTCGACTTTGTTGAGAAAGAGCTGATTTGAAATAGCAAAATATCAGCTGATTTATAATAATAAGTATATGTTGTAGAAGTGGAAGTAGAGGTGGAGTTTCCAGTGGAGTCGTGTCTAAAACGCTATCATGCAAGTACTACATTAAAGGGGGGGGAGTTGATTTAATATGGCGGCCGTGCTGCATGAGAAGGGGGAATAGCAAGTGCTAAATTTCAACATGAAATCCATTATCTAGTCTGACCTGCAAAATGTAGCTGAAACAGAGGACACATATTGACAATAGTAAATTACTGTCCTCTGTAAAGATCTTGAAATACAATACAAATACAAATATTCTTACCGAATTGATTTTCTAATGATTCACATTTCTTTGTCATATTTTGAAGATTTTCAAGAACATCATGCACCTTTCTGATAAGGAGAAGAACATGTTATATACTGCATGTAGTTGATGTAGTGTCCTGAAAATTTTATACAGAAACCTGGAATAAAATCATTTTCTCCATCAGAAACACATGCAAAATAACCTTAATTTTGCAAGCTGAACTATTTTTTATATAGCTACCTGCCGTTTGCTTTAATTGTTTCCTGATACTCCGTATTCATCTTTGCCTGATGCGTTATTGTCAAACTACACTTAAATTTAGAAAGACGGAAACAACATCAACATCAAACTGGACGCATCAATTAAGATTATAAATAATGAACGGTCCCTTATCAAATGAGACCAATTAAACTGTTCGAGAAAAGGAAGATTTCTGATGTTGAGCTGACGGTAAAAGCCCAGGAGCAAAAACGGGAAGTGATAAAAAGGGAAAAGTAAAAAACTTACCACGTCCAGTTTTGTTATAAGGCTCTCCGAAATTGATTTCTGTTCTTGCTCGTTTTCTCGAAGCAAACGTATTATTCTCTAAAATTATAAGGTGATATTGAAATACATGAACTGCAACTTCGCATCAAATGTGGCATAACAACTCCTAAAATAGACAAAAAAACTTCTCGACGTTTTGACCCATTTTCTTCGTCAGTAGAGTTGGTATGATACTAACCCTAACTATCATAACTAACTCTTAAACAAAAATAGGTTTTTTTTACATTAAGCATTTGTTATACCACATATTTGATGATAAGTTGTTTGAAGACGCTGTCACGCTGCTCCCTGGTTTTATACTCGAAAACTATTAGATTTCAATCGTAAATTGTAGAACGCACGCTTTGCGAAAATATCAATGTGATGAATTCGGATTATTTTGGTAAGATATTAATTCTTTTTGGGATAGAGAGCAGCACCACTTACAAAGATCGTTTGTTATAATAACATCTGGGTAGTAGCAGCTGATTAGTTAAGGAAACAAATTGATTATTAATCTATATTATACCGTTGCTTCTAAAAATTCACTGTCCAAATTTCTTTTCTCTTGTATTAAAACATTTAAATCTTCCTCCAGCTTTTGGCGAGTTTGTAACACACTCTCGTACTGAGTTCTCGTTTCTTGTAAACCAACACTAACAGTTTCAAATTCGTCTTCCCTAAAATGAACACAATCTCCTGATTAACATATCCCGAAATCTAAAAATTAACCCATGTTGAACATATGTTTTGATGAGTGTAAAGGGCATAGTAATTTGATATTAAAAGTAGAAAAACCAAGAAACAATAAAACTTTTGGTTTTCAAAAACATGAATTCCATCAGTTGACTTAAGCGCGTTTACCGTGTCCTCAAAGTATTCTTAGTCAGTTTTAATTCCTTAGCTAATGACTCCAATTCCACCGTTTGACTTCGTTGTAATTCAGCTAGAACAACAGAAATATATATCGATTGACACTTAAACAGAAATATATCGTTGCACGTCACTGCAACTGCATGCACGAGTACTGCAGTATATAATCACGACTAAAACGTTTCAGCACATAGTCTATATCTAATAGTGTTCGGTACGTGTACCTATCTGGTCCTCTAGATTTTGGCACCTCGTGAGGTTTTCAATCCCTGCTTCCTCTTTTCTAAAACACAGAAAGTCAATTTAGATATAAGCGAATTAGGTTATATTTTAGATTGACAATTGATGCCGTACGTGTAACAATGCAGCTATATGCATTTGAACTAAAACAAATCTCCGACATGATTGCACCAAGTCTGGGAAACATGCAATAAAACCCACTAGCGCTTTCCTACGCGATTTTTTCGTTCATTTCTGAGGAGATTGCACGTATTTCCCTGTATTTGCACATGATCAATCAAAAAATCTATTTTTAATGCGCTATAATTACCTTTTTATTATTTCTTGCAGACGTAAGATTTCCTCTTGTGTCTGTTCGTACTCGTTTTTAAGCTTCTCCAGTGAATCAACCAAGACTCCTTTTTCAATCCTAAGAGAAGTCAGAGAAGTCAAGAGATAGCAGCAAGTGGTTTCGATTTACGTGAGTTTCGCTTCCTAATTTTCATTATATTTTTCCACTTGACGTTAGGATATGTCAATCAAACTCGTTCCCGGGATATTTTCCATTCCAGCCATAATTTAATTCTACTTTTTCCCGCGATAAGAAATAGCCCAAAAAATACAGTTTTAATAAGATAATTTTCCACAACTATTATAAAGCATATACATCAACACACGAAATAATAATGACCCAAAGACTTCATCTTACTTCATCTTGCCTATCGTTTCCTTTTGATTTCTTATCGATCCGTCCATCTCTGATTTCAAATGTTCAATCTTGTTTTTGTACGATTTGACAGTTTCGTCAAGCGATTTGCGTTCCTCTGTTAGTTTTTCAACATTTTCTAGCTTTTCCTTTAGCGATCTTTCCAGCGTTTGGATTTCTAATTGATGTCGTTCTTTGCACAACAAACTTTTTTCTAATAGTTCTTCTTTAGTCGCGCAGGCACCCTGTCGAAATCGCGGGTTTGTATAGATGATGTTGAACAATATATTTGCAAATTATAAACAAATGTGAAAGATTGAATTCAAATGTTAAAGCTTAGTTTAGTCATATTTAATCTTCACATACGCAGGAAAAACTTCTCAATATTCAGCACCTTCATGTATGATAATATCTTACGAGATATATCTCACTAATCTAAGGCGGGATTTATGTAGAGCAGATATTTTGAGAGGACTTCAAAATGTATAATTCGACTGTTACTGCCAGTACATACGTATTATGTAGCCTACATGTATTTTTCAATAGTATGCCTGTATCACCTTCCATTTCGTTTCAGTGTCCTCAAGGCGTTCTTGAAAGTCTATTTTTTCTTCTTGTAAGGCAAGATTTATCCCTAAAACGACATTTTCGTGTTGAATATTTGCGGTAATGCGTAAAACTGAAGTAAAAACCATACTGGAAAAAGTAAATGCTGTAGTTAATTTACCGCGAAGTCGGGTGCACCGATCCTCAAGCTCCTCTCTGCTTTCTGTAATATCAGCGTTCATTTGTTCTGAAGGAATTTAATACATGTATATAATAAATATACTTAAATGAAAAAATAATTGTTGGATAATTAAATCATGTTTAAGCACTAACATTATTATTGGAAGAAAATCGTGGACGGCAATGTGGAGATCGTAATTTAACGTATGTAGATCATGTACGTGAGTTTGAATTTTTGCTAAGGTACTAGCTAGCGTAAAGATCTTTTGTCGAGATCTTATTAAAATCATGCAAGATCCAGCAAATATTTTGCCATGATCTTGCAGGCCGATTTTGGCATGATCTTGCCACGATCTTGCAAAATCTTGGCAAATCCTAGAAAACCTTGGCAAGATCCTACAAACCCTTACCAAGATCCTGCAAAACGTTGGCAAGATCTTACGAAACCATAGCAAGATCTTGCAAAATCTTAGCAAGATCCTGCAAAACCACATGCAAAGATTTTAAACAAAAAATTCAATTATACATTCTTACCTAAAGAATCGATCTGCTGTTGTAATGCAGCTACTTTGCTATTCGCTAATTCTAGATCAGCCTGCATGGTTTTGAGTGAGCATTCGTAGCTGTTCTGTTGATAAACCAGTTCCTGAAATAATTAATATCTCGATGATGAACACCTCGAATTCTTCAAAATTTAATACAAATTTAAAACTACTCGTTGCTGAATTTACTTGCATATCTGGGGTGATAAGATTCATTTGGTGCAAAATTATATTGTAAATCTAATCGCAAAATTTATCAACCTTATTTCTTTCCATTTCACCCTCAATCTGTTTTCTTAGTTCCTCCACTTCCTCCTTTAATGCAGCGACGCTAGATTCCATCGCCTGTCGTTCATCGATGCTAAGATCACTATCATTCAACTATGAGACAAAAGCCGGACAAAACTGGAACAATCAAGCATGTCTAAATTGCAAGAATACTTTACATAATAAAATCAAATGGTTTGCATTCTGTTTACAAGTATGATATATGCGGACGTAATATATATTCGATTGCAATTCTTTTTTTAAATTCAATTGAGTGTTAAGCTATGTGCAATTGCATGCATGGGCCCTCTTTGATCGTAATTAAACACGTGCATGGCTGACACTGTTCATTTGGGGTATACGTATATTTTCTTCGCATACCTTTTGCAGCAATTTATTTTCTGCATGAAGTTTCTCAATCTCATGTTCCAGCTCAGAGATTTTTCTTGATAGTCTGCTAAGTTCATCGCTTGACAACGTCTGAAATTGATGCATGAAAAATGAAGACAATAAACAGTATGTGTATTTATATACATGAATCTTATCCATTTATATAGTCACTCTGGTATAAATTCAAACTCGTTGTTTTAAAAGAGCAAAAGTGAAACATGAACGTATATAAACTAAGCATATAAATATTACGGACGAACTTTACCTGGTGGGTTTTTTCACCTTTACTACTCATGCCACAAGGCTTTCTCGGCGTAAGGAAAACCTTAAGGTAAGTTATGAAACAACATATTATAAATATTATATATATTTATAATTGCATGCACTTAATATTGCACTATAGTTATACGAAACAAGCAGAGACTGCATGCCATGAACAGTCTACAAACTACCAATTAATATATTGCAAAACACTGAAATGGTCAATCAATGAGCAGTATGCCCCCGACATGCATGCATGCAGCGATTGTTTTAATGACTGCATGAATATCAAGATGATGTTGATTCTCAACCATGAATTGAACTCTGCAGGGCACTACCTGACGTAGAACTGAACGCCTTTTTTTAAAAAACCTTAAATTCACGGTCGATCGTCTCTAATTCAGGGTGTTATATTAATACATATATGTTATTGACTGAGCGAGAGGTCCGTACAGGAGGATACTGGTCGAGTTCTTTTTCGCTTGTATGGACCGAGCCTTTAGGCGAGGTCCATACCGAAGAAGCTCAGTCAATAAACTATTTATTATATGACTAAAAACGATTAAAATTCCGAACTAAACTGAAAATTCCCGCCGAACCTGGCCGGTCCGTACTGTTGGTTACCGACCGCTCAGGAACCAATCAGAATGCTTGATTTTAGTTCATGGACCGATGAACTATTCTAGTCATATAATAAACTGGCAATATTACTACGTGATCATGTTCTACCTACCCCGGTGTTCAATGAACCAGAACTTTTTATGCTAGCTGTACTACAGCTGCTGATGTCTGGCAAAAAATAAGGTCAACATTACTGCATTTTCTGTTCATTTTTCCGTTATACCGGTTCGAGCTATTATAAATGGTTTCTGAGTGAAAACTCTCGAATGTCAAAATTAAACTATTGACAGTGTTTAAAACGTTTTTAATTGTCTTTAGGTAGAATGGTGGAAATGTTATACAACATTTTGAAGAGAGTTTTTGTTGACGCTTTATATCTTACATTATTGCGTGAATACTTGAATTATTAGAGCAAGGTTTATGGGCTGGGAGGAGGGGGGGGGGTGGGGTGCAATGGCTGGGCTAATTCAATTAATTAATATGGCAGTTCAGCTACTCTACAGTGATACAATACTGCTACTCCTTGACGAGGAGTAGCTACAGTCCTCGATCCTGACAACCCTTGTTTGACAATTACAGTGTTGCATAAAGTAAGCACCACAGAATCTCATTAAATATATTGTTCCAGAAGTAACAGTAATGCAAGAAATGGAGTAATAGTATTCTGTTATATATATTCTGAAATTTAATTCTTACCTAATAAATCTCCACTACATGTTGTTCCTATTAAAATTAATTGAAGATCGATTGTAGTACAGCTAATATATAATAGCTAGCTGTTATATAATGAATAAAGATTCACAGGGGTCACAGCTATGTGGATTCTTTTTGCATAGATTAATGCCAAGTTGGCAAGTGGATGGATTAGATGCATATATGGAGGTAAATGCAAACTAACCTGGTTCTTTAAAACGTTTGTCTTTAGGAAAAAGCACAGCATTGCCATGAGAAGATGGTCCTTTGGATATGTCATACTGACCAGGAGCTGGTGTTTTCTCCACTATTTAGCAAGGTAGTAAAATATTAATCTACTTGGATGTGAAATCAAAGAGAGGTGGTGACACAAGGAAGAATAAATACAAGTTCATTAGTCATTAAGCAAGGGCAGCAAAGTATTACTTATTTATATGCATGGTATTATAACATTTAAGTACTGCAGCCTATTAAAATATTAAATGACAAAGCAATTCTCAAGTTTTTCATCTAAGGGCCTTCATGCATGACTTTGAGAGTTAGAAGAAATGCAGAAAAGGATTTTGTCCAATCTATTTTAGCCAGTTGTTATACCACAATTGATGCAAAGTTCACGTTGCTCTTTGATTATTTTATTTTGATACTTATATTAATTTTGAACATTATTTTACGTTGATGCAGATACATAACGAGAATTTCCATATCGTATCACTGATAATATGCTTAGATAGAAACTATAAGTATTTGTTGAAAAATTTTATATTACTACCTAATATACACGTTGCACTAAAAGATTAATGAAGTCTACAAAATATTCTTGAGAAATTATCACTGACAATCCCATGATAAATGAGCGTCCTTGAAAACAGAACATGATGGATCCTACATTTAATATAATTTCGTGCTAATAAGAGTTACCTTGATTATTAAATCGTTTCGATCTCGAGAACATAATTCAAGATATTTTTAAAACTGTACTTCTCCTAACTTCAAACCATACAAACCAACTTTTTTACCATTACTATTATACGTGGAATTTAGCAGTATGTAGTATTTTATTTCAAACTTGGTACGTTCTTCTGCCTGACCAATAAGAAGGCGCGTAGTTAATCCGTATGTTGTAAACTTGACCAATCAGATTGGGGTTTCTAAATATGTGTACTGTTCTGTAATTTCATTTTATAAACCAACATGGCGCTGATTAATGAGTGAGTTTGTTTTATTTACTTTATTATTTCTCGATATTGTTTTTCGCCTATTTTTATGGAAGTCGAACGAAAAAACAATTCCGATGAGTACATCGAATTTTTGCAAAACCAAGGTACAATCCTAATTAATTACAATAATTTTTAGTCTGAATAAATAATTAGTTTTGTCAAACAATGCATGAACAAACATAGCAACCGTAATACCATATAAAACAACAGAATACTGAAAAGATCAACCGCATATTTATAATATATTTTATGCCACACAAATAGAGGACATACTTCGCTAAAAGTGCAAATGTTGAGTTTGGTATTCAAACCAATCATTTATGTTATTATCACATGCAGCTTTTTATCTATTTGAAGTTTTGGCTAGGCTGGCATTATCCAGGTTGGCAACAACATCCTGAGGCTGATTTGCAAACGTTAGCCTGGATTAAGCTAGTATCCCCCATTACACAGTGGATTAATGAGTAGATATTGCATAACTTTTTCCAATATTCAAATGATAGGTAATTAACCTGAATATTAGCCGATCTGCCGAAACCAACCTTATAAAGGCTGGATCCAATGCAACGTATTAATAGCTGTAACATATCATGATGCAGTCCACTGAATGCTGTTCATGCATGCATGTGGTAGAATGATAGAAAAGTAGTCCGTCTTAATTAAATGATTTCAATAGAATAAGAAAATTTAGACATATTGTGTTTTTTCTTTGGAACTTGTGACTAATCCTAGTTGCAATGATATATGAAGATGCTCAGTAATATCACTTTATGGTCGCCTGTAAATAAAGTATATAATACAAGCCAGTTTACTTTATAGCTAACAAATTAAATGTATAGCAAATGTTATTTGTATATATAAAATATGAATATATAACAAGATTCAACCATTCTAAATTGGATAACAATTTTAAGTATAATTGTGTTGGAATAAGAATGTATACCAGTCCTAAATCAAGTTTTATTTCGTTACTCATTGATAAAGAATTTTCTCCTACATAACAAGCCAAACAAAAGGATCTAGTGGTTTTGAGAAAATGTGTGTAAAACATGCACGAAAGGCTAAGTAAAAAAAGCAATGTTTTAAAGATTAAAAGCATTCAATTTGTTTCCAGATTTAGTACCAGGCAGAATTATGTGCCTGTTAGAAGTTATTCCAGGGGAGAGAATACAGAAAGATTGACGTAGTCAGGACTAAAAATTTGTACCCTACACTGTACAGAATTCTAATGTGCATGGTGGATGAGAATTTGGTCTGAAAATCACGATGAGAATTTTTTGGTGCGTGCATTGGGATACTATAGTTGTGGTAAAACCAATGAAAATAAAATGGCCTGGACTGGCTGCTATAATCCCAGCTGAATATTATCAAATCGCCTTAATTATTGAGATAAAATCAATAGCAAAAAGTTAAATAAAACTAAAGGCCCTGTGGCCCCTGCAGGGATTCGAACTACCATTTCGTCATACGGCCAACATCTTCCGCTACCACTCGGCCACCGGTTTCAGGCTATTTACAAAATAATCATTAGCATAACGGGACTAAATTGTCAAGCTGGCTGGTCGCTATTGGTCATTAATAAGGCCTGATTATGTGAAGTGACAGCTTGATGGTAGATATTCATAAGAATCACATTGTCCAGTTAATGCCTTTTACGTTGATGGCGATATACGCGATATATGATCTAAGTTTTCCAATGTATCCAATGACGCGGTTGATGATTAATTTACACGCACATGTACAACATAATTTTTATAACGTAAAAATCTTGCCAGTACATCTTACATAATATCAAGTTCTGACTATTAATAATTACGGTAACTGTTACTGTACGCTTTGTTAAATTAAATATGATCGTTTAAGTTAAACATTTATTTTTAGTTTCTCGTCTGAACGCTGTATTAAGTGTTTATCAAAGAAAATACCTTCCCGTGCGAGACGAAGAAGTAAAGGTAACAAGTTTTCATCACTGATAGACAGTATTAAAAATACAAAATTAATTGCATGAACGTTGATTTTTCGCATCGGCCCCGATTTGGTTCCTCGTTTTCGTTTTCCAACTCATGCAAATTCCGTCGTAATGATTGAATAGGGACCTTAAGCATGTAGGACGGCAACACGACGACGACGTGGCTGGAATACTCCTTTAAATTATTGTTATGATAAAGCGTTGTTTTATATTATCAACTGTACCAATTTAACGAGATATAAGACGTCGAAAACATTGTGTTTACGTTTAGGGACAATTCTATAGAGCCTAATTCGAGGTAGCGCTCACTGGGTCATGAAATGCAGACGTTCTACATAGGACGTAATAAACGACGTTTTGCCGTCGTAAACAGAACGTAGATCACGTCTAAAACTCCCATAGGTATTTAATAATTCATTTCTTTTCAATGAAGCATTGTATTGATAGCTGCCGTCGTCGTGTTCCCGTCCTACATGCTTAAGGTCCCAAATATTGCATATATGACATGTAATGACTCTTTGATATTTACAAAAAAATATTTTCTTAATTTTGTAAGTCTGAAGATCCACTTCATCCATGGTTATCTGACTCCAGGTAATGAATAACCTCGTGTTTCCAACTTAGCTATGAGTGAGACATTTTTCCAACGTTATGAGTGAGACGAGATAAATAGCACGTCTTCCTTTTAGCCTGACCAATGATTACTTCAGATGCTAGCTCAATATCTATTGGAAGATTATTAGAACATCCGTTCCTTTTACCTTCATGACCCGCCATATTTTATCTATGCTAATTTAGTGTTCTCTCGCCGCTTCTGGTCGAGTACGATAACACCATTCGAAATCTAAAGAACGAATTAGTCCAGTACAAGGTGAGATCATAGCGTTGTAATAATTATTTTTAATTAGTTATATAACTACATTTAGTCTAATACGTAAAGAAATCGCCATCCGGCTAAAAATCCTTGATTCATTCTTCATAGAAAGAACAAGCATCTTTGAAAGAAAGAATTTCCGAAGTTGTTCATGAAAATGGAAAGTTAGTTCCAATCAAGTCTTTGTTGCGTCATCATTTTGTCACGTATAATTTTGCCACGTCATCATTTTGTCACCTGACCTACAAACCCCAGGTCGTTCCATTTTCTCAGCACGAGGAGTTGTGCGAACTGCGGGGAAGCTAGAACATCCCTTTTGAGGCTTTCTGGGTCAACGAACGTTTCACCTCCATCGGCAGCCTTTCTTATACCAAACTGTTTTAACCATGCCTTAACTGCAGTAATTACACAGAGGTTGCATGTTTGATCTTTTTTCAAAGGATGTTGCAAGAACGCCGTTTGGCCCTAGAGCGCGAAATGGGAACGGGAAAGACTGGTATGGAACATGAGAAAACAATTGTTGATTCCAGCATTTTGAATAATGTACAACACCAACTGGAGATTGCAACGAAGGTATGTTATTTTTTTAAAGCACGATGAAGTACATACATTTATCAATATATTTTGGCCTTGCATCTTCTTAGTTTTTCTCGGTTGATCTATAAGGGAGTACATTTCTGTATTGCAAAAAGATGCACCGCCCTCTTCTCATTATTCTAATGCTGGTTTCTGTGATTCTTCAATCTCATTTATCTGATAGGGGTTTTGTGTGTTTGTGAACACCAAAGCAATCAAGATTTTGATATCTTATGCACCTAGGGGCAAGGCCATAATCGGTTCTCTGGGATGGAAAATGTGTGTACTATAACTGTACAGGCAAACAATGCTTTGTACGACTTTAAATTGTATGTTATTTATCATAGGAAAGAGATTATAATAGCGAAATGCTAGAAAAGACCTCACAAGAACTGGAAGATCTGCATCGCGTTTACAAGGTAGAATTACGTTATTCAAATTGCCCCTTATCAGGAGTGAGCAGACACAGTATATGCTTTTTCAGTAAAATGTTTCTATTATAAAGGAAGCAACAGAGGAACTTGCGAGTAAGCTTGATGAGGCTAAGTATCTGCAGGTGAGTCCAATAGATGGAAATGGTTGGAAACAGTATAAATTGTTATGAGTTACCTGCGAAAGACAAAGTTGACCTGAAATTGAAAATTTTCGCTTTAAAATCGTTATTCTATTTTTCAGAACGATTTGTTGAAAGCACGTCGATTTGCAGAACAACTACAAGTTACAAACAGAAAATTGCAAGCGGTAACAAGCGCTAACTCATTATAATAAGTTCCTCTTGTTTGATGGCAAAGTCATGCGGTGGCTACAAATTAAGTTGTTGATTTTAATGATGCAGGAATATGATCAGTTCTTGACAACTGCTAAAGCTCAAGATCACGAAGTTGAATCTGCACGGGATGATATCAGGTATTCATAACAATAATAAATGTATAACATTTCACAAAAGAGCTTCAAGTTAGCAGCAGTTGGCAATAACAACTATAAGGTTCAATAGAATGTTGAATGCCATATTCTCACATATTCAGGAAATGTTTATTGATTTCAAAATCGGTCAATGTAGAAATCTTCGTAAACCCTAACCTCGTACCCACGGTCTTTTTACCTCCGCTCCAGGGCCCACGCTGCGCGAAATTACCTTGGGTACGAGGTTGCGTAAACCCTGGCCTATGGGTTGCATAATTCGTTCCAGGTTTGTGGGAGGATCTGTTTGGATCTAAAATTGATGGGTCTTCATGGGTCGATATGTAATTCTGCATGTGACTGTGCAGCGCATATAAATAGATATGTGTTTGCCAACAAGCACTATTGATAACTATTTTCTTCTAAAATTTTCGATTCTGTCTCTCTAGGCGATACAAAACCGAGGTTAAGGCTTTGTCCTCGGAAAATGAAGATCTAAAGCGCAGGTTAAACGCATTGCAAGGACAAACGAAATTACGGGTGAGCACAATATTTAACTACATTCTATAATCTATATCATATAGGCATGAACAGTGTATAATAGTGTAAACCACTGCTTTGAAACTGATGATCATGTACCATTATCCTGTTTAGGAGAAAGATAAAGCCTTGTTGAACAGTAAAGAACAAGACGTAGAATCAAGACTGGAAGAGTACAGGACGAAGGTTATTGAACTGGAGTCAAGGTACATATAATAAGTGAGGAAAGTTCTGCATTGAAGGATAAAGAAAACCAACTAGTTTGTCTTGTGATCATCTAGTTCAGATGGTGCATGCATGGACCAATGTGATGCAAAAATATAACTTATCTGCAAAAAATTAAGGAACACTTTTGCAGGCTAAATATGCAATTGTATTTTTGACTTTATGATCAGGCTTGTTAGCGCGTTGAGTGTGTGCAAACGAGTCCAAGAACAAAATAACGTGCTCGAAGAACGCGTTGAAGACCTTTTGAAAAAGAAGTATGTGACAAGTGAGATTTATGTTGTTTTATTGTATCGATTATGATTATATAAAAGGCCATGCATATTAATTTAGCATTCCCTCCTTATATCCATTATTATCAGAGTACCATGCATACCCTTGATTTAACTATTCATAATTATCAAATCTAACAGTCAAAATTCAATAGCGACAAGTCTTTTTTTAGCCTAGAGCAAGAACGTGTTGGGTATGAAGCGAGCAAACATGTGCGAGATAGTATGCAGTTGGTAGAAAACGCTGTTCTTGAACGTGATCAGGTGAATATATTTACGCAATTTGTAACGACGTAAACTGAGCACCATGAAGACAGCATGTTTTTAGATATGTTTTACAGATTCCATACATTAAATGTTACATAGCTTTTAAAATATATAACCGAAATTATTTTTGTATAATATTTCATTAATTTTAAACGTCCCTTCCCCGTTGTGTTAAGGTTTTGGTTAGAGAGAAGCAGAAAACTGAAGAGGTTAACCGACTCCAAGAAGTTATTCAGAAGTTACTTCATGATGCCGGCACAAAAACAAAACTAGAAGTAGGTTTTACTATAGCTCTGACTCGTCTGAGCACAGGTCTGAGCAAAGCCATGCAACGTATAACGCGGTAGTCTTTATCACTTCAAGAAGGTGTAGGTCGAAATTAATCAGAGCAATATCGGCGGAACAATGTCTGAAAAGTGAATTGTTTAACCGCAGGTGAGCAAAGTCAAGAATCATTGTAACAAGAATTTACAGAAACTAATGGAAGAGTTACAATACATGGAAATGGTTAGTGTTCCGTTGTCACGGGGATCAACACTTAACATGTCGAGAATTGCCAGTCTTATATTGTTCTTGAATTTGTTTTTTCCATACCTTTTGGTTTAATACTCAGGAAAATGTGCAACATGCTCGCCATTGATTACCAATTTAGTGAAAACTCGTGTAGACATACGCAAGTATGGGATAAGTTAGAGAGTTGGTAGCATTATTAACGGACGGGTCCTGTCAATCCTACTCGTTTCATGCAGATTACGACAAAGCGTGATTAACTGTTTTTTAAGACAAAAATACACTTTAAAAAAACTAACCCATGCATATCCCTAACCCCAGAACTAACAAAGTGGTATTGTTGGGGGTTTTGGAGTAACAAAAAAGCCGAATATGACAATAAGATCGACAAAAAAGAACTAAGAAGTGAATGAGAATGAAATTCTGATACGAACCACGTACCATCTTTCACATGTCATGTTTACAGTAAATCAGCACTAAATTAAACAGCAACGGGTTTCCAAGATTTGCACATTTGCCGAATTCTAATTTATACAGTGCTAAAATTTTATTTATAATGCCCCTGTCCATGATTTCTAAATTCGCGTTGTCAATCCGGCCTGTTAATCCTGCGTTAAAATGACTATCAAGATTGTGCGATGTATCAAAAAGTTATAGAAGGAATATATTAATGAACGCTGTCAGTTCAGCCACTCTGTCAGTCCAGCCACTTTGACAAATTATAAGCTTTTGCTTCAAGTGTAAAAACGAGCATAAATATGTTTGAGGTCGTGTGTATGTTTGTATAAATATTCTAATGATTCCCTTTTCCGTTTTTTGGCTTTGTACATTACTCAATTTGCATACGTTACAATACCCGCTAGCACGATTTTTAAGCCACTGTTTACATTGTACTTTACCTGCTTTGCGATGCACGCCGTTGTTGTAGTCGAAACAAAATATCTTGGATTATTTGTTCAGTATATCGATATTTTTTCGCTTGGCTGAAACACACGACGATATATAGTGCAAGGATGTCGATCAATGTTCGCGACAAAAATTGGATTTTCGAGTTTTTACCGGTAAAAGCGTCTGGGACAGGCAATTGCATGACATTACGCATTGTAGACTTTTTATGCATGTCAAGTATTGAGATAGTCATCCGTTGTCAACTCTTAACATCAGTCACTTTATCATGTTCTGACCAACGAATGTCGAGCACAACAGTATTTTGACAATTTTCCTGAGGATACATGCACCACGTGAATATATGTTTTCAATGCTCTCGGTCCGTTAATCTGAGCCTTTATATCACATATTGACGATGAATTCCGTGGAATTCCATGCACTGTATACGAATCTAAAGATTCCATCATTTCTGATTTAGGAAGGAGCTGAGAAGCAAGCGCAACTGGAGCGTGCATTGAGAGAAAAAGGGGCTGTAGAAAAAGAACTTGAAAAGGTATATCTGACTGGCATGATAGGAATTGAACCTGCTTACTACTGACTGTGTGTAGTATAAAGTATATTTACATATCATGACTGTTTTGAAACGAAATGCCAAATAGAGAACTTGAATGTATTTCTTGAATGGTATTGCTTGACCATTTTTGCAAACACCAGAATTTTTTTTCTAAGATTTATCAAGAGGGCCCCTCAGAAATCACCAGAACTGGAATGACATTTGAACAGTTACAAAAGAAGATAATTATTGCTGAGAAAACTAAAGAAGAAGCCTTGCAAGCTAGGGAATCACTTACGTCACTGGTACATAAAATGGAAAAGAAGTTAGTTCATTCTTTTTACTGTCCCAATTTTCGAATGCTTTTATTATAGTATTAATCCGGAGTACACAATTCAATAAATTCAATATTGAGACTATGCAACAATCCTCGTGAGTTTGCCAGAGGACTCTTTTCGCCCCAAGATTTAAAAAAACAGACTGGATTCCATTGGACTGCGCATACCAAAAGGAAACTTGAAGATGCGGTAACTGATTCTCAACCTTAATTCAAATTTCATCATTTTCTTTCGTTGAAAGGCACGATCAACAGAAGACGCAGCTACTGCTGGAGAACGAGGATCTTAAGAAGCGCGTCAAGCAATTGATCTTGGAAAGTGAAGATATTGCCGCAAACAGACTGATCCTGATAGGTAACAATGCTGCTGGCACGTTTTATTTTATTTTAGCATTTTGCTTTGTCTAAGAAATGTAGATAATGTAAATATTTGTACAACGATATGTTGTAGATGAAATCGACACTTTGAAGCGGGAATTGCTGCTTTGCCAAACAACTCAAGAACAAGTAAAGCAGAAGTCATTTACAGAGGTTCGTATTTAGATAGCTTTTGGGGCTGAATGGCCGGCCAGTATGTTTATAGATAATGGCGTATAAATTAGATTTATCGCCTTCATGATATAATAAAAACATGCAGCTGTATGGTAATGTCTTTTAATTGCATTAAGCCTACACCTTTTTACTAGAACTGATCCCAATAACATGTAAAAATTGTTCAAATTATATTCCTGCATGATCTCACATACCGACACATATTTTGTCAGGTCGCCTCTCTTGAGCAACGACATAAAGTCAAAGAGAGACAGTTTGAGGAGAAATTGCGAAGTGTGGAAGGGATGAATGCTCGATCGGTGAATGAGTTGCGAGAAATGCTAACTGCCCAGCAACGGATGGGTTTTAAGTAAGTATTGTCGCGATTTCCTGCCAAGCACCGATCATATCGACCTCATCCTGGCCGCCACTTTCCCCTACCTCTGACATTTTTTTCATTTAAATTTTTGTTTAAATAGGTGGAAAGAAGAATCACAAGTACTGTCTAAGAAATTCGAAGAAACTGTAACGTCATTGAGGTAGAAAACAGTCTACCCATCTAATTTATATTGCAAATTTGTCTTTAAGATCTATAAAAGATCTATCCAAACCATCGTGCACAGTGGGTTTACTTTTGGTCCAATCATTACAGTTGCACACTACGAACACTTGTATACAATTTTGAAATCGCTTTAGGAATGAAATATCGAAACAAAGCAAAAGAAACGATGCAACAAGCCGCGAGCTGGTGGAGGCAAAACGTAAAAGTAAACAGGTGATGATATTTTGAATACGTAAAATATAAAGAGAATTAGATCCGGGGTGCGCAATCGTAGCTTTATTAAAGATGTATTGTAGTTTTAACCATCCTTCTTTCGTCCCATGCATATTTTATTATCACAGATGGAAGATAATTATTTATCGACCAAAGCTCTTCTAGAAAAGGCTCAATCAATTGCCGCTGACGCGAAAACAAGAGCGGAAGCAGCCAGTAAGCAGGTAAAATATATAAGGACATTAGGGCAAGTACGGAACTAAATCCTGCATAGGCGTACAGTACAGGCCTAGTTTCCTTTTTGGTGGAGAGAAGAGGTAGGGGGAGGCGAACGATTCCAGAACAAATTACCCGACTCACGAGTCTTGGTAGCGGCATGATTCTGCTTTTGACGGCTCTCTTACAGAAACTAGAAGAGTATTTTCTATATGTATCTCAAAGCAAAAATACAGACTACAATATCCAGGGGTTATTACACGGCATAAAGACGGTTGTATTACACAATACGTGCAATTTTTTAGCTTGTACATTTCGTAATTTCTCTAGGTTGAAACCTTACTTAACAGAGAAAGGCAGTTATTGGAAGAACGGAAAAACCTTCACAAAGAGCTAGAAAAGGCACGTCTGCGAAAAAGTAGACCAAGGTATGTTTTCTTTCTTAGGCCAAGGTTTACACGTCGCATTTTGGTCGCGTCGAATGGAATTCAAACAAAAGATAATGAAAGATAAACATAATTATCATCTCATTATCTATTGTTTGAATTGCGTTTGACATTATCTATTGTTTCAATTTTTCTTGCAACTTGCAATGCAATTCTACTTTTCAGAGATGTAAATTTGGTAATTACGGATGTACGTTTCTTACACTTACATTTTGAAAACTCTGAACAAATTTACATCTCTTAAAATTAGGATTACATTATAAGTTGCAAGAAAAATTGCAAGAAAAATTGCACCGTGTAACATGGCCTTAATATACGTCTCGTTAAACGGGCACATTTAGTTCCGGGTCACAAGCGTAATAGACAACGTGAAAATGACATGCTCTGCCTCTATTTCTACTTTTTTGTTGTAGTTCAATAAAGCGATTTGCCGATGGATTGTCCAACGGTAGTTTTGCAAGTCAACGAGTCGTTCGAGATTCAGATAACGTGACGAACTCCACTGGGGACCGAAATCGGAACCTAGAATTTGATAGGGAAACAGCTGGACATTCCATTGATGGGTATTACCACCCAAAAAGATAATAGTTTAAGCAACATATGCAGTATTTATATATAGAGTCTTGTTCTCATTAATCGCCGATGGTCGGCGATGCATTGTCAGTGGCCGGTGACAAAAAAAATATTTCAAATAAAAAACACTTTATTTTGCCAGTGACCACAGGCCATAGCCACCGCCAATTGTTGGTGAGATACAAAAACTAGGCTTGATTCTTGTAGAACTATTTATTGCGATTTGCAACCTTTGGAAATAAAAAAGGCAAGCAAGCTTAGCAAGCCATTGTGCTAACAAAATGCTTTCATCAGTATTCGAGATAAAATAATTAAAAGGAAATCATAAACAGTCAGCGTATAATAAAGTATAGCCCGATTTATACTAGAGGGACGGATCATCCGCCTAGACGAATTTCGGCGAACAAACGATGGTCTGTTAATTGCAGTGTTGATATATGAAAACTAGGCTCTAATGTATATCATGGAGTTGTGGCAGAGAGAATGGATCCCGGAAAAGATCTTTTCTTTCATTTGCTTTAATGATCATCCCAATATCGATAACATTTTATTTTTAATAACCCCATAACAGTTGACGGAGGTTATCTTCATATCGATGGTTGTTGTAAGTGTTCATGCAGTTTGCTAACGTGAGTAACCTTTTCTTCACTGCTTCTTTGTTGTCAAAAATACCGCCGAAGAACAGTGCCTCGATCTATTAAAGCCTGACAATCTCATTTGGACACGTTGACGTAGCTATCATCCTCGCACCACTTATATATGGTGCAACATTTGATAAAGTACGGATGATGTACAGAAGTCGTGGCATTATACTCGCGTGGTTATTAGAAATCGTTTGGTTGACATTTGAATACCGCAATTTACCTAAGTAAATATACACTAGTCTGCACATTATTGTGAAAATGGATGATTCAATTTTTGCGCTTTTGACAGTGCATGTAAAATCCCTGACGCTGGTCATAATCTGTCTTACACGCAGCATATTACAAAGTTTTTCAAGAGAACAAATATTAAGTTGATTTACTTTTCCATGTTTATTTTTTTGTATTGGCCTATTATATTATTTGCCCTATTAAAATACAGTCACAATGAAAAATATGATTGCATGGCGCACGTGAATCACAAATTCACTTGCATGGGACTCTTTTCATAAGATTGGGGAATGGAAGAGCTACTCATAGATTGTGAAGACTTCAAATAACGCATATTATAGGCGTTTGAACTGATCTGATCCAAACTGCACCAGGACTGCACCGACAAAACTCACACTAGATCCATCTCTGCCTACCTTCCTGGTCAGAAGAAACTATCTGTACATACAAAATCAAAATATGACCAAGTTAAAACATTTTAATCACTCAGAAACCTAGTTTATTACATTTATTTCGCAAAATAATTCTGTCAGTCTGCTGTCTATAATTTAGTCTAAATATCATTGTTATCCTACAAAAATATGCTATTTAATTCATATCATACACACGTATGGCATTCTTAAGTTTAAAAAATATTTCACGATAAAAGTTTAGGGAATATATTAATCTATAAATAAAAAATAATTTTTAAAAGCCCCAATCAAATTGGATGTTTTACGCTATCCGTCGTCTATTCTAACGAATAACTGTAAGCTGTGTGTATTTTTGTCATGGAAAAAATCATGATTATACAGTCTATAATCTATACCAAAATATTAATTCAATAACCAAAACATCAATTTTTGAAATATTAAAAATGATTACCCAGACATTTTAACAAGTAAAAAAACTCGTTTCGTTACCTATTCGTTTTTTGCACCTAAATTTCAATATATTAATCTTCCCCTAAAACTATTTATATAATGAAACCTATGAATGCTATTGAATCAAAGCAATTGAAAATATTGGAAAACCAACATTGACTGGTATTGGAAGGTATTCTTAATCTGTGTTTTACAAGAGAACGGAACAAACGCTGAAATCTTGACAAAGTTTGATTGAGTTGCATTCTCAAAATTTTTTTAAAAAAATGGCTAAAAGACATATTCCAGGTAATTTTTTCCCGATGCAAAAAATCTATACATAATAAAAATATATCAATCATATTATCTCAATCTTGTGTGATTAGTTGTACTAAAATCATAAGAATTCATACCAAGAACAATTAACTAAATATTATTCGCAGGAATCCAACATTTGCTTCCACTTTGAATCACCAGAATTGCTCAACCTTGCAGAATTTGCCCATTTTATCAATCCTTGTATGTGTAAAATCGGAACTATTCGCACGCTGGGTGAGCCATCGCACTAGTGATTAAAAATCTAATCCAATCGGCTCATGACGTTATTATCTCCGGTGGATTGGCTTCACTTGATGACGATTCCTTTTTATGTGTAGCCTAAAAAAGATCGCCGCACTTAAATAAAACCACCAATAAAGGTCTTATATCCTTGTAGAATTTTTTTGTGTTGCGAATGTGATAACCCTTAAATCAATATGCGTGGCCATTGTAGATCAAATGCATAAATCTATATCCGTGCCCAGAAGTTAGATCTTTAAGCCCATCTCACCATCAATTTTGCACTCCAATAGTATTCATTGCTTGTGCATGATTTGTGAAAATGTGATTACAAATTGCATTGACAGCAATGACAGCAGCATTTATATACCTGAACAATTTCTTTCCTTTTACAATACAGTACAGCATCGTGCACAGAAAGAAAGGAATTTCCCTCCAAGTATTCCTTTAGGAATTCATCCCTTGCCATATGCCGTTGAAGATAATCTGTACAAATATTAACATAACATTATAAACAAAATACTATGACATAACTTGAGAATATTTGAAATAGAGCCTGGCTAGATTGTTGTAGTTCATTACACTTACATGAGCAACCGACAAAATATACATCCACTCCCATTTCTTTGCTTTTATCGATCATCTACGAGATTGGATAATCAAAATGAAGATAGAAATTAGACTAATCAAGAATCCATGAAATGGTAGTTTTAGAAAATGTAACTTAGATTGTTCTATACGAATTAAATTCGAAAAGGCGAAATACTGAAAATGAGGCATAATATAAGAGCAAGTATTATTTACCTGACGAAGACATTGCATTCCAACGTAGTCGACCGTGGTCACAGTAAATAGATCCAGGATGACACTATGAAGTGTATCTTTGGAATCATCGCAATCGCCCTCTTTAGGTTCTGGTGATATTGTACCTTCCGATACATTATTCAATTCAGATTCCTAATGTAAAATCAAATATTTTCGTTACAGTTATTGAGAGAGTATCAGGACATTCAAATACATATAAACTTTTATTATAACGCACTTGTGCGGTTATCTTTTCTGTGAAATCATCGGATCCCAAATTTACTGCTGCCATCGGATTTATGCTTCGCATCATCTTAACTTTGACTTGCTTGTCTCCTTCTGCCACAACCGCCTCTACCAAATAGTTGGACAGAACCTCAGGTTCAGCGCTGTCACCAACACTTATACTATCAACTTTATGCCGTCCTCGAGTTTTCTCTCGAATCATTTCCACGACTGTATCCAAGAGTTTCTCTGCATTTACAAAAATCAGTCCACCTTGAAATTGTAATATCTGAATTCCCTTGATGGCCTTTGTACCTAAGCAAATTTCGCGATCCAGGTAGATATCTGTTTGCGAAAGATGGCCCAAAGTTCTCACGTTTGCTTGCGATGACCGGTATATAATTGAGAGGAGCGTGATGCCAAAACCAACAATAAGTCCCATCACAATACCAAGGAGAATCACGGAGAAGCAAGATACGAGCCATACCATGGCGTCGATTCGCGAAATTTTACCTATAGTCTTCACTTGCTGAAATTGCATGAACAACCTACGAAGCGATACCACAACAATGGCGGCAAGGACGGGCTTAGGAAGCGGTTCAAACAGCGGAGCAATAAATAATAAAACAAGAAGAATCACGAGGCTGGAAATGAAACTTGTAATTTGAGTTTTACCCATGCTTTCTTGCACCACAGAACGTGAGAGGGAACCAGATGAGACAAAACTTGCAAAAAACGAGCTGATAATATTCACGATTCCGTAAGACAACAACTCCTGATTACTATCCGTTTCATACTCGTGTTTTTGAGCAAATAATTTGACAAGGGATAAATTAGTCGTAGCTGCCACAATGGAAATGAGTAGTGCGTCGACGATGATGTCCGTGAAAAACTTATACTGAGGCACAGCAAATGGCGGTAGTCCTCGAGGTATGCTACCAATAACTGACACGTCAAACCTTGGATTCAGGTCAGCCGTGTGCGAAATTGTTGCACCGATTATAATGACCAACAGTTGCGAGGGAATAGGGCAAGGTAAACGAGACCTGTATCGTCTATTCAAGTAGTCGACAAACAGCAGAATTATTACACATATTAATCCAGTAAGTAAAGCGGCGACGTTTGTATGCGATATGTTCTTGAAAATGTAGATGTAAGTCTAAACAGCGAAAGTTGGAAACGTTGTGAAATATATGAACAAGTTGACATGAATGTTTTGGGGTGGACCGGATACAGTGTTCAGTGGTAGTAACAAGAATTGGAGACTGTTGCTACTAACTTACCAATAGAACCAACAAGGGGCCTCGGAAGATTCGTAAGTAGGGGGGGGGGGTTATATTCATATATTCGTGTTAACGGACTGTAAAAACAATCAATTTGAAAAGAAACTAAAACTACAAAATGCGAATAGTCGTCACCAGTCGTAAATTTGGTTTGCTATAAGATACATGTAAATAAATTACAGAACATATATTACAACTTACCTTAGGTAGAGATAATTCACCAGCATATCGAGGTGGATCAATACCGAAAAAATACTTTACTTGACTGGTAAAAACAATAAAAGCTGCTCCTGTTGTAAAACCGCTGACCAGAGGTCGTGACAGGTAAACTGTTATAAAGCCAAGGTGAACAAGACCCATTGCAGCCTAGAGAAGGCCAAAATTATTTTACTGGTCACGGGTAATGACTAATTGTCTTATTAATGTATAAGAAGAATCCTTTCCCTTGCATGGTAGGGAATCTTATTCAATAAAGAATCAATTAATGATATTACGTTGTTGAGGATAATTATCAATTAGGGTTCTAATTTAGTTAATCAAATATATGTCAACCCGTCTACTGTGTACGTCATAGGTTATTATAGGGTGGTGTGTCAATACTGAGAGCGTTGCGAAGTCGTGTGAGGGTAATTTAACTGTAATTGGAACTTGAAAGTGATTCGAATGAAGAGAGAAAAAAGCAAAATTTGAATAAACATACCCCAAACTAAAATACAAAACCCCAAAACAGGAACACATATTACACACCTGAATTACCCCCACTAGAAGTGTTAATGATACAGCAATTTGTAACTTTATATCATCTTCTAGTTTTTCTCGGTCATCCCCAGTCGACGAATTCGAGCTATTCCCGGTCGTATCAAAGCTGTATTTTGTAATTTCTCTGTCACAAACCTCTCCAACCATTGTCGATATAATAGCAAATGTTCCTAGTAGACAATTGAAATTACATTAGCATCAAGGTTTGTTCTCTTCTATCGGAGTAGAAAACTGCATTCACTTACCTATAGCGATATGCTTTGACGTCCCCAGAAAGAAGTATATTAGAACTGGCAGGAAGGACGTGTACAAGCCAACGATAGGTGAAAGGGATGCGAGCAGTGCGTAAGCCAAACCTAAATGTTAAGAAGGTTCGTTTTAACCATTCTACTCTTTACGCGTTCAATTTCTATTGATGCACGAGCGAGGGAGGGAGAAAGAGGTTCTCAATTTAGGTATATAAGACGTAAAGGTGATAAGGTGGATTTCCATTTCCCTCCCTTACCCCCCGTGTACTCGCATTCCCAAGCATTGAAGTACGTTCAGTCGGTTAATAATAACTATGAGCAAAGAGCTAGAGGAAGTGAAATTTAATGCACAATTTTTCAATTATTCATATGGTAAGCCACAATTAATTATACTTTATTACGTCCGCGTTTTCGAGATATTTTGTTTTCATCACGATAATTATTTGCTAATTATATATGAATGAATGAACAAACTAAACAAACGTTTAATTATAAGAACGCCGAGCAATTATCAGGTTCCCGTTCATACGAAGCACGATTGAAGTACAAATGTACCATAACAATTTATAGACTAGGAGTTACTATTGCAAGACGTTTTCTGCCTTGAAGGTTGTACAAATGCCATGAAAAATCCTTAATCAAATTAGTGCTGTAAAACCACTGAAGTATATAGCAATTATCGCCAGATATTTCAAATAGTACAATAGTCTAAAAGATTGTATATATATATATATAATATACAATATATATATGCCTTGAAGGTTGTACAAATGCCATGAAAAATCCTTAATCAAATTAGTGATGTAAAACCACTGAAGTAAATAGCAATTATCGCCAGATATTGCAAATAGTATAAATAATATATATATATATATATATATAATATTCCAGATATTCAAGATATTCTAAGGGAATATACGTACATGGTGTGGCGCGCGCTTTGTAAATGATGCCGTCAGCCGTGAGCACTGCAAATATGGTGAGGCCAGAAATGATGTATTGTCACGGAATTTGGAGGCACCTCAATCTAATTCTATTCAATATCTAAAGCCCCATTCTAATCTAATTCTATTTAACATCTAAAGCCAAAACCCACAATAAGGGCGATTTTGGGTTTGGTACAGATAAAATTGATACGGATAAAATTTAGACCATCTATTTAGCGACAAGGAGTTATGCACTATATACGATTCCAAAAACCGATTTGAAGTATTTCATCATGCACGATAATTATTTGGTCAACAATAATTTGTCATATATTTCGATCGAAACTATCGTGATTCCGTTCTTTATAAAATGTTAGAAAACAAAAAATATAACACGTGATTTACGACTCATTATAACTACACCAGTTATTACCATTTTTAACGGCCTATTTTCCAATTTTTATTTAAAATTTCCAATATGAAAGAGGTAAGTATACTGCGACAATGCGCACTGAGTGCTGGTAGTTGACATGCACAGGAACAATGTTTCATCTATATGTTACTAACTTTGTTTCTAATGTAACTCAGGCCTGTTTCAGACGTCGAATTTTTTTTTGTGCTGAACCTAACGCTAATCGGAGTCTAGGTTGCACTCGTTTTGGGCTATTGGCACATGAAACGTTTGTCGTCTGAAACGAGTCTTACTTTAAAGATTATAAAAAAACGTGCACGGTGACAAGTTGATTATAACGACATACGATACAACTCTCTCACATATATAATTACCCCTCAACGTAAACAACGCAATTATGGACTCAGCACTCTCTAGCATAAGTTTATAATCGGCTGATGGAAGAGTTTCGCCCTTCCGCTCTTTGGGTCGTGCATGTTTGCTGTGGATATTTGCGTCATAGCCAGGATTTTAAATGCTATAGGTCTAAAAATGAACTAGTTGTATAAATCCAAACAGAGTCGTACGCAATACCGGTTAAAAACTAAAAAGTAACAAGTTTCTTTTATTATTCAACTTTATTAAACATCCATTGAAAAACAATTATCGAATTTTTGCATTTAGACTTAAATCCACTACGGTTCCAAACAAACACGTCAGCTCCGAAGACGAAGACTATTAATTCAAACAATTTTAATTTAGTTGTTTTCGACAATGAAAAGTGATCGAATCAATCATACACATTGTAAAATAATATTTGCAATGAAAGAAGTTGCTATGTTTTTTTATTAAAGTTGATTTAAATGAAATAATTGAATTAATGTAGGTTAAGAAGCTTCAACACGTGCGTGAAAAAACACATCCTTGTTCATCTCAGGAAGTGTCTTATATGTTATTTAATTATGATTAAATTTGTTTGGTATTTGTTATTGAAAACGTATGTTGATAGAATTGATCACCTGCATGTTACAAGGTTACTTCCTATGACGCCAATAAAATAACCCCATGAGATACAGAGAGATTTTAAGGCCTTAAGAGCTTTGAAGCCACAGTATGAACTAGGAAGAGCAAATACATTAAAATCATTATCCAAGATCACAAATATAGATTCTAAAAACGCCAGTTGTAATAAAACATGTTACTATCAGAAACGTATTTGAATAAATACGTGAAAAAATTTGCTCAGTTTTCTTTCATCTTTGTAAACCCCTTCGAATCCAATCTTCGAAACCTCGCATATAAATTTGATCTATCTGTTGCCGAGTTGCCAATTATTGTTATTATTGATTATGATTATTCTTTATTGCCAATATTAATATTGCCTTTGTGTTGAGGATTCTTTGGAGGTATATGATACAACATTGTATTAAAGTTTATTCTGAGACCAAATATGTATATGAAGATTGGAATTATGTATTGTAGTTTCCATCAGTCAATTTTTTGTGGATCACAAGTGGGACAAAAAATGGGGGCCTCCAGAAGTTGCATTACACAACTGAATTGGCCATGTGCCCTTTCCCAACTCCTCATGCACCCACCCTCAAAACTAATCTGATAAAAAAATCTAAAAAATTGAAAGCATTTGAGTTACAAGAATAGATGACTTGCTGAAATCTGAAATTGTTTTAGTTATATAGAAATATAATGTAATTGAAAAACATAGTACATCAAGGTTTTAGTAAGAAATACAGTCATGATTTATTCAGTACAATCATAATTGCAAAAATACAATCATGATTTATTCTTAGATATGAGTCACAACTCAAAAAACCATGATAGTATCAGATGACAAACTATACTGGCATAGAAATACTGTTTTGCCAAAATTGATAAACAAATTTAAACCCAATTACAAAACCTATAAAGGAATAGCCCTTCACCCATATTTCTCCAATTGAAGAAAACATGTTGACATTATCAACTACCATAAGGGTTATCAGCTAGTTGATAAATGAACCCAAAATCTCAGAGCTGAAAGGCACATGCTCTGATGACCTTGTCACTAAAGTCAAAAGCCCAAAGCATAGTATGGCAAGATCTTATATGGCCTTATATATTGTATCACAAGGAAGAAAGCTAGTAACCAAAAGTCCAAAACCAATAGTACTTTTTTCCCACCATAGTTGTTGTATGCATTCAACCTGCAAGCTTTTTTAATGCTATGTTATGCGGACAGAAGAAGCATAGGGATTATAGCAACACCATTTGTTTGATAAAAAAATGCTGTTAGAACTACTTAATCATTAGAGTGTGTGATGACAAATTAAAGAAGTGATGTGTTTAACAATATCAGAACTTAATATATTGGAACCTAATAAGCAAATTGCATCGCCAAACGGATAATATTTTTCTAAATCATCGTGGTACCCACGGTACCCACGTAGTAATTGATAAGTTGTTACATGCAACCAAGAACGTTTATACACGTAAGAAACAAAACAATGACACTACAGTCAAAACATAATATTGATGAGAATCAACGATTAACATACCATTCTATCATAGATCATACCGATAAGAAGTGAGGCAAAACTAACCTTGTGGAATGTTCATGACCCCTACGGTAAATCCAGCTGCAATGTCCATAGGTAAAAATTTACGCACTTTATATTTTGGCAGCCATGTGAGCAAGGGAACGAATGACAACAAAACTTGTGAAAACTTTTCACAGGAGACTTCGGGCTTTAGTTCCCTTACTCTCTCCTTATAAGTTTTCTCTTTATTCGGTTCGTGATCATAACGATTAAAGAAATTTGATTTGTTATATATCGGCCGCGAAACGAGGTACACGTCGGAATTTCTATTACAGTCTTCGTTTCGACTTTCGGTCAGGGATATTTGTTCGTCGTCGACGCAAGATTTGGAAGAAGCATGATCGTCGATTACACAACTTGATGTCATTCCCGAGGGAGAGTATCCAATACTACTGTGATCCTCATTGGTTTCAATAGTATTCATGCCAAGTTGTACTGAAAGTTACAAGTAAATCTGAAAACATAAAGTGCTGTCAAAGGTTTGACAAAATAAAACAATTCTATTATTTCTCTCATTTATATACACACGGCATTGTCTTTGACCTGGTGCTGCCACTTACTTTCTCTTACATTCCGGAAGTATCGACTGTAAATTTCTCAATACTCATGTTGCGGCGCTCTTTGATCTTTTGAGGATCTACCACTGGGATCTACCCACTCACTGAGAGAGCCTACGCAGGCTACGGGCCCACTGAGAACAGGGCAATTTGCGAAAATCTAGAGGCTTCACGATTGGAAAACTTTCCGAGCTAACTATACTCAAACAAGTGCTTCCACGGTAACACGACCACGTCACACCGTAGTCACACTGAATGGTTAGGGTCTTACGGACTGAAATATTCCGATCCCATATTAACACTTCATTCCGACCCTTTGGACCTTTGCTATATTTGAGAATGCGTGCTTGTGATGTTCCGCACATAGTATGACGTTAGGACTTAAATGGCTTCAGCCACAGTTTAAACTAACAACGTTTTTGTCCATGTGAGTTTCCTGTTGTTGCTAACGTATGATTAATTATATAAAAATTTTAATTGGTTTAATCTTTTACATACGTGTATGTACTCGTAAGGGTAAAATACCAATAACTTGGATGTTACGCATTGTTGATAGTCAACAATATCGAGGTAGTGCGACGCTTACTGTCCGTGAAAAATCATCTGCATTGTATCTGACAAGACACACGAATATCATCCATTTGAAGTAAGTTTTATAGGGCGTGAATACGGGATATTTACACACACGCCTCGGTACTTCCTTGGTTACACCCTCTACCCAATATACATATCGATATCAGTAAATTTCCCAGCATTGAATTAGGCATTTGAATGTTCATTTTTCTCTCTAGGTTCGTAACGTACCATAGAAAGTTCGGTTGTATTTTGATTCTGCTGGTCCTCTACTTCAGAACGATCAGGATCCCGTCGACCTTGTCTTCTTCTTACAAGCGATGTAGTTTCGTCATTATCTTCGCTACTGTGTCTTCTTCGGCGACGTCTTTTTTTTCGACGTTCATTATCACTTTGTTCCGACCGTGGTCGTCGTCTCCCTCCTTTTCTTTCTCGTTTTGAAGTGAGCATTTCTGCTTCTTCCGACTCGCCTGTTATCTTGTGGAAAAGCGATAATGCTTTCTCTTGTATAGTAGAGAGAATGCTCTTTGAATCATCCTTTTCTGATTCAGATAATCTTTTTGATCGTTTCTTTTCTCCCTCTACCGAGTAATAAAATGTTGATCACTAATCGCAAGCGTAAAACATATAGTTAAGTACGGATTTTTTCAAAAGTGTGACATGATTTTCTAAAGGTGGTTTATAAATTATATTTCAGGTCTTCGATGTCGTATGTTATAATTCGTGTAATTAAAGATATATAACTAAACTTTTAACTAGACTTTTATTTATATAAAATCTCACGGATCCTGAATTGAATGAAGACCAACAATCGCAATTAAACACTTCAGACTAACAGGGACGAGGAGGAACTGAGCAGACCATTGGGCAATATTTCCTTTCACGGCAAAAACGAAGAGTTATACGACATTAACTTACTTCCTTTTTCATCCGTACTTTCATGCTGTTCACTCTTCTGGCGTCGAGATTTGTTGGATGAAAATTTCAATTTCTTGCCTAAAATATATATTAAATATAACCTTAAACGATGGTATTAAAGTGAGCAACTGAAGCATACCTAATTTTAGTGTGCTGTGATAACCAAATCTCAAACCAGACCTCACTCTGCTGAGATGGATGCATCAGTAATTGTCTGGAAATTAAGTCATAGGGACTCAAAAATACAAAAAAATCTCTGCAGAACCCCTACAATTACCCCATATTTAAATTACCAATTTCCAGTTAGGACCGTTTTTATCATGCCCCTCTCCCCTTGTGATGATATGTGCAGTGATAAAAAATTATCAAAATTTATAAACGTCTGAAGGTATATGAAGAGTTTTTTTTTTTTCTTTAGCTAGACTGCGACAGAATTGGGCATTAAATGGGAATATATCGCCTAGGTCGTTTAGTTAAACCAGCCAGTCCCGCTCGAGTACTTTCAAAGTATAATCCTAATAAGTCCTATATAGAGTTCTACTCCTAGCTTGTAAGTTCTGAGGCGATTAGCCTATCAGATATCAAGCTACAAGCATAGTTTTTTGGTAACGGTACAGCTGGCTGGACTTTCTTTTACCTGAATACATGCTCAGCAATTCTTGAATTCTCACAAGGTCTTGTAACAATTCATTTTGCATAGTCCTTAACTGTCCAATATCATGCAACAGCGCGTCGAAATCTGAAAGCTTGTTTTTTCCATACACCCTACCAAAACGATCGGCGAGAAGCTCATGAAGGTAAAGTAATTGATTCTGAACTTCAAATTGTGCCATCTGTTGATCGCTCGAAGAACTTCGTTCCTTCACCTCGATGTCTATGACTTCAGGACTGCAGTTAGTACGCATGTACTCTTCGTATTTAAGCCACTGGTTTTTGGTCAACAAATTCTTAGAGTCGACAACTTTAATCGCCCTTTGCATTATGGTATTTGCAACAGCGTTACCGTACACACGAGAGAAAGTGTCACTCAGCAAGGCTATCAGTAGGTTCAACGTAACAATGGATACGGCGGTGACGTACAAGGCAACAAGGATTCTGGACATGACTGGATCAGCTTCTACTATTCCTTCAAGGTTAAAATCGTCACCTACTGCTATCCGGAACACGCTGTAGAGCAGGTTGTTACCTAGAACAGATTAATTCAGAGTTCTTAGTGGCGATATTGTTATGGACAACATGCATAGTTAAGGGAACGGTAGTGTTACCCAATTTTATTCCCCATGCTGGCCATGCACCATTTTCAATGAGCGGATAAGAAATGTATTACCGCCATCATTTTCTGAAACAGGAAATCAGTCGAGGGTATACGAACCCGTCCACACGCCTAGCCCTAGCCCCTAGCCTGTACATGCGTGCCGTCCTATGTGGATCTGGAGCCATGCTCATCGTCTGAAATCTTTCCGGTTTTGAATACAATACATTCAGTAATCAAACCTTCATTGTAGCCTTCCACAGGATGTATAGAAACATCTCCGAAATTTATCCAAAATGCTGCTGTGAACGGTATGAGTAAAAGCAGATAGAGAAACGCCCAGTTGATGAAATCTGTGACAGTTTCTCCTAATATGATAACGAGGGTTCCGATACCGTGGAAAGGACGGACACATTTCAGCAGTCGCAGCCAGACCAAAAGATTCACAAAGCTTAAAGTACGCGTATACAAGTATCGAGTGCTGCTATTGTCCTTATAGAAATACACGACACTTGTCGCAACGGTAACAATGATTAGGAGAATCACAATCCAGTCCAAATAAAACCAGGCGCCGAAGGAGTTCAGAGTGGGCAAGGATTTGATCCGTTTCATTTCAATTTCTATGTACTTCTCCTCCTGAGGCCACCGTGGATGGCAATACTGTTTCTCGTCTTCAAGTTGCGCAGTCCGCCAATCAACCCAGTCTTTCTGCGATTTTCTAGCTTTCATAGTCGCTATTACACAACAAATAAAAGTTAGTATGCACCAGGAGGAAATGTATCATATCGGTGTTATTATATACCCGAGGGAAACTGATGAATCAGTTTGTATTACACTATATGACGGCTTGTGTGGTACGTAATATATCGAGTCACCGACGGTAAGTATTCGCAGCAACATTTATTGAAAGTACAAAATCGCTCCATTTAACAAATCTCTTATTGAAGCTCCGTTTACACTACACTCGATTCATTGGCACGGCACGGCTAAAATGGGTACCCGTGCCCATTTCATCTGTGCTTGGCCTTTGTTTTGGTAGCCTAAATACTAATAAAATTGGGTACGGCTACCAATTTTAGCCGTGTCGTGCCGATAAACTGAGTGTAGTGTAAGCGGGGCTGTATAGGCGATGGCTCTTAAATCATGTATATGTAATGGTTATATAGGCTTAGCGCTGCATGTGCATGAGACTGCCATTGGTTTCGATGGACTGGTACTAACCTCTGACCTGCATCACGATCTCATAAAAAGTCATGATCCCAAGAATTAAGCCAATGATTTTCACCCATATGCGCGCATCAAACGGCTCATATAATGCCTTTCCTGTGTCAGGAGTGGACATGCAACCAGTAGTCCACAATATTCCATATACTATATGAAATAACAGATCCACGATGGTAGACAGACGACCATATCGTATCCATTTGTTATGTATAAGCCTCTGCATAACTGGATGTGTAACTACCTCGTATTTTCGTGTAATTACTGCCATTTCAAGTGGGGTCCGTCCGGATATTTTTGGTTGCGCGAAAGCGTTCTTCTTTGCGCGTACCTTCGTATCAAGTTGCACAGGTGTATCTATCAATGAAGTTGTTTCTTCATTCTCTTGGGGCAGCGACTGTTCGAGGAATTGAATGTAGTAAAATTCCTTCATGGTAATGATATCTGTGGTGTGCAATTGGTTCAATGCTTCCAACGCAAGGTTTGGCAAGCGGTCGATAAGAGTAGAGAGCGCAGTATTTCCTGAAGAATCAAGTAGACAACAAGTAGCGCCTTCCTCGAGTAGAACCTCTGTTGTTTTCGCACGTGTCCATTCTGCAGCTAACTACAATAAAGGCATGTAAAAGATTAAAAGTCAAAAAGAAGGAACGAAAATAAAGTGCCAGGTGGGATGCCGTAATGTCGCTACTTACAATTACGAAAACACTGACGATAGACTTTAAAAGACTTTAATCCTTTTGTTGTTGTAAAATGGAACGAGTATATCCCACAACTCCCCTGACTACGCTATTGGGTGGAACGAGAATAATTAACACGAAAAACTAAAACTAACATGTAGTGGGGTGCGTTGTTTAGAATCCAAAGAGTTGATGTCTGCGTGATATCCCAGCAACATTTGAAGTGATTTAGCCGCGCCATTTTTTGCGGCATAGTGAATAGGGGCTTGATTTTCACCGATAGTCCTTGCATCAATGTTCGCATTATTTAACAAGAGGAATTCCGTCATTTTTACATAATCGACAGCAGCAGCAACATGGAGAGGTGATCGTCCATAGGAATCTTTCTTATTGATATCACAGCCTAAATTTTTGGGGAAATTCAATACGTATACTAACTACTAAGGTCAATTAGGAAATTTCTTCACTACGCCAGAATTCGGTTTTTGAAGCAAAAGAAATACCGGGTGTATACAAGAATCATAAAAAATGATAAAAACCGTTTTCTACAGGGAACAGGGAACCTGACGCAAAATTTTTTCTCAACTTGCCTTGATTGTAAAAATATGTATATATCATATAATTTTGTTGAACTTTTATATATGCTGCATATTTTTATTAATTAATGCCCTAAATAGAAATATGCCCTAAATAGATAGAACAATTCAAGATTAAATATCGAATTGGGCAAATCGCACACGACTCACCCATTTCGAGAAGAAACTGGGCAATATCACAATCCCATGACCTTGCAACCTCGTGAAATATCGACTGTCCGTACTGATCAGCGATATTAATATCAGCACCGCCTTTTACCAAGGATTCTACAAACTCGTAGTTAAACTTATCAGAGAGACTGTTAGAGTTTGCAATTGTTGCTGCATACTGCAGTAAGGCACGATTTCGTTCCAAAATACTGTTATTTGTCTCCTGTAGAGCAGTTTGGTTTAACTGGTTTTCAACGACAGCTTGGAGTGGCTCGTTGTGACGTGATGTTCCTAAACAATTATAGTACACATTGGGTTTCACTCATGACTGATTTTCTACTGATAGATAATACACGAAAACGTCTAGTACTTATGACAGCCAGGCCTATAGGCTTCTAGTATGACATTAGACATGAAAAACTAGACATATACATGCAAATAAAATTTGGTCTGTTTTACATAAGACATTACATGCATGCAATCAACAGGATAAATCGTTTCGTAGTTTTGAAACAAAGATATGCTTTTTGAAAAAGCCAACTGTCTGGAATATTTTTCAAACCTTGAATACATACCCAACATGCATTTCAGAAGCAATTCTTCGTAGCGTTTCAATTTAGTTGATTTGTTGCGGTTCGCATGACGCTCTGGTTCCTCACTACGTTCATCCATTTTGTTTTAAAGGATTCTGGATGAGAAGGTTGAAGCTACTGAGTCGGTAGATCAAGAAGATTTAACTCTTTAGCAGTTTAACGCACGTACTGTATATTGTATATTGTATATTGTAAAGACCTACAATGTCATGCACGACTCTTCTCTAGTCTTCGGTACAAACACAGTCTCTATGTCGTCACTGCATGCACCAGAAATTTGATGTAGCCTAACTCAATCATATCAGACCAATAGTCCACTAGTGGTCCATTTTTAGACACACCGGCCATCTAAGGGCGCTTTCCATTAAGCGGCCAAAATGGTCAGACCGGTCGTATTTTAAATTGAAATAGAGTATTTCGATAAGAATATAGCGGTGAAACTAGATTTCCCGTGCTAGGCAGATGTAAATAACGATATACTTAAATGCAGAGTTCTTGAAACACTCTAAAATACCAGTAATCTGTCCGTACCGAAATACAACAGGACCGGTCTGGCCGTTTTTTCCGTATAAAGGAAAGCACCCAAAGTAAATTCCATATCAATTAGGCTACCCCACTGATTCAGTATGCTGTTCAACACAAACAATGCCAATGGATTAGAATATTAAATGAATCTCGTTAAGCAAGTGTACAAGGTTCTTCTACGGCATGCCGGCCGTAACATCTGTTAGTGATATAGTATTCTGGGCACGAATCTGCTGGCCCGTGTTACTGTTTTTTTAGTTTGACATCTCCAACTCTCTACATACGTATCATTTTAACACAAGTAAGCAGTAGTCCCAATACGCTGTTTGTTATTGTACAGTTAAGGACAACTGCTATCATGTTATACATCGATAGAATTTCTCTTCGATTTTAACAGCATGTAATAGAGAATAGGTCCTAGACTTAAGCTCACCAGAGTTACTCCCGATGCTGTCATCAATAGCTTAAAGCCATGGTCTATAAAGCCTTACCTGCCATGCGGTTTTACGCAGCAGTATACGACGAATGATATTGTTGTCTATTTATGATATTGAAGACCACCAGAATTTGCTTTGCACGATGTACAAATAACTTTATACTTACCTTTTCTAAGGCTAGTTGAGTGCTTTTTTGTACTCGTTGTATTCACAAATATAATTAGATCGCCAGCATGTTCATGCCGTCTCGGGAATTAAGCCTTTTCCAAACAATATTATTAGCACTAGCTGCAAGGTAGGAGACAAAGCGTATTAAACATGCACATGCATATATTAAGGTAGCCTTTTCCAGTTTAGTGAACCGTAGCGATTCAAAAAATATCGTTCATGACACCTATTAATGTCCTTTATATATATCGAAATAAAGTAAAATTCTGGCATACTGATGAGATATACCAGGACACTATACTGGTACTATGCTGGAAATTGTTTTCCGTATGGTTATATATAGGGGTAAATTTCAACGTTGGATTAGTTTACTGAGTACACATTAAACTTGAACCACTTGGCAGTGATTTCTTAGGGTGTCAAACTTTTTGATAAAGAGACCAAAAAGCAGTGCCAAAATATTCTTTTCGAATTGACTAAAATCACAATTTTTCTTTTGGTCCCCCGTTACCGATTATTCTGAAATTTTCAAACTTATCAAAGTATGATTTTATGTGTTCAAATGTATTGTTTTCATCAAAAAATTGACGAAAATCACAATTTTTCCTTTGTCCCCCTTTACCGATTTTTCTGAAATTTTGAAATTTATCAAACTATGATTTTATGTGTTCAAATGTATTCGTAACATGAAAGAATATAATTCTACTTAGTTTTGAACCATTTCGAGGTATTTGGCACGAAATTTGGAAATTTCAAAAAATTGACGAAATTTCCTTTAGTCCCCCGTTACCGATTTTTCTGAAATTTATCAAACTATGATTTTATGTGTTCAAATGTATTCGTAACATCAAAGAACGTAATTCTACTTAGTTTTGAACCATTTCAACTGAATCTGCACTGGCTTATGACATGAGCATATTTTGATTTCATCCTTGGAATTTTAACCTGTGAATTCGTCAAAATTGACCTGATGCGTAAAGCAACATTCACATGTCCGAAAAGCAACATTCAAATACTATAGTCTATATACTACCCTTAACGCAGATTGTTCTTTTGCAAATCAATATTTAAATTTTTAAATCTACGTTTTAAAACACTTTCACATGCAGGTGTATAGCAACGAACTAGTTGCTACACAAATTACATGCAATACGTATACAAACGAGAATTTATATACTGCATGTATATACATAAATTATTCATTCTGACTTTAAGATAAATATAGTCTAATTTTCGAAGTGGATCGCAAAAGTTTGAAAGCACTCTAATAGCACATATAAAAATTCGTCATAAGGATTGTCTAACTACGCTTAAATGTTTCGCAAAATTTAAGTTGCCATATTTTTCCACCATATTTTTCAAATTTTACTCTTCCCATCAGTTCAACCAGAGCACGCTCGACGCTTTCCTCCGGCTGGTTGTCTATAATGTTGCATGCTTCACGAAAGTCTGCCTCGCCCAAACCTTGGATGCAATCCCGGCGAAGAAACTCAATACGATCACGCAGTCGACCAGTAGAAACAGACACATCTAAAACAATGTGAAAATGGTCTAAAGGCTTTCTATTCCATTCCATTTTTGGACTTTTCTTATCGCGTATCTATCTATCTACTTTTTAAGAGAGTACCCGATCATTCAATTTCGAAAACCAATATACATATCATATATATTTGCTGTTAAAGTCAAAACCCTCTAAAATCATAAAATTCAATTCTAATAAGAGCACAATGCAAAAAAGGGCAGATCAGCATGATAATATTACTTACCACCGGGATCATCTTGTTCATCAGTGTTGTCCTCCTGTGTCTCTTGATCGAATTCAGGAGATCGTCTTTGTTCCGAGAATTTTAACGTCGTATCCAACGCCGAGATTAATGAATGCACGTCACTACTTTCCTTTCTTCTGTTAAATGAATATGAAGATTACGATGTGATGATAAATTTGTGACGAAGTTTGCTGACAAAGCATGTTTTTGAATAATCAATGCCCCAGTTGACCAATTAGGAACGTGCTTTGCCAGCAACTATATACGTCACAGTGAGGGACTTTTTAGCTATACTACATTGAGAGTTCATTACCAAGCGATAAGATCCTGTAACACAGTTAAATTTTTCTTGCAACCTGCGATTCTACTTTAAAAAGATGTAAGTGAAGAGCCTTCAAAATGTAAGTGTTAAAGACGTCTATGAAGTGTATAATAAACACAAACGTTTCGAAGCAGCCAAATTTACATCTCTTAAATGTAGAATTGTATTCCAAGTTGCATGAAAAAAAGCACGGTGTAACAGGGCTTTTAATGATCTTGTACGATTAAAAAGCATAGTATTGTATTTTATACACCGTATTCGATATAAGCTTTGGTTGAAAAAAATCAGGGAGAAATTGCAAGAAGAAAAAAAAGGGGATGAAAATAATTTAATTCGGGAAAAACAAATCAACGCACGCCTTATTAATAGACTGAGGAATACGTTACGCCACTATTGGCTACATTTCAGACGATCAAGCTTGGCTTTCACACCTTGGCTTTTTTCTAATTTCATCATCTTCCTGGCTGTATTCCTCCGTGTCCGTATCTTCGCTTGAGGGATTTTCAACACTACCACTGTGTTTCCGTTTCGTTATCTGAGATTTCTAATAACAAAGAAAAACCCTATAATCATGCATACAAACATGCATCTTTTACTCAGCTATGTAACAATTCGATATATACAAAAGCAAAAGCAAAAACGTCTTCTGGTGGGAAGATGTAACTGCTTCTTTATATATGCATGCATGTAAAACCTCAACAGAAACAAGGAAAAACACTTCATATGAATTGTATTGTTGTCACCTTTTCCGATGACGAAACTCTTGCAGGTGGTCCATCAGTAATGTCCACATCAACAGGGGAACTCTGAGAGGAATGGCTAACTAGAAAATGACAAAAAAAGTGTATTTATAGCATCTTGTTAGCATCATGTGAGTTTTTTGTAATATTACCCAAGTATATTTTCTCAGTAATTCACATGGTGGTGATTAATGGCACCTTCCTTAGTTAAATTTGCATGAGCAAACTATTTTGATTATACGTAAAACAGCAATAGCTTATATATTTATCGACCGAGAAAACTACCATATTTTCTTACTATTGTTTTGCTCTGCGAATAAGGCATCTATAATAGGGCGCACCCATTTAAAGACCTTTACTTTTATTGTTTACTGAATTAATATTACGACAAAACCAAACCCATTTCTACAGCAGCAACAAACCTCTTTTTTCACTGGACATAGCGGAGCCCGAGATCTTTTCAGAGCTTAAACTAGACGGTAAAACTGATGCTTTGCCCATGCTTTCTCTCTCCCGTTGTCGACGTCGTTCTCTGGCTGAGGTTGGGTTACCACACGAGACCTATATACATGATTCAATAGAAATTCATCATTTCACTTAAAACCTATTTAAACATGTCTTACACATTATTTATATAGGCATTCTTGAAACGCGTGCTCACCTTTGGCTTTAGTTCCTCGTGTCCAACACTAAAAGAAAAAACAGTCAGCTCTGCTTTCGGGAATAAGTGACGTGTCATTAGCACAATGGTACTTCGTGGTTAATTGATAGCATGATGGTCTTATCTTACGCATCGTTACGCATGAACCTTTTACTCAGGATCTTTTCCCTTTGCTACCAAGGCAAGAATCTCTGAATTGGACCTCTGAGTAACTGAAAATCGTACTCAGGTTCTGTCCTAGTCATTGAACTATATATAAGAACTATATATATCTTATATAGTTCAATGGTCCTAGTTCATGGGATTAGGAGGCTAACACCTTACGTATGGTGTAACGAAGTAAATGAAGCCCATCATGATACTCTGGTTAGCAGAGGTATACAATGGGCAATATGGGTTTATTAAATAGGTCATATAAAGAAATCAGTATCTGCATAGACAAGAATCTATCATATAAGATCAATACAACTTCAGCATTGAAGCTTGCAGGAATTGAACACTTCGATGAATCATATTTGTAATGGTTTTTTGAAACTTATACCTTTCCCTAGAATTTTCTGGTGAATCAGCATGTCTTTTTTCTCCAGCTTGTTTCGGGACCTTATACCTTCTTCTTTCGCGTGCGACTCTCGTGTCCGGGTTGTTACTGGGATCTACAATGTTTCGGCTTGGAGGCTTGGGAGGTAGCGGCCGAGATGCCGATGACTGCTGGGAGGAATAATGATATAATAATATATTTGTGAAGAATAGACGGTAGCATGTGTGAGCTCTATGAGTGCAGAAATTTGGCAGAGACAGCATTGACTATAACGAAATAAAACTGTAGTAAGTTTTTACATGAGTAAAATGTGCAATTTACCAGTATGCATTGCTGATCAATATCGTTTGAAAAAAGAATTTGGAGGACGACAAAAAAATTAATGCTCTTTAGTTCGTGTCATTAGGTGTTTTTCTCACCTTGCTACGTGTATTGTAACGGAATATCTACAGCATGCTGACAACCTTTTCGTAAGGGCACAATATCAAAATTTCTCAAGACAAACAAGCAGCAAGGCTAATCTAGTTATTTTCTCACTCCGTTGAAAAGATGCCGCATACCTGGCGGTCAGACGACTCAGGACGACCATCGATTTCCGCTGCCCTTTTATCTTGCGACTGCAATTCATTGTGTGGCTTTTTCGTAATTTTTGTTACTTCCTTCACTTGGCGTTGCTCGTGGGAAGGAATTTTCGAAGCTTTGTCCTTGGACACAACTCGACTACCGCTTTCCCGAGCTCCTTTTTCTTTCAAATCCACATAACGTTCATTGCGGCCATTACTATCTTTGTTACCGGATGGTTTAGATTTCGCAGAGTTCTTTGTCTTGGGATCTTCATGAGAATCCATGCCACTGTAGCCTGAATCGGATGCCTTAGATGACTCAGGTGTGTTTGTGGTTCCTTGTGCTTCCTTCGACTTCAAATTTTTCTTTTGCCTAAGAAAGAATTCATGCTTAATTTATGTACAGCCAGCAGATACTGCATGCCCTTTTCAACTCAATACGGCTTCTATTGGTAAGGCTGGAACTGTTGTGAACTGCTTGCCATTGAGATCAAGTAAAATTCTTCTGAGATTTGTTTAAAAATACACAAATTTATCAAGCAATTCTTTTATTCTCAAGGAAATCTGCGTCTACACGAAAATTCAACACCACTGCCAAAACCTGAAACTAGCCCTCGTATTTCCAACGGCAAAAAGTTCTTTTCGCCTCACCTGTTCTTGGTTCCCTCGAGGAACAGAGCGATTTGTTTCTTAATAAATGAATGCCTCAATAATCTGGCCACACTCGGTCTTTTATCCGGATCTTGGCCCAACATTGAGCGAATAATATCGCAAAGGTCATCGCTATAAATCTTTGGCATTGTTGGAAGCTAAATCGAGGAGATATTAGTATGTTTTTAAATTTCACTGTTAGAATAGTGAACATGGGAGGGCCGCTATCATGGGAGGTCAAAAATCAGCCACATGCCGTTATTATATATCGTCAGTTTAATTAATCACATATTAATTCGTCGAGTTGCGTTCGTTTTGAAATGGTTAAGGCCTGTTTCAGACGTCGAACTTTCTATGCGCCGAATCGAATGCAAATGAACTTAATTTCATTAACATTAGGATCGGCACATGAAAATTTAGACGTCTGAAACAGGCCTAAGGCCCCAAGTACAATAGAATTTAAAGCGATAGAAGTTGGCAATTATTTACATGAGAGAGCCCTCACACTCTCACAGCGTGCATGTGCTCAACAAACTTGCATGGTAGTCTTTCTAGACTCGTATACTCTCTGTACAAACCTTTCCCTTCAGGATTTTGTACACCAAAGAATTCATGTCCTTTGCATTGAAAGCGTGTTTCAAAGTGCACATCTCATAGAGACAACATCCTAACGCCCAGACATCGGACTAGAAATAGAGATACAGGCTTTGAGCTTATAAATAATCCTCACGCTTGCAGATATATAGAAGATCGTCAACTATCATAATTCTGCAGCTGTTCACTCTTTTTTCTCTCACCAGTTATTTCACGTACCTTGTAACTGTACGGTTTGTTAGAAAACAACTCAGGAGACATATAGTAAGGCGTTCCGATCAACGTAGTTGCCATATCAGAAGCATTTTCCAAAACTTTAGCTATTCCAAGATCCCCAACCTGCCAAAGATTCATATTGGTCAGTACTAGACAAAGCCATATTCGTTTCTTTATTATAAAGTTTGTTAAATAAAGGAAACATGTTTCCTTCCACAATTTCCAGGCTATCATTCAAGGCTCGACATGTATAATGCATATCACATACAATAACTGTGTTTTTACAGGCTTACCTTTATTATTTTACTTTTGGTTAAAAATATATTCTGTGTCTTCAGATCACGATGGAGAATACGTCGATCATGTAGATACTAAACAGTGTAGTGGTCAACAATTAACACCCATTTTTGGGTTGAATAAGGGCTGCCTGAAGTCCACTGTCGCGTGTTTGCACCTTACACGCACGTAAAAGTTTAAAATCGTTTAAAATGATATTTATAAAATCTACGATTGAATATAGACACATAGGTTAAATTCTGTTGAAGGTTTGGTATGTTTTTTCTCCAATATAATTATATAATTATATATCAACTTTTACGTGTACGAGTATACATACAGTAGATGCAAAAAACGAGACAGTGGAAAGCAGCGTAACTTATAATTGTGTTCGTCTGTAAAACGTGGGGTTGCATCCCTCCAGTAAATGTGTACTGCTATCTATGTTGCAACCATCTTTCAAACATTTTAGTGTGCATATTTCACAGTGACACTCATATTGCAAAATGTCATTGGTTAAACAAGAGGGAGGATTGCAAAATTATGACTCAAGAGAAAGGAATAGCCTGAAGGAAACATTCAAAGCTATCAACATTAATACTAACTTGAAAAATTGTGATGGTATGAATATTAACAGTATGGTTTCAGAATGTGTGTGCACACGCCTAACACATGTACCTGAAGTGCCATAGCGATTTGAACAAACCATTCCACAATCTGTCTCTCCTCCAAATATGTGCCTTTCTGAGCCTTAAGTCTGGAATACATGTCACCACCTTCACAGTATGCCATGACAATGCACAAGACTCCATAATCAGCTTGGAAGGATTCTTTATATGAAACAATATTGGGGTGCCTTATTTGAGATAGCAGTTGCGCCTTGAAAAAAAGAGGGTGCATTTTTTATTTATGCAAAAGTTTGTAAAACAGCATGACCTATCCAGAGAATGAAAAGCTCTATGAAATATATTCAAAAAAAGGTGCATCCTAAGACTTAGTTGAGCAGTGCTTTCATATTTGCTAAAATGCTTTTGCAATCATCATGTTCAGGCTGGTTACAAATACGGAAAACCAAGGCACTATAGTGGATGCATCTATTTTGATTGTGGCTTATATACTACGACAACAATATTGTTAGGGTGTAATAGGGTTTATGGATTTCTTTCACTCGATATACTGCATTAGTATCAATTTTGAGGCGACTATTGATTTTCCTGCATTCTGATTGGTCAAGATTCACTGTCTCTGAAATGATAGTCACTGGTTGGTGACTACAGGTTTTTGGTGTTGTTTTTAATTATAATTATAAATTTTTATGAAATTGTGTTGAAGTTTATACTAAGACAATTAGTCACCTCAAGCTTGTTTAATCACCTCGCCTGGTGACTAAGGGGCCTGTTTACATGGAGCGGGTTATCCCAGCTAGGCAAGGTAAAAATCGCATCACATCAAAGCCTTAACCTGATTAGTCTTTTATTATATATGCAGTTTTTACCTCGCCTAGCCAGGATAATTTGCTCCATGTAAACAGGCCCTAATTGTTAAATAGATTGTCAGCACTATACCTCTAGTTCGGCTGCTTCCTGTTCCCGTTTAGATGCTTTGTGAATATCAACCCGTTTAATCACATACTAAAGATCATGCAACAAAAAATATAGAAGGCAAAATACACAGGGTTGTTACATGACAGCTAACAAGGCAAATATGCCTAGGTAGGCATATATCAACTTAATGCGAGACTGCAAGTTCAAATAAGGCTGTCAGAGCTTGCAACATGAAAACCTGTACGTACTACGTTGGACAACTAATTATAATTCTGCTATAATTGAAATGAAGGCTAGAAATCTTTAAACAGACAACTCCTAATTTCTAACTTCCACAATGTATTATTTAAAAACCACGGCACCTGTTTTTATTTCAATACCGCAATAAGCTGGCTTTTTATTTCAATACCGCAACCTGGGTTTAGAGTTCTTTATATAAATTCAACATGTTTAGAAAATAATTTGCAGAATGAATCATCGAAACAAATTCTTCCCTGAACGTACCTGCTTTTTATCGTTCTTGTGTTTCACCAAAGATACTTCTCCATACGTTCCTTTGCCTATCACTTTTCCCGTCGTATAGTCGTGCAAAGGCATAACAACGCCAACAGGTTTAACTTTTCTATTCTACTATTAAAATATCACAATCAGCACAAACAACTGTCAATGACAAAGGACACGAATTTACCCCATCGAGTTCGACCGCAGCTTTGTGAGAGAAATACATCTGTAGCGCATCAATCTATGTCTCCTTAGCGTTCTGCTAGCTACAAGGCTCATCAAAACGCTTTATTAGTTTTTCTCTGACTAATAAAGTTCAAGCATTTTATCCTAGAAGCTCTCTACCTCTTTGGTTTTATGTGGTTTTATATTACCACTTGGAATTCAATGTCAGCAAGCGCACGGTTACCAAGTGACAACAATAAACCGGGGGGTAAAGAAAAAATTCTCTGTCTGTGTCTCTGTGATCAGCAGTGGTGATCAGTGGTTTAGGCTGATCTAACCATAATTTATAAGAGAGTTTTAGCGATAGCAAAAATACGTTATACACAACAGATATTGCTTTTTATTATATGAACATGGGTGTTTTACCGAAAACTAAAACACTCATACTTTCCATATTCCACTAGTAAAATTTGAAAAGGATATGTAATGCGTGTGTTTCCTCGCGCGACCATGACGGACCATCGGACGTTTTCTCGCTTTGTTTAGTTTTATTATTGAGTTTCTTTTCATTTTGCTCGAAGATATGGATTTTACGTTCTCGTGTCAAAAACAATATCTCGGCACTCGTTCGCTGCGCTCACTCGTGAGATATTGTATTTTGCCACTCGAACATAAAATCCATACCTAGCTCTATCTACTAGCAACCGTGTAATATCCTATATATAGTATAGTAGCCATGAAAGATGAGCAGTAGCGTCAAGAGGGTGTGGGGAACGGGGAAATTACCGGGGCTAAACGGAGCGCGGTCTCCTGTACGTTGTTGTACGCTGTGTTACTAAAAAGAATTTACACTGATTACGGTGAGAAGAGCTTATCCGCAAAATTATGAAATTGTGTCTGGAAACTTTGCTTTCAAGCAACGCCTGAATGCAATAAAGACTGCAATAGATAATGAGATGATTAACTTATTGGCTTAGTCTTTAATGGTCATTATCTATTGTTTAAAATGCATTAGACGAGTCAAATGAACATTTGACCATGTAGTCAAATGACCGTTTAATGATTTGACCATGTTCCAATTAATCCATACACGAGATATAAATCCATGTGCTAATATCATTACTTATGTGGTGTGGTGAAGCCGGGTTATTTCAGCATGAATTGTTGTTCATTGGAAATAGTGATAATCATAATAGTGGTGGGTTTTGCCTTTAACGAATCTCTTGATGTCGAACCACCTCTCGATCAACAACAGCGTTTACAAAATGGTGAAAAGGAGTTCCAAAGGATTCGTTCGCATGCTGACCACAGCAAGTGTTGGGAAGATGCGATTACTCGTCTTCATGATGGCTGTAAACATCTCACAGACATCGAGCAAAGTCGACTGGCGGTTGCCTTCGCTAACTGTCATTTCGAAAAGTCAGGGCTGAAAACATACCCATGCAGTAAAAATGATTCAATTGTAGATTGTACAAAAGACATGGCTAAAAGCGTGTTGGCATTTAACACATACACGGAATTTTACACACACACTTCCGACATATGTTTCTACCTTCAGAGCCATATTTGGCAGCAAAAAACCGAAGACACTATAAACAAACTTTCAAGCACTTCCAAATTAGTTGCTGAACAGTTAGAAGCTTCTTTGACTAACCAGAAAAGGGTTTTAGAAGGACAGACGAGTTCCTTGTCCAATCAAAGAGATATACTTAAGAACGAAGTATACCTAAAAAATGCGTTGAAAACATCCGCGGAAAGTGCGAAAGAGGCATTTTTGGACATGAAGAAAGCAACAGCCCAGCAAAAAGCTGCTCTGACAGAGACTTTTGACAGTCTATTCAAAGGAGTTGATAGAATCACCAAACTTCAGTCTATGCTGCTTGGAGAGTTTATGACGCTACATTCATTGGGGTTCTATCTTGCAGCAATTTTGGCATGTTATTTGATAACCAGTTCACCAAGGACAGCAGGAGCAAGATTGTGGTTATTCGCAGTTCTTTCAGCACATATCATCATTGAGAGGGTAATTGTTAGATGGTGTATTACAGACAAGGAGTCACAACAGTCTGGAACAACGACAGTAAGTTACACAGTTTTTAGGAACAGTAGCAGTTGATTCCCCAGTGACAGATTATAAGCGTGCGGTAATTGGTTGAAATAAACACGATACATAATATTTCACTAAAATGTATTTGAATTTTCTTTGAAATTCATAGTCAGTATTGCCTCGTTATTCTGGTACTAAGTCGAATTAGAAATTGTGCTGCAGTAATTTTTTCAAAATGTGCTCGTACTGGGTGCTTTCTGTCCGTACCTTTCATGGCTTCCGATGTGCGGGTGCCGACGTTTTCCGAATGGGAAACCGCGAATACTTTTGCTTACCTGGAACTAAGCTAAAAGTTCGATCGTGAACGATGGTGAATTTTAAGGTTGTTAATGAATGATGCTAACGTATGTCAAGTCGATACCCTGATTGATTTGACTATCAAAAAGCTGTGCCAATTAGCCCTGCATGACAGGATCGTTAAAAGTTACTTGTTCATGGGATACTAGGCTAGCGCTATATATTAACATTTTGCATTTTAAGCTACACAAATAACCACTGACTAGCTACTTTATGTAATTTATGACGTTATTTTGTTCAGGAAATCATTCATGGTCATCTTTGGTTATTAAGAAAGATTTTTGTCTTCGAAAGCTTTCTCATTCTTCTATACTTTGCAACCAAGTACTGTGATTACGGTAGAGTGAATTACAATATGTTGAGGGACATTCAGATTGAATTAAAGAAGCTTAAATCAAAAGGAATGGATATAGGAAAGTCCCTAACTGATGGTAGCAACAAGTCATTATTGCCTTTGCCTTCAGAGGAGACGTTCAGGTATTGTTGCATTGATCCTTTTGCCATGTGATTGCAAGCTGGTTTTAAAACCCTGAGCTGATATTATAATATTATTTGATATTTAAACTCATTTATACCATGTCGACCGACAGAAACGCCTTGCACCCTATAGTCCTTCCACAATCCTTAAATTGAACGATAGAATAAATTTTCAAAGGGTAATCAAATCAATAATATATAAAAGTGATTGTGCTAAGTAAATACTAAATGAATATTTATCGTGCGGTTGCAGGGTGGTCCAGAGATTGGTTTCCCTTTTCCTATAAATTTCTTTTATAACCGGACATTACTCTGCCGTTTTAGCCGTTTTATCTTTTTCTCTTTTTTATAGCTATTCCGATTATTCAGTACATAAATATCCTGCTATACATCCCATAGCAAATCTGGATGAAACGTGTTTATCTGAGGAAGATTTGTATACAGATGATAGTTCTGATAGCTATGAAGACGACAGTGGATCTGAATCAGAAGACCCTACCTTTGTTTTGAGTACAAGCCAGAGAGATGACAGTAATTTGGTTGGTTGTTTCATGATAATCATACATTATAATTATGACCATGCATAACTCGTTTCACCACCGATGCCGGTGGTAGGCAAAGGCCCACAGTCCATACCAAAAAGTTTACAGTGTGCAATTAGACTGCATGCTTTCAGACCGTGCACGTGCCTGGCAGCGATGCTAATTGCCAAAAGTCAAAACTGTTTTCTAAAACATGCTGAACACAGTCCCCTTGCCAGTGTGGAGGTAGCGCTCGTTCTTCGGGATGCACCGTGCTCAATTTCATTTGAAAGTTTCGTGTTCAAACGTCGTTCACTGACGCAACCTAACTTGACATAAACATTAACTAAAGTGAGTTGAATGCACAAGTTGGCTGCTCGTCCCGGCTTAACTTGAACTGTTCATAACTGTTTCAGACTATTTGTCAAAAAGTGGTAAAATGGCGCAATTCCTTTGTAAAAGCTATCGATTGTCAAGACCCCAGGCCCTAGGCTTAACAAAGGATAGCTAATGATTAAGTAGATATGATATACAATACTGGAAAAAGGAAGTATTGTGGTCCAGTAGGGAAAAGGCCTTTGAACTGATTCCCGGCGATTCATGGCAGTTCCGGTGCATTGCGTCCACATCAAGTCACTTATACCATTGTTGTTTCCTTTAACAGAGTTTATCAACTATCAGTGCAAACCAGCAAAAGCTAGTTTGTGAGTACAATTTACGTCCAAGAAAGACAGTTTTGAATGTCGACGAATCAAGCAGTATTCGTCATCTTCCAGATCCAAAGACCCTCTCCGATCTTATCTTCAACTTAACGCGAAGTACTGCACCTTATTTCACAAACATGAGACAGTTTCATTCTCGGAATATTACAACCTTTTCATGTGACGAAGAAGACTAAATCAAATGATCTGTTTAACATTGTTATAACATTTGTATTCCTATACGTACGTTGTAATATATATGCATATATTTTGGAAGTATAGATACTGCATGTATAAATTTCCGCAATTGTTTGAGTTAATTGATACTTATAATTCTCAGACTCAAACGTCATTTTCTTGTAAAAGTATTATCTACTGTTGTATGTAGGCGACGATTGATTGCGGTTATAGGCAGTGCTGTGCAACAAATAAAAACTATCACACGATTTATTAAAGTTGTATTTTGAGTTTGTTGCAGTGATATAGCCCAAGAAACGAGAAAAATGTTTACTATAGGGCATTGGTCCTACTGCATGACGTGAAGTCGCTGTAGTTGTACAGCTAAGCAGAATTATTTTTGCGTCAGAACTACGTTAAAACTTCGCTTATATCAGAGTCCGTATAGGCTTGATCTTTATCGTTTTACACAAAAGTCATGTTTTTAGTAGTCAGTTATTATTTTGCTGTCCTATTGTGCTATAACTGGTCAGACAGAAGGACCGGGTGTTACTCAGTATGAAACTGCTATGTCTCAATTCTGACTCAACTTCAGGCTGTGGCTCTGCAGTAAGGCGTGAGGAGTATAGTAACACCCCTAAACAAATGCCCGAGCGGTCGAGCAGCCCGAATTTTAGTAAGGACTTGCATGCATCGTGATCCGATGTTTTACTGCTTTCTAATCTTAGCTAATAGCTACGACCTCGTCAGCTAGACTTATAATGCCCACTCCAAATGAAAGACGACAGTAATTGAATAAGGCAATATATATACATATTATATATTCAAATGAATAGACTGAAAAGTAAAATGCACGGTTGCGTTTTCTACTACTTTTGTTCAAATTTTAGCGATTTAACTTGTGGAAGTATATATAAATTAAGACAACTGAATTGGTGAATGCGCAAGAGAACAATAAAATTTGTCAGAATTCGTCTATAAAATAGGAAACTGACAGACTGCTGCTTCACAGTACGCATATTGCACTGCACTCAACACGCTCATACAAGCAGTTATGTAATTTGCCATGCATGCATATTGTTTGACTTTGGAAAGTTCAGTTATGCAAACACGGTGTCGCTAAGCCTTTTCCAATTTTTCGTACGACTTTTTTGACTAACAGGTCTATAGGAAAGCATTTTCAATATATGTTAATTTGCTACATATCAGGCCCCGCCCACACGATGCCGGAAGAATTTGAAAACGCGAGAATATTCTTATGGCACGCGTATCGTCCACACGTATCCGGCGTTTTTGCCCACTGAAAATTAAACGGAAGAATCTAAAAACGCTCTCCAGAGTGGAAGAATTTGACAACGACGGCTGAGCGGATACGTGTGGACGGCTTTGCCGGATAAATTTGAAAACGATGACGTCACGTATCAACAGAGTTGCAAAAATAGTTCAACCTTTCTCCGGTAGGATTTCAAGTTTGGAAAACCTTCCTCACAATGACGTTACATCACTGATTCAAGTGGCAACCAGCATAAAGAAATATTTGGGTTTTTGGTACATGCATGTGATCAATTACAGTGTTCAACTTTGAACCTTCCTCACAAAGCTCACCCAAAGCAAACCTTCCTCCGGGTGGCACCTGCGTACCCGCAGCTTTTTTGCAACTCTGCGTATATCAAGTCGTTTCCATATTAATGAGGCTTGTTTCAATTCTGGTGGCTTATGCTCGACTTTATATTGCTATATTAGCCTCAAATAAGTCTTATTTAAATTATTTTCATGGTGAGTAAAATCTTCGCCAATATTCTTTTAACATTTGCAGAAGTATTTTACGAGAGAAATATGTCCAAAATGTCGGAGTATGGTTATACACAATTTCTTATACACGACATGCATAAACAGATACTCAACAACAATATTTATGAGTTCGGGCTTGTCATCTGTCCAAACAAAGTCCTCTTTCTTGTTTTTTGCTTTGGATTTGGTAGATTTTTGCTTTGAATTCGACATCCAGCCTGTGACACACGGTTGAAAAACATGAAGGTGTATTGAAGCCTTGCGCGGGATCAAATATATATACAACAGTTTAGCGTTTTTGGATCGTTTTTGTATTCACGTGTAGACGCAGATAAATATTTTAACGGATAAATATTTTTGCGTTTTCAAATTCTTCCGGCATCGTGTAGACAGGGCGTCAGTCTATATGTTTTAAATGACAATCATTAGTTCATTTCTCCATAACTGTCCGGACAATTACAAAGCAAGTAGGATAAAAACGAACCCTTAATACCTGCAGTCATGTAATAAACGTCATTTCCTAAGATATATGCATCGTACAGCGACATATGGTAAATGTTAACTCAAATTTTAAAATGGGAAATGTTTAAAATCTTTAATTTCATTTCAAACTGTGGAGATTGCGACTAAGCTTGGCGGTTTCTTTCATATAAGGAAGAGTGCTTGCCGCGTATTTTCTTTGAGATGCAAATTTAACAAATTAAAAGCTCTGTTCATCTTTCCTTCATTCGTTTTATTAAAATGCTTGATCGGAAGTTTTTATTTTGTTTCTCCGAATCGTTTTTCTTCATTAAAATTACTTTCATCCCGATTTAACGATAGCATTCCCAAGTCTGATTACACAGCTGATGTCATTTGTCAAAGTTGAATATCTTGTTTCTCATGATGTTCCGTCTCGCAGGTGTTCAGTTTTTCAGTATCGTCTTGGCGACGTGATGACGTCATCTTTGTTATCTGATTCCTGCCTTTGGCGACCATTTCTTGCATTAAAATAACTGGATTTCCAATAACTTGTGCGTTGTTCGGTTCTACATGATCTGTCAGGCTGACCATACTTGTGCTCTCCTCGGGCGGGTCGCTGTATTCCGAGTTGAGTTTTGATTTGCAGCAAAATAGAAACGCAACGACGATCACAAAAGCAGATAGAAGCATTGACGTTCCTATGACTGCTGCAACTGTAGTAGCCACAGGGAAGCTTGGTTTACTTGCTGTTTCCTTCGCTGAAGTCCCATTCACGCTTGTTGTTAAAGCGACATTTATGCACAACATGAGGCACAAAAAAATTGAACAAGCGCTCCACACGTTATTGAAATACATTGCCATTGACCTTGACGGTAGAAACTACATGAGCTAAATAAGTCAGGAAAAAATGAATGTCTTCAAATTTGATATTGAGCGTTATGACGATGTTAATACGCGAGATATTCAACACGGTGAATGGTGTGTGGGATAAGTATGTCTAAAAACAAGACACATCCCCGTGATGTTGTCTTACCTCTCAACGCAGGTGAACAAATGTTTCGAATTCAGTGTTGATGTAACCAGATGGCTCTGTTCGTCGCAAGAACATTTCCTTTATGTTGAGCTCATTAATATATACTGCACCCCAGCCTACCCCAACTAATGTTTGTTTGAGTAATTGAATGACTTTTCGAAGCCTATGCCAGGACACTGGTGTAATCAGTTAAGATCTATGTCAGCATTATCAATGTATTTTCTTTAACAAAGCTTTTTTAGCAAAACAATGATAAATTGAAACTAAAACTGCTTGTGTTACATGAATTGAAAGAGTAATAAATGCATGTGTAGTACTGACGTCACAACTTATTCATACACGCTTAATGGCTAAACTGGCCAACCAGAGTTTATATCTCCATGTATTAAGTAAAACATCAGATTTTACTATTTTTTATAACTAATCTGTTGTTTGAACATCCTTTCAAATGAAAGCACCCCAGACAAATGAATGTAGAGTCAGACACATATTTGCAAGAACCAGTGCCAGTTTCCTTTACTTCATCTGTAGTTACATAGCAAATATAGTGTGTGCAGCTCAGCAGTTTTATAGTTGTCGTAGTAAATTTTGTAAAATCGATTATGTTAAATATCTACGCCTTGGTCTTATTGTTACTACGTGCGGTTTAAATGACCCTTTCATGCAATAAGCAGCTCTAGAGGACTAATAAATTCGATTTCGAACACAAGGCCTAATTCTATCAAATTCAGTATTGCCTCGCTTTTGTTAATAATTTCATTTCATCTCATGTATATAATAGGGAGTATATAGGACCTATATTATTGTACAGTTTACCGGATACCGCGGCCTCTAGCAAGTATATAAGATATATAGTCATTATAATAGACGGTATATATATAGCCAATCATGCTGTTGCATTTTCAAACATTCTACTAACAAAAAGAGATACAAATGCATGCATGTACTAATATATGCAAAACAGCCATTTGCCTGATCCAAAATTAAACACCTGTCTACAAATGTTTACAAAAGTCGTACAATACAAACAAAGTGTATTCATTAATTCCTAAGCCATGAAGGCACATGTGATATTATCCATGCATTGCCATGTCTTGAAAGCCTTTTTTTCGCCGGCTTCTGTGGCTTTAATAAGTTATTGTCTTGATCGAAAATATATTCAAGTGGAAGTAATATTTCTCCCTGGCCCGCAATGAACATGATATGAAACAGTGAGTATCTTCCTATGGTTTAAAGATCATAATACAATTTTTATTTTACATTTCTTCCTACACCTATTGAGTACAAAAAATCAGACCGGCGCTTTTAGTTTTGAGTTTTTTGCCAGTCCGTGGCTTTGGCCGGTTGTACGACATAAACTACATGCATGGTTTACCTTAAACTGCCGGCCGGATCAGTATTTAATAGAGCAAGAAGTAAAATGTGAATAACAATTTTCACTTCTCTTGAGTCATGAGTTGGCCAGTACTAGTCAGTTCAAGAAACGGAGCAAATATTTCATGTTTGGGGAGTACGCATTATAATGTCGTATATACGATTCCTACACGATTCAGTTACTGACTATAGTCAGTGTGAAGGAAACCGATCAAGTTACACGAGTGAGTTTTTATCCTGACTCGCAAAGGGTGTATGAAAAACATATAGCTACATGCAAAAATTGCCTATGTTATATTGCTGGGCCTCGTTAATTATACTATTTACTTGACAGTCACTGCAATCGCGGTTTGGTTGAAAACTGCATGGTGGTTGACTGGATTGATCAATTATATAAACATGATTTCAACATAATTTATAATGACTTAGCATCAAATGTGCATAACAACTGCCTAAAATAGACAAAACACTTCTCGACGTTTCGACCTGAGGGCCTTCGTAAGGAGAGTTAACGAAGGGCCTCAGGTCGAAACATCGAGAAGTGTTTGGTCTATTTTAAGTTGTTTAAAGACGCTGCCACGCTGCTCTATATTCAACATATAATGATATAATAATACACCAGTTAACATTACCTAACAGTTCCACTAACTCTCTCGTTTATTGATCGACGTTGTTAAAAAATCTGCATGCAGGAAATATGTTTCCATTAGAGACATTCGAAATTTGTTTCTCCGGCTTACAATTCGTTCTCCATGGCCAGTGGATGTTTTTTTAGAAATTGTATGAGTATATATTAAGTTTGTTCTGCAAGCTTTTCGATATTCAATAAGAAGAAATATATAATATAGGCGGTTCCACTTTCCAGAAAAATACACCTCACAGATCTCTCTCCTGCATGTGTGCAGAACTTGTAGTCCTTTAGGATGGAAGCACTTCGCACTGACTGCTGCCTCATATACACAAAGTTAAAATACATCCTCTTCAGTTCTAGTGTGTGCCCAGAGATTGTCCTGTTATGACAAAACCCCAGCAATAAGCTAGTTCATAGTTAACTCTGGCCATGCAGTACTCACAAACTCTCTATACATTCAATGTCAGTAAAAGTAAATGTAATCCTGAGTGAGACATGTGGAACATTTCCATCAGTAAATTGCTACCCCCAGTGTCAGTATTACCATTAGGTGCCGTTCTTATTTTGGTAATATCACGAACGGGAAGCCGGAGCTTCTTGAAAAATCATCACACAAGATGTTTTACATCGATCGTTTTGTATATGAACATAATCGCTAAGCGTGCGTTGTGTCTACGACGATGGTCGAAAACTTTGCGGAAGAACGTGACCCCAGTGCCCCCCGGCTACTACACCCCTGTCTACTACACCCAACTCAGGGGAACTGTCAAATCACGGTCAGTCATAAGTTAACAGCAAATTTGAGTTTGGAAAGGATCAGTTTGTTACTGTATAACTGTATAAGTGTATTGTTTCTTTATTTTCCATCTGTAAAATTTACTATATTCACGTAGATACTTATTTAAAATGTTGGCAGAGCCTGTGTACACACATGACATCTCAGATTACAATATGTTCGTTGTTCGTTGTTCACTCCGGCATGCAATACTCGCGCCCGGAGTATAAAAATGACCAAGACCATTTTATTGCAACTGAGTCAGTTCTCGTTGCTGATATTGAAACGTAATCCATTGCCACTGGACGACGATGAATGCACAGTTATCTAGAAGTATGTACTTGTTATTCATAGCTCTAGTGAATGAACCAACTGTGTATAAATTGGAGGGAAAGCTACAACCCTTAAAAATCAGAACACGAAGCACAAAAATGGAAATCTACTCGGTTAATTGTGTTGACGCCGTAGTGGGATATGTTTCGGTATTTTTAAATATAAATATTAGCACTTGTAAAATGTAGAGTTATGTTATAATGATAGTTTATCACAACTGGTAACCTGAGCGGTAATTTCATATACGTTACGGCCTGTCACGAAGTTTCATTGCAGGCTCACGACCGAAATTTTATAAAATCGATTAATTGCTATTGACTATTGTTAATTTCGCCCCCCCCCCAACGTGCAAAATAGATTTTCTTGCGGCCATCCAACATAGCCGCCATTGATTTCATGTCATAGTATATTGCTATAAAGTATATATGATTTTGTAATAATATATCTTCAATCACCACGTAGGTCGCGTTTCTATGACGTGTATGGTCTGACGTGTTTCCGAATCGACAGCACTTACCGTAAGTAGGTCATGATATCCTCCATGGTTAGTATACTTTAGTATAATAGTATTATTAGACGTATGTTAATTGTGTCTACCACTTATACCAATATTTCAAGAGGTTCCGTTTGCATATTCCATGAGAAAGGTCAACTTGACAGAAGCAAGGAAGTTTAATGAAGGCCGGGTTGAAGAGTTCCCATTTTCGCTCCAATCTGCACGGAGAGATCATTGGTAAATAAATAAATAAAAGTTGGTCTGTTTTTATTAAGAACAATTCGCACACCCAGAAAATACGAAAGAAAGGGATGAAAGGGAGTCTACGAAAAAGATGTTCTGATGAATGGAAGAAGTGGTCTTTGCGTGACACTTTGCATGGAATACTACCCATCACACAATGGTTACCAAAATACAAAGCAAAGGAATATCTTCCAGGGGACATCGCTGCTGGATTGGCATTGGGTATCATGAACATACCACAAGGTAATTAGCAGTTGACAGTTGACAACAAAAGAAAGAGATTTCTATCAAAATATTCGATACATTACATAGAATATAATAATGTAACTTGTTATATAATCCTACACTGATTGCATCAGGCCAGACATATATAGCATTGTCCTTACGATGTAGCTGAAACCTGGTTCTTATATGTCACCATTACCGACTTCGGCGATGTATTGTTTGTTGCCGACAAAGAAGAAAGTTGATTCAAGAATTTAATAACAAAGCATTTCATTCACATGGCAAATTATAGTGTACGTTAATCAAATTTTGAGCTGCCTCACTTTCTATGAATCTTGTGATAATAATAGACTAAGCATGATTAAATTGAAGAATTGTTTCTAGTAAAATGATACCACTTAATCCCTACTAGTCGATGTGTTATACAAACGGCTGACCCACGATAAAAACCCATAGAAATTGGTCTTATTTAAACATTTGTCTTTGTACGTTGAATAAATTAATAGACAATAAAACGTGTCGTTCCTCATACAGTCTCCTATCCTATACCGTAACTGCTTAAAGCACGTAAGCAATTTTTTTCTCTTCAGCAATAATTCGTACATGTTCGTTCTTTTCAGTTTTGAGTTTTCACGAGAAAGGGATAAGAGCATGATCTGGCTGTGTATTTAAATAAAATGCAAAAGTCCCAGAATGCCATGAATAAGCATCATCCCTGCATGCATATATCATTCATAGATGATCAGCATCGACTACGATTTTGTTAGGTACAGGCACATAATGAGCTCATGTACAGTAGCGCCTGCGCATTCAGTTATATTGTGCAGTTATTGAGCGACATAAAACAGCCATGCATGATTATGCAATCGAATCAAAACTATTTCATCATTAACGACTATCGTATTCGTTTGCATGGAAACCAAGCACAATGTGCTAAAACGATCACGCGCATTTAACTGATTAATGAAACAAAGACCTTTCCACTGGGGCAATATATTCAGTCTTTCAGTTCACTATAGTTCACATCCACTTCAAAACTGTCAAAATGCTATTGACTACTCAGTGTAGGGGTCTTGTAAATTATCAATTTATGATGCGTTCTCTGGATGTCGGCACACTTGCATTTTGTTTGAACTAGAATTTTACTGTACTGATTGTACAATGTACGGATCGTATCCCAGTATGCATTGGTAAAGTTGCTTTCAGAAAACTAGCCACGAGAGCCTTTACAACATAGAGTTTTCAGTGCAAATGTGCAATCTAAAGTAGAAAAATATTGTTCACTTGTGTCAAATTACTTAACACTGCATGCAACATTTAAAAACTGACCATCTGAGTTCTGTTATATGTTTTGCAGGTTTGGCCTTTGCGATGCTTTCATCACTTCCTCCAATCACAGGCCTTTATGTTGCCTTGGTGCCTGTGTTTGCTTACGTCATCATGGGAACTTCCAAGCATCTGTCTGTTGGTATGTACAGCATGGATTGTTTAAATTTCACAAAACTAAGTGGGAATTATTTGTAATTTGAATAATCAATTTGCAGAATTCAATCAATTCATGATGCAAAAGTTCAAAAATAAGAGTTCGTTTCCTCCTTTAGTTTGGTTTCTTCCAACCTCAAACTAAGGGGTAGTTTTAACAATGACATACTTCATCAATGCAGGAATGTTTTCAAATTTCCAAAACTAGGTTCATTTGCAGTGGTAAGTATAATGGTTGGCAATGTAATAGATGCAAGGACAGCCGGTCAAACTACTGTTGCATCACAAATTGTTAATGGATCCATGATGAATGAATCATCTTCAGCGAATGAAATTTCTGGAGGTTGGAGTGCAGAAGATAGAGAGAAAATTATTTTATCTGTTACCTTGTGTTTGGTTGTTGGAATTATGCAGGTGTGTAAACAACTACAGCTCTCTTTCCGTAACTACAGCTTTCATTTGGAAGAATAGAAAAAAATCAGTTAATCACCCAAATAGAAGTTAAATAAAGTACGAACTAACACGTTATTAGATACTGAAAGAAGTAAATATAAGACTTTACAGGGCAGTTTACATGGACGATTTTGCTTCATTTTTTCGAGTTAGTAAAGGTGACGATAGATGTGAAATGTTTATGAATGCTGACATAATTCACACATAAAACAGCTCATTCATTACATATTAAGTTCATTCTTTCGCATCAATCAAAAGAAGAAAATCGCAGCAGAAAATCTCCCGTAAGAACTGCCGTTTGGCCGTTTGCGGCAATCACGAAGTTTCAAATTTTGATAATTTTCCTCGGATTTCAACCACGGCGACATCTCCAGGATGCTATATGTATCATTTTACTTTGGAGAATAAAACGAACACAAAAAATAGGTATATTAACGTATGTGTAGTGCTGATAAATTTTGTTACCGTAGTACAACGTTGTCGGACAATGGTAACAGAAAAATTAGTGAAGTGGTATTTGTGTGTATTCATGCAGATATTATTTTAAAAGATATTTAAATTAAATCTCTTTTCAGACTGTCATGGGAATTCTCCGACTTGGATTTATAACGATATTTTTATCTGATCCTTTAATAAGCGGGTTCACGACTGGAGCAGCATGCTGGGTGTTTACAAGTCAGATCAAGCACATTATAGCCATATATCCAGAGAGATATAGTGGACCATTTGCTCTAATTAAGGTACGTTTTATAAAATTGCGAATGAGATAGATCAGGAAGCAAATGCTTGAGGTATTGATACACAAATGCACTTTTTTAATAATTACGCGGGGCCTTACCTGCAGAAGTCCTGCCTTTCGTGAATCGTGAGACGTGAGCCAATCGCTAAATCAAGGCTCTCAGCTATTTTCTTTTCATATATTTAGACCTATATCGACATTTTTAAAAACATTACAAGCATCAACCTTACTTCGCTGATAATCGGGATAATATGCATTCTTATACTTCTCGCTATTAAACATATGAACGAGAAATACAAAGACAAATTGAAATTTCCAATCCCAGCCGAGTTTATTGTGGTTGTCCTTTCAACCGGGATCTCTTACGGGGCGAAAATGAAGCAAAAATACAACATCTTGATCGTTGAATCCGTTCCACGTGGCTTACCTCCTTTGTCTGTACCGCGCAGTGATCTTATAACAGATCTTGTTATCGATGGTTTTGTAATTTCGGTCGTCGCTTTTTCAGTGAATGTTTCACTCGCGAAGTTGTTCTCGCAAAAGCATGGTTATCCCCTTGATGCAAACCAGGAGTTGTTGGCATATGGCGTGCAGAATATCGTGAGTGCCTTTTTTTCGTGTTTTGTGTCGGCCGCTTCCCTTGGTCGGTCGTTGATTCAAGAAAACCTCGGTCGCACACAGATAGCAAGTGTCATATCATGTGCTATAATATTGCTTGTCTTAACAGTGTTGGCACCATTGTTTGAACCTTTGCCGAATGCAGTTTTAGCAGCGATAATAATCGTCGCGATACGAAGGTTGTTCAAAAACTTTGCACTGGTTAAGGAACTCTGGAAAGTGAACAAAATCGACGCCCTTACGTGGGTTATCACGTGGATTGCAGTTATATTATTCGGGATAGATTTAGGCTTGGGTATTGGAGTGATATTTCAAATTCTGTGCCTCACGTATCGGCTTTCCAAGCCAAGTTTGAGCATACTCGGGAAGGTGCATGGTATGGACGGTGTTTACGACGACATTAATCGTTACGAGGACACAACGGAGCTTTCTGGTATCGTTATTGTACGTTTTCAGTCGCCTTTATGTTTCATCAACGCCGAAAGGTTCAAAGAAAAATTGGATGAAAACGTTTCTAAAAAATACAGAATGAAAAGAGCAAAGAGAAAAAGCAGATACCCAATGCTAATTTCTGATGAAAAAACGTTCACTGGTACCGGCTCAAATAATAGTAGGGAGGTAAATTATGTTCAGCAAAAATATTATTGTCACAATGTTTCATTAACCAAAGTTAGTAGATGAGCTATTTATTGCATAGACACTGCATGTAGAGCAATGGAATTAGACTAAAACGTCCACAAGTGTGGAGACTATTTGAACTATTATTACTTTTCTTACTACTACCAGTCTGGCGTGAGCAGTGCGGCTGTGGCATCTTCTGAATGTGATGTGTCTTCAGTGGATTATGTTCATTCTGTTATCATTGACTGCTCATCTTTCAGTTTTATTGATTCGGTGGCTGTAACAACTCTATCGCAGGTGATTAAAAAGGAAATGTAAATGATAAGGCAATCGTTTATCATCCATATTCCGTTAATTTGTGAAATTGGCAGTGCTAGGGCAGTATTTTTCACATTTTACAACATTTCGCATGCCAAACAATCTTGCAGCTTCGAACATGGCCTTCACGTTGGCGGCGGTAATTTTGAATTAATTTTATGAATGCATGTATAGCGTATTGTCTATTATTATACATTTCGTTTGTACTGTCGTTCCTGGTTGGTCAGAAAGCACCGGTTGATTCTCAATATTCTGTATTTATTACATAATTTCATCTGTATAATAAAATAATTCAAATGCATGTATAATAAAACAATCATTCGATTCGCGGCTTTTGCATGATATCATGCAAGAATTATTCAGACCTCGGTCGATGTTACCGCCTCAGCTTCGCTTCGGCAGATAACATTGCAATTGACCTCGATCTTAATGATTCTTGATATCCTGCTGACATGCTCAACCTCATCCAATAATTGTTTATTATTGTTAATAATATCACCGAGAATTTTAGGCCATAACCATTCACTATAGGCAATTTTTTTCGGCGAAACGCGAATAAATTAACCTAGTGGAAAACGGAATTAATGGTAAACGAGGGGAGAGAACTGAGTCGCGATGATTTGACGCGACAGAAACGCAACGTTTAAACTTGAGAGTGCAATTTTCCTTTACCATTGAGACGCTTTTGCTGCATATTTCGCTTTTGCGCACAATGCTTCCATGCATGTGTGCAAATGGTGCTATTCATATATAGCACCAGAAATGCACGTTGAACTAAACTCTGAATTTGAAATATCCATCATCCTATGTGTTAATTTCTGTTCTTTTCATCTCAGATTGCTCTGGAATATGAAAGAAAGGATGTAAAGCTGTATTTAGTGAATTCGTCTTGTAAGTTCATGTTGCTAGAAACTTCCTATGAGTATACCAAGAGAATAAGATAAGAGTCAATTACATTCATCCCAGAGTATTTCTCTTCAGTTTCCAGATACCATATATACCTAGATTACCCCGTTCTTCGAAGAATCACGTTTAAACTCAACATCTCCAGGACGCTAATTTGTCTACAATGACTGATCCGTATTCTGCATGAATTATTTTTAGACCAAGTTCTCAAAGTGTTGAAACTGAGTAGAAATTTATTTGATGATAGCAAGAGGATTCATATCTTACCAGATATTTCTAACGCACTGCATCATGCTTATGAATGGCGACATACGCAGGTATATATTTTAACCTTACTCTTCCCTTCAGTTTTACTACCATGTTATCTTCATGAAAACTCCCTGGCCGCTGATTCATGTCAGAGTTTAAAAGCCCCTAGGCCTAGCTATGACTTATATTCAACGCTTTCAACACTTATACGACATATATAGTAAGCTACATATATAGATCAGTATGTTGTAAGTTATCACATGCATGTAATATACTGTATAGTAAGCAGCTGCATTTGGTTTTATCTATAGCTTCTGCATTTTATGGAAGATGACGATGGAGCATCTGAAGTTTGAAATATGTATTAGCGTCTTCAAGGTGACTCATGAAATGTACTTTGGCACAGTCGCAAATATCTTATAAATAACTGAAATATATACAAGAAAACCTCTTTGAAGAGAAAGACCTTGGCTTTTATTTATACATACATATAGGATGAATATAAAAAAGCAAGAACTATATAATTCATATATAAACAGATGATTGCTAAATTTCATTTTAATGCCAGTGCAATTAATAATACTTCTGGAATTCATGGCGTCTGAATATACTTTTTAATATCCCTTGTTTTTTTAATAATGATTGATAAGTGGTTAAGATATAATTTTGGGAACATTTATAATGATCAAATGTTTCATGACTGATGACCAATATCATCGTTACATGTAGGTCAAAACCATTAAACCAATACGAGACATCACCAGTATAACGTTAATTTATATAGTTAGATCCGGAATTGGGATAATGTAGAATAATCTTTTAAAAACTGAAAGCGGAAATTAAATAGTCAGTTACGCTCCCGTGAGTTTTATAACAATATATTCCCAACTAAATAAACATATATTATATATTGCATGAGAAAGAGATATATAATGATATATGATATATATGATGTATAATAGAATTAAAAATGCGCTATTAGCTATATTCATAGTTTGTCAACTATAATTAATATAGACCATTCCTAAAACCATAGCATAATAATCATATATGGCATATGCACCATTACAGATGTTGATTTACAATACAAATTTGACAAAAACATATAACAAAAAGCTTTACAAACTCAAACTAGAAAGTATCATCATTAATATAATTCTATCTCGGTGGATGTACATATAGTCCTAGTCGATAGGGCATCTATTGATCCGATATTTCCGACGATCGAGTTCCTGTCCGTCCGCTCCTTTCCATTGACTCCATTCTGAAAGTACTACTGTTAAACCGTTTGGATCTTGATCGTCGACCGAAGCTTAGAATGTGTTTCATCGATTGTTTATAGCTGTTTAATCTGAACAACCACAGGAACGGCTTAAATATAAACACGGCGTAAGCGCAAGGTAGCGAGAATAGATTAGCTAGTTGAAGTTTCACCGGGTCACCGCACGTTTGACAGTATAAAACTAGCATGACGATTACACTTTCTGGAACAGAAGCTGTCACAAAGAAAAGAACGTGAATAAACAATGTCTCAGCGACCTTCGAGTTTCTCTTGATTATCTTCATTCCTTGAGGTGTTGAACGTTTGATGTTAAAAGATTCTCGAAGTCTTTCTTTACGTGCGTATAATTCTCGAAATATTTTTGTATATAGACATACGAATGTTATACTTAACACTCCAAGCTGGGCGCATACAAATGACATAATTCCTTTAACATAAGAGGGTACCTTGTTCGTAGGTAACGTATACAGAGGAATTAAAAATACACATGAAATGATTAGAAGTATTACACCAAGGGACGGAACCAAAATTTTACGGGCTTTCGAAGACAAATAGCCGTAACGAACAGGGAATACGATCGAGGCATAGATATTTAAAGTATGCAGTAGGTTTCCAAAACAGTATAAAGATAAACCGCACAAACTCAAATATATAACAAGTTCTGGAAACAAATTTTGGTCTGCCCAGAATAACACTGCGTCCAAAAGTAATATCAGAGAAATTATTAGATTTGCAATCGAGTTAAAAGCCAGTAAGATTGCTGTTATTGTTCGTAATTGTTTAAAAGGATCTTTGAGTATAACAAGGAATAGGATAGCGTTGAATATCACACTGATCAAGGCCATTATACCAACCAATGTCACGACAACATCTCGTTCAACTTTGTATTTTCCAGGCAAGATTATAAAACCAAATACGAGCAATAGGTCTGGTACTTGGGAACCATTTCTTGTTAGATCCATCATTATATTTATTCTATACGATCAAATGAATTTCGTTACACTTCAAACTTCACAGTTATATGCGGTATTTCGTCGAATTTGCATGAATAATTTTTTTTGTCTATATTACGCATATAGTGTCGAATTTGACCTGTTTTCCGATGTTCATTAGGTAACAATTTTAAGCTATTAGGCCTATAATCAGTTAGTTTTGAGCTTCGATCGATGAGAATAATTGAGAAGTTTAGTGAATTTGAACTCACTAATGAACTAACCTATGATATAGTCAAAACTCATAACCGGCCAGAATAATTTAAGGCATCAAAGAAAAGATCCAATTCAGGCAACCTGCTGGGAGAATGATTAATTAATGATATATAGGCGGCTAAATAGTTGTATAAGTTAGACTCAACTAATCTGTAATGAGAAGTAAAACTGTGTGCACACGTTTTCACTGAAATAATTTTTGTCGTTTTGACGCCCCGTTGACACGATCACACGATAATATGGCCTAAATTCATATTTATCTTATCATAGAAACTTGTTTTCCCCGTCTTCAATATTACCGTGACAGAAATAGACAAATTATATGCACCTTTGTCATAACGGGGAACGCCAAATATTAGACAAATTTGATTGCGACAGTTTTGCATAGCTAATCAAAATTCGTGTGACATCAGACTTTCCTCGTTTAACATCATTATGGGAAAGGTCTATTGGAAAAGCCACTTTGTTTAATTTCCCTACTGCTTTTGAACTTACTCAACACGCAATCGCAGTAAAGTTAAATAAATCCTTATCACACATCTGCAACGTTGTATCCAGGTCTTTTATCGTGTTGCGTGCACATGTATATTGCAACGTACTTATGGCTCATGCACACGTGGCTCAGCACATACTGTGTTTGGTATGCACTCGTCATGTTTGTCATGTTTCGTGCATTGCGGTATACCCTCCAAAAATGCATCCATTTTACTTGATTATTTTCAATTTATGACCTACACACAGGGATTGATTGTATAAAACTCTTCACTACATTCTGGGTTGTTAAATCGTATAGTTAACCTACATAAACTACCCAATACTGATGGGCCAATCTTTTCAACAAACTACAGTTATATAACTAAATTTTTACACAAGAGTCGCCAGCGGATATATATATATATATATATAAATATAGTATCCGTTGCACTAACATTGTTAATTTCTTGTACGTTGCATCTCTTGTCCCTATGACATCGACTAACTTTATCAGCATTTTTCCGCCTTTCCATTTATCTTTGTAATTTTTTTCCGGACGTTGCCTCGATGATCCTTTTCAGGAGAATTTTGAGGGTATACGAGATATTCAAGAAGCAGAGCCATTTAAGACAGCAGAAAGAGAAATCGGCTAATTTTGTGGATAATTCTATCTTGCATGATCATGCAACCACTAATCAGGAATTTCTGAAGATAGAGTTCCTGTTCTTTGGTTTCTTCCCACCGTCTCCATGGTGAAGTTTCTACTGTTCGTAAAAGTCTTAGATATAGAACGCTTACTGAAACCTAGAATTTTTTTCATCGCATGTTTGTAACTTTTTAATCTGAATAACCACAGAAGCGGCTGAAATACAAACATCAGAAAGACGCAAGGTAATGTGAACAGTGTGGCTAGTTGAACTTTCACCGGGTCACCGCACGTTTTACAATGTAAATCGATCATGACGATTACACTTCCTGGAATAGAAGCTGTCACAAAGAAAAGAACGTGAATAAACAATGTCTTCGTAACTTCATAGTTTCTCTTCCATATCTTCATCCCTTGAGTTGTTGAACGTTTGATGTGAAAAGATACTTTAAGTCTTTGCATACGTGAGTATAGTTCTCGAAATATTTTTGTATATAGACATACGAATGTTATACTTAATACTCCAAGTTGGACGCATACAAAGGTCATAATTCCTTTAACATAGGAGGGTAACTCGCTCTTAGGTAACGTATACGGTGGAACTATAAACACACATGTAATGGTTACGAATATTACCCCAAGAAGCGGCATCAATACTTTACGGACTTTCGAAGCCAAGTAACCGTAACGAACAGGGAATACAATCGAGGTATAGATATTTAAAGTATGCAGTAGGTTTCCAACACAGTATAAACAAGCCCCACACGAGTTCAGATATACAACAAGTTCAGGGAACAAATTTTCGTGAGCCCAAAATAGCACTCCGTCCAAAAGTAATATCAGAGAAATTATTAGATTTGACATTGAGTTAAAAGCCAGTAAGATTGCTGTTATTGTTCGTAATTGTTTAAACGGATCTTTAAGTATAACAAGCAATAGGATGGCGTTAAATATCACACTGATCAAGGCCATTATACCAACCAATGTCACGACAACATCTCGTTCAACTTTGTATTTTCCAGGCAAGATTATAAAACCAAATACGAGCAATAGGTCTGGTACTTGGGAGCCATTTCTTGTTAGATCCATCATCATATTTATTCTATATGATCAAATGAATTTCGTTACACTTCAAACTTCACAGTTATATGCGGTATTTCGTCGAATTTGCATGAATAATTCTTTTTGTCTATATTACGCATATAGTGTCGAATTTGACCTGTTTTCCGATGTTCAATGGTAACAATTTTAGGCTATTAGGCCTATAGTCGGTTAGTTTTGAACTTCGATCGATAAGAATAATTGAGAAGTGTAGTGAATTTGAACTCACTAATGAACTAACCTATGATATAGTCAAAACTCATAACCGGCCAGAATAATTTAAGGCATCAAAGAAAAGATCCAATTCAGGCAACCTGCTGGGAGAATGATTAATTAATGATATATAGGCGGCTAAATAGTTGTATCAGTTAGACTCAACTAATCTGTAATGAGAAGTAAAACTGTGTGCACACGTTTTCACTGAAATCATTTTTGTCGTTTTGACGCCCCGTTGACACGATCACACGATAATATGGCCTAAATTCATATTTATCTTATCATAGAAACTTGTTTTCCCCGTCTTCAATATTACCGTGACAGAAATAGACAAAATATATGCACCTTTGTCATAACGGGGAACGCCAAATATTAGACAAATTTGATTGCGACAGTTTTGCATAGCTAATCAAAATTCGTGTGACATCAGACATTCCTCGTTTAACATCATTATGGGAAAGGTCTATTGGAATGGTCACTTTGTTTAATTTCCCTATACCGCTTTTGAACTTACTCAACACGCAATCGCAGTAAAGTTAAATAAATCCTTATCACACATCTGCAACGTTGTATCCAGGTCTTTTATCGTGTTGCGTGCACATGTATATTGCAACGTACTTATTATGGCTCATGCACACGTGGCTCAGCACATACTCACTCTGAGGTGTTTGCCATGCACTCGTCATGTTTGTCATGTTTCGTGCATTGCGGTATACCCTCCAAAAAATGCATCCATTTTACTTGATTATTTTCAATTTATGACCTACACACAGGGATTGATTGTATAAAACTCTTCACTACATTCTGGGTTGTTAAATCGTATAGTTAACCTACATAAACTACCCAATACTGATGGGCCAATCTTTTCAACAAACTACAGTTATATAACTAAATTTTTACACAAGGGTCGCCAGCGGATATATATATAAATATAGTATCCGTTGCACTAACATTGTTAATTTCTTGT